GGCAGACCAAGCGACACAAAAACAAAGATCAACCAATGGACCGACCGATCTTAACCGATCTTAGCTGGAATTCTATTGCGGCCTTTGCCTTTGCCTTTGCCAGTGGCAACAGCGAACAGCGAACAGCAACAACGAACGGCAGCAACACTAACAACGTCAACAACAAGTTGCTGTGGTGCTGCCTCAAGTGCTTCGTGGCCCAGACAAACGTTAAGATTGTAATAACCATGTTAAAAGCAATTTACGTTTAAAGTGCTACCGTGATACGCCGCCGATGCGTTTCTTGATTAAGAACGAGGGGATGCCGAGGGAAAGGAGGAAGGGGAAGGGGAAGGGGCAGGATGCCCAGCAGCTGGACGCGCATTTTTTTCTCTTTTTTTTTTGTGGCAAGAAATATTTGTACCCGTTACTTGCTGACGAAGGGGGTGTATTGAATGGGTCAAGAATTCGTTTCCAAGATAAAAAAAATATCATATTCTTCTGCATATTAAGAAGTTTATACTTGTAATACATTTCACTTTAAAAAATTACAAATTACAAATAAATATTTCTTTGCAACCACCCAAAAGGAATTTCTTAAGTTTGGTCAGAACCTCAATACATTTTTCTTTTGCATATTAAAACTGTACTGATGAAATCGTAATTCTTTATCATAGAAATAAGTTCAAATTAAATTTGTTTTAAAATTTAAAGCCAAAAAATATATGATTGCTTTTTATAAAATAATTTATGTTACAGCAACAAGAAGCAATTTACTCGTAAATAACTATGTATATAATAACTTATATAAAAGTTCTGAATAGTGGGTATCTTATGGTCGGTTAGTAGAGCTCTCTGGTTTTTAATTTTTTGGCTCCTTTGGGAACTTTCCTTTCATATTCACAGTCCACTTAACACGCGCGTCGCACAATGCGCCTCAAAACACAAATGAGCAGAGAGTTCTGCGCATGCGTTGCTGCTGCTGCTGATGTTGCTCTTGCTGCTGCTGCTGCTCCGACTGATGTTGCTGCTGCTGCCCCAACGGTGGCGACGGTAACCTCAGAAAATCTGTGCTGGCGGCACGCTTTGATGTTGGGAATGGCGTGTGCCCCAATGCAGAGATTTTCGCTTTGTTGTTTCGCCGACTTTGTCTACGTCTTCGTCTTGCCGGCCAACAACAACAGCAACAACAGCAACAACATCATCGCCATGCAACAGCAATTTGCCGCCAAGTGGACCGCAGCAGCAGCAGCAGTAAGAGCAACAGTAACAAAAACAACAACAAAAACAACAACAACAAGAGAAGTTTGAGGAGCGTGGAACGTGGAGCGTGCGATGCGAGAGAGTGCCACCAGAAAGTTGTTGCCCCTTCGGCCAGTTAATGCGAGTGCTGGCCAAGTGTAAAAGCCATTCCAGCCATCTTCGGCGGTATTTGGGAGGCAACTAGAGCTGATCATTTGGCTGCTTATGTGGTGGATTTTAAAATCCTGTATATTAAATACTAATATCAGGCATTCCTTCAAATTAAATGAAAATTATTTAACAGGGATAAAACATCTATGAAATATTGTTGGGATTAAAGTCGGAAATTTAAATGGTTTAATATTTAATTACCCTTTGATATGTTAGAAAAAATTTTATTATTCAATTTTTAAAATATTGTCTTTAAATGTGAGAGCATTTTGTTTATCTTAAGTTAAATTTTTATCAGTGCTACAAATTTAGAAGGCACAGAGAATAACAAATGTTTATTGACTTCTATTTACTAAAGTAAACAACTTTAATTGACAACAGGATTTAAAACATATTTTATAGCAAGATTAGATGTTTTATAAAATTTTAATCATATCGTGAAATAAGAAATAACTATGGGGTTATTGTTATATGTTTTTATTTAATGTATATTTTGAAACACTTGAAGTTTCATATGGGATCTGTGAAATCCTTAGAAACTTCTCCTGTTTCCCTGTCCAACATCACTGACCTCCATCAATCGAGAGCAATGCAATTATGATCGCTGGCCGATGGAATTAGAGATGCCCGCTCCGCCGACTGATGAGTAATGCTGCTGCAGCCTGGATGCTTGGATGGGATAACCACTGGATGGGGGATGCTGGATGCTGGATCCTTGGTGCACCTGTTGCATTTCCCACAGAGCGACAGAGGCCACTTTGCCTTTCGCGAAACGGGAACAGTTGGGAACAGTCGGTCGGCGGATCCTTGGAATCTGGGAAAGGATCAAAGGACGTGACCGTGACTGGGCTGGAACCGATGATAATAAAGTTGTGCATTAAATGAAATTTTAATTGCTTATCGGCGAGCAGCGATCCGGGAGCCCATCTGTTGGGATTAGAGCCAAAAAGGCCGAGAATGGCCAAAAGACCGAATGGCCGACTCGATTGATGTCAAGCGATGTCGGCGCTTTGAAGATTATGCCCAAAGTTATGAGGCTGAAATCTCAGGGCTCCGGCTCTTCCTCTTCCTCTTGCTCTCTTCCTCTTGCTCTTGCTCTTCCTCTTGCTCCGTTTTTCCAGGTGCTCCAGGTGAGGTGATCAGCCTATGCGAAATTATATAGCTCACTGCTGGCAGAGCGACGGATCGGCGTTGGATCGCCAGCTTTAACTACGCAGTGGCATCATCATTATCACTGTCATCATTATCATCATTATAATCATCATCATGATGATCATCTTCTTTAGCTTCTTCTTCTTCTTCTTTGACTGGGGCATCAGCTGGCGCTGCTGCTTGCTGCTCGCTGCTTGCCGCTTGCTATTTGCTGCATGCGGCAAAAGATGAAACGCGGCGGCAACACTTTGATGCGGCCAAGATCAAAGCCGCCGATTGTTTACATAATAGTGGCCTTTGAAACGGAACAATAGAATGCCAGGATCAAAGGCACCGACCAGTTTACCCGGTTAGTGCGCTTAAGCGAAATGAATGTCCATGTCCGTCCGTCCGCCCGTGATCTGTTTTCCTGGCCCCACACCGCAAGAAAAACTAGATCACTTTCACATCAGTTGGAGCATGATAACAAATAAAATCTACCAAGTTTATTGCTTCTGGGAATTATATTTAACATCTTTGATTCTTAAAGGTTTAATAACAGAAACAATATATTTCTTTAATGACTAAATATAACCACATTTAAAAGGCATATAAGAATGAGCACTACCACTTAAGTATTTCAATACTCTCCAATTTATAACTATGTACATTTTAATTTTCTTTTTGAATACATAACTAAAATTTCTTATTAATTATTATTTATTGAAAATAAGAAAGTATATTTTTTTCTTTCGTGTGCAACAAGTAAAACTCGTTAGTGAAAATCTTCTTTTAATCTGCTAAAAGAAATATTAACACATTTAAAATCCAGAGATGTTTGAATGGTTTGTAATCATTATTTTTAATAAATAAACAAAATTGTAAAATATTTTGCGGTGCAGTAAAAGTAGCACTCATCACAGGCAGATCATCATCACGATGGCCATATGATCATCATGGCCGCTGCCCGCTGGATCGTCTTTGAATTTGTGCTGCTGTAATTGCTGAACCGCCGAAGGAGTTGCAACTGCAACTGCTGCTGCTGCTGTTGTTGCTGCTGATTGCGCGTCAAATGTTTATGGCATTCATCGCGTGCTGGCGGCGTTTTAATTGCCCGAACGGCACAAGCGCCTAGTGGCTAGTGGCTCTTGGCTCTTAGCTGTTGGCTGCTGGTTTGTTGGCTAGTGGCTAGTGGCCACGCTGCGTATGAGCAATGCGAGCATCAATAATCTCCTGAGATGCTGCCGCCGCCGCAGCCGCCGTCGTCGTTGTCGCATAATAATTGCGTGTACTTAATGCATAAATATTGCACTGAATCGGACTGGTCGACCAAGTCGGCTCCTTTCTATTTGCCACTTTCAAGTTTGCCGCCGCCGCCGCCAGTTGGACATCATTTTTTCAGACGTCTTTTTCTTTTTTCTTTTTTGTTTTTGTTGTTTTTTGTACTCTTTGCCTTCTTCCTTTAGGCCTACAATTTCTATTGGAGCAGCGCAGCGACGGCGGCGAAACAGCTAAAATCAATTTGGTCAGTGATAAAATTTTTGCAAAAGCGAATCAATTTTATGGCGGGTCCGAGGGGAAAAATCGTAAAAGTATTTCGATTTCGGGGCCAAACGGCAAAAATCAAAAGGCCCCGAAAAAAAGAATTTTTAATGACCTGTCATTAATTGAGTTTCGTATATGTATATAGAGAAAAGTGTGGCAAGGGTCTGCAGAAAAGCGGGGAATCCGCCTTTAGATTTACAATTAGATAAAAGTCGCTGGCTACTTTATTGAGATTTTATGTCTTTAAGCCGCCGCATCCCCCATTCCGACCATCATCCGAATGTCCAGGGCCATATCAAAATTGCTCCGTTTCCACGAAATGCCGACAGCCATAAAACACAAAATGACCCGGCCGAGAAAGACAATAAAAGTATCATATATGCGATGAGCGAATTATGAGAGTTTGCATTATAATTGCAATTACACTAAATTAGCATTAACCGAAAAAAGGAGGCGAAGACAGAGGCAAAAAAAGAAAAAAAAAGAAAAGAAAAACAAAAGACTTAGGCAACGAACTCGGGCGAGAAGACCAGAAGCGAATTTCATTTCGGCTTTCGATTAAGCAGATCAAAGGGAACCTTAATACGGTTATTAACAAGTAGCTGCAGTGGCTGTCTCTGCTCGCGTCGCTGTCTCAGCCAGCGTCGGCATCGCAGTGGCAGTGCTGCCCGCAATTCTCTCAAATTGCATTGCCCTGCAGTTTATTATTAGTTTTGTTATTATTTTGCGTATTCTAAACAAAAACGCAGGCACACAAATGCCGCCGCCGAGAGAAAGAGAGAGGGAAATAGGGAAAGAGAGTGGGCCGTAAACACGTGAGAGAGCGCCAACGTCGACGCTGGCCGAGGCAGAGGACGGCGACAGCGACAGCGGCGGTGGCAGCAACTTGGCCATCGACGGCGCAAGGTAAAAATTTCATTCCGTGGCGAGCATTCGACGTGAGCGGACGTTTTGAGCGCGTGTGCCGTGCCGGAGATAACGAAAGTTCGCAGTGCTATCACCAGCAATACTAAATACAAATCGAAAATCAAAATAAACGAATCAAATACAATTACTTCACAGTTAAACAACGAAAAATTCCCCGCGATACAAAAGAAATTCAAATCACAACAAGCTGATAAGTGGCGAAACAAAAGTCAATACCGATCGCATACAATGCAGCGCCCCAAAAAGTGCTCCGAACTGTGCTGAACAAAAATAAATAAAAAAAAAAAAATAGAAAAAGAAAAACAAACAAATTAAAATCTATATTTAATTCAACAATAAATATATCCTATGTGTGATCGAATCGAAAATGGCAGTCGAACAAATCGCTAAAATGGCAGCTAAAGCCGGAGAAGCTACAAATAAATGGATTATGCCCCAGCAGGTGAGTTTATCAACGCGAATCGAGAAAAATACGGTAGCCCAGAAAATGAAATATGAAGCTGCTGTGCGGCAAATTAAAAACCAAAAAAAAAAAATAAGGAGGGGATATCAAAAGTTGCCGCTTAAACAGAAAACCGAAAAATACAGTAGCACGTCAATTAAAATTAATAGCTTCCGACTTAAGCCGCTGGCCAAGTTGTGAGAACTCGGCCGAGAACCAAAAACCGAAAACCAACAACAAAAACAGCTAAAACCAAGACCGAAACCGAAACCGAAACCAAAACCCTCTACAGCTTTATTTACGACATTAGCATAGTCGGGCGGAATCAATTTGAAAATCCTTTGCAAGGGCATTAAAAACGAGATTAAATTTGCCTGCGTGCGCAGAAAAAAAGGCCACAGAAAAAAAGGCGGAAAACAAAAACAGCAGAAGAAAAATAAGCGACGGCAAAGGGGACGAAAACAAAAAGGCCGACTCAAATGAGCGGGGAATGGGACTTTAAGTGTAGCTAACCAAAAACCCTCATCAGCAGCAGCAGCAACAACAACAACAAGAGCAGCAGCAGCTACAGCAACAACAACAGCAGCAACAACAAAGTGCAGGCCGCCTTCGTGCGCCCCACTTCGCTTGAAGTCGAGACCCCATATCCCCATACATCCCAATATCCCCATAGCCATAGCCATACGGTTCCAGCCAGGTCCACATCCACATCCATATCCACAGTAACAGCCACATCTACAACCACATCCATTCCACTCCACAGTCGTAGTAGCTACTGTTTTCAAAGTTAAGATCAATGAGTGCGACGACGACCACGATGCCTTGGCTTTTTGTAGTTGGCCCGAACTGCACGGAAAATATTTTCCTCTCATTTCCATTTCTTATTGAAATCACTTGTTGAATGTAAAAGAATTTTTGAAAATTTCAATGAAGTTATTTTTACAGCAATATCAAGTTATTATAATTTTGGAAAGGCAAATAGTTGATTTCACCAAAAACATAAATGATTTCAGTTTTCAGTTCAATTATCACAAAATAGTAAAATTGTTTCCTTTTAAGTGGAGTAACAGTCAAGTAAATGTTAATGAGATTTTTAAATTTAATAAAAGAGAAGGTAAAGAAAATCTGCAAACTGTTTTAGCTCAAGGGTAATTAAAAAAGTTTAATTATAATTTAATTATAATTATTGCACGAATAAAATGTTAGTTAATCAGTCATGGTTCTTTTAATTGTTAGTGTTATTTTCGTAAATACTGACCGGTATATCAACAATTATTTCTCTGATTTGTATATGCAATCCTAAAATAATCATTAGTTTAAATGATGCTCCCATTTCTTGCTGTGTGTTCCTGGCCAGCTTCGATCTGCTTTGCAACATGCCGCAAACATACACGAGTTCCACGGGCGGCAAAGTACAAAGCCGAAAACGGCACGGGTTTAGCGCGCTCGGAGTAAAAAGCGATCAGCGGGCAGCAGCCGCAGCGGCAGCGGCGACCGCTTGGCAGACGTGCGCACATCCACATCCACAGATACAGATACGGATTCGGACACAGATACAGATACAAATACTCTGATCAGGCCGGTCTAATAACGCTTGCTGCTGCCTTTGCTTTTGGTTTTGTTTTTGCTTTTGTTTTTGGTTTTGCTTTTGGTTTAGCTGCTGCCTGTTGGCCACTGGCTACACGTTTCGGCGGCTTCGGCTTTTGTTGTTGCCGCTCTCCACTCCGCTCCTTTTCGCTACCGCTTCATTCCCGCTCGCCTGCGGCTTCATTTGAGGCTGCTTCCGAATTACCTGCGTCTTTGCCATGCCAGCAATGCAGTAGCAACGCAGCAGAAAGCCAGCAGCAGCAGCAACAGCAGCAACAGCAGCCACCGCGTTATTTCCCTGCCATAAAAAAGTATTAAATTGCCGCAAACAGGTGTATTTTTATGCCCGGCAGGCACAACCGGGCAGCCACCATAAGAAGCAACCATAAGGCGGCACCAAAGGGGCCGAGGGGCGGTCCGTTCAGGTTTCGGGAACTGCAATTATGCGCGCCTAGGCCATGGCTTTAAGTGCTTCTAAAACTCTGTGGTGAATCAGGTAGGAAGCCAGCATGGAAAAGCGCAATTCGGGTCACAGCCACGGAGAACAAATCAATCATGTCCAGCTGTCGGGGATTAGCAGAAGTGGGAAAGTTTGCACTTACTATAGGTAACACTTTCAAGATACAAGGTTTTCCCATGAAAAAATATATATAGCAATACTAATTCAAGAAGAGTTTAATAACTTAAGAAAAGAATTCAAAAATAAAACAGGGTTTACATTTTGTTTTAAAAACAACTAGGGAATAAGGCTCTAAAATCAGTAGTAGATTGACATATAAAATTTATTTAAGGATTAAAACTCCACAAGAGTCACCGTCAAAAACCTATCCATTTTTTTACCAAAAATATCTCTATTAAATTTTATCTTTTTCTTCGAAACCCTTAGGATATTATGACTTATCAATTGGGTTATTTCTAGACTTATTAAACACATTTGAATTTACTTTAATAATTTCTTCTTTAAAAGTTTGAAATATTCTTATATGAATTTGCATATCAGAAATTGGATAAGTCTTTTATTTTCTTCGCAAATTCCGTTAGCACCTAACAATCGCATTGATAAACATGGTTTTTGTTTTCCCAGCTCTTATTACAATGCTGTTTATTTTTTTTTTGTGAATTCCGATGCCCTTTTGTGAACTTTTTTTGTCGATTTGTTAAGATCGCGCTCTCTTTCATAACGATTCTGGTTACGCGCGCAAACTGAAGCCGTTGGAGCCGGCAAACAACAGAGAAAACCGGGAAAGAGACAGAGATATGGGGCGGTGAAAGAGAGGGGATAGAGGAGAGAGAGGGGAGGGGAGAGAGAAACGCAAAGCAAACAAACTGGCAGCAGGAACAACAATAACAATAACACAAACAACAACCTGCAACAACAAATTACTATGGCCTGGAATAACAACAACAACAACAACAACAATAAGAAGAAGAAGAAGAAGAACAAGTGCCATGAGAACGGCAACGGAAGTTTATTTATGCCCCAGACCGCTGTTTACTTAAGCGTATTGCGATAAGCTGCGCTCTGTTTGTAGTTGTTGTTTTTGTTATTGCTCTGGTCGTGTGTTGTTTTTGTTATTGTTGTGGTTGCTGTTTGTGCTGTTGTTGTTGTTGCTGCCGCAAGTGCGCCAAGATCAACAAAAACACCAACAACATTGTTGTGGAGCTTCCTTCACTTTTAAGATCCAAGCGGCGACGGCCTCCCTTTGATTTGGACAAGGTCGTTAGGAATTGAACGGAGATAATACCATAAACAGTATAACCTCCACAACACGAACTGCTTTTTACTAAAAGTAACCTGGTAAAAGATAGTTAGATGAAATCATTTAAACAATTAAAATTTTGTAAAGGCAACAAATTACAAAACACTTCTACTCCAAGAAGTTAAACTTATAAAGAAATTAAAAAATATATATATGTACATATATAAAAATCCAATATTTATCGATATCACTTATTTACACTACATAATTTACATATTCATTACTTAACTAAACAAATTACTGCAGCTTTAGTTTCAAGATATTTTTTCCATTTTTTAGAAGGAAAATACTAATAATTCGAAGTATCAAAATAGTTATTGCAAAGTTATTGATTATTAAAACTAAATCAACTTTCTGAAAATGGAATAGCAGGCAGTCCCTAAACCAATGCAAATTGCAATTAGATTAAAACCACTTAGACGGTCGCCCAGTTGCAGTCAATTGCCACCGCAATCGAAATCAAATGGAATCAAATCAATTCCAGTCACAACGGGGCGTATACTCGATTTGTTAATAAATGAAAAAAAAAAGCCGGGTGAAAAAAAGTAAAGAACGCTTAGCGCCATCGCGTCGCAAACGCGACCGAGTATTTGCAGCAATTAATAAAAACTGACAATATAATCGGCGCGACAAGTAGTTGGCTGCCAGCCAGCCCCCAGACATTCGATTTGATTTGACTCGCTTCGCTGCGATTCCATTCGATTCGATTTGATTCCAGTCGGATCGGCCAGAATAACGCTCCTTTGTCGGCATCGCCATCGACTTTAGGGGAAGGAAATCGAAGAGAAGGGGAGGAGAGGGGGGTTGAAATAAGGCAAAATATTAATAAGCAGTGCCCGCAATTAATAGCGCAACTTAAGACTCTATATAGGGTAATTAAGCGGCGCTTGTGAACATTTTTCCTTTGGCCACGCCGCCTCTGTTTTTCTTTTTGTTGTTGTTTTTTTTTTTTAGTTTAGTTTTTGTTTCGTCGGCGCTGCCGTTTTTTCTCAGCAGGTAAACACAACAAGTGCAACGTACGCTCACCCGTATCTCACGGTGTATCTGTATCTCAGTATCTGTATCTGTATCCGTACACCGGTGTTTACTCAAACGTAAATCCGCGCACGCACACGTGAAATCTTTTTATTTGTATTTATTTTACTTTTTGTTGTTGTTGCTGTTGCTCTGGTTGTTGTTGTTGTTGGTTTTTTGGGAGGTTCATTGTGGTCGCAGTCGTTGGCGCAGTTGAACTAATCAACAATGGAAACTACTCATCTAATGTTGAGGAGCGAGCTCTTGTCAATTTCGTTGTTTGGCGGCAAACATCAGACGGCGAGCGGCTAAGACGGCCCACAAAATATCCAAACCTGTTGTAAGAGACGTGCAGAGAGGCCAAAAAAAAAAAAATAAACTGGGGATGGGGTGAGAACTAGAAGAGTGGAGCAAAATATGCCCATTAAAATTAGTAAGGGGTACAAAAATAAAATTTATCCAAGACCAAATATAAAACACTTCATATAAAATAAGGGTTATATTTGAAATTTATTTTAACATTTTATTAATTAACAAATAAATATATGTACATATGTTTACTTAAAAAAAATATAATAATGTATATATTATAATACATAATTGTATAAAATACCACGATCAAATGAGAAGCTCATTTATACAGTTGAATTAAATCCTTTTACTTTCCTTTCTCTATCTTGATATTTTAATCAGATAAACACGATTGACTTCCCTTTGTTTGTTTAAATAAATATACTAATGAATTTATGGCTTTCATAAATCAAGCTTGGCCACATCTTAAGCCAAATTTATAAAGCATGTTGTCAAATAAAATCATTTCAATATTATTTAAATGTTAGCTGCCAAAGTATTTGTCAATGATTTTGTTAAGCCCAATTTATCTGAATTCAGATTAGGTTTTCGGGCATTATGCATATTTCGCTGGAATCTGGGAACCAGATAGGCAGGTAGCAGTGCTGAGCCACCGATATCGGTGAATATATACCTATCAGTGACGGCTGATCGCGCTGGCTACCGTTAGACCGCTTCGCAATTCAGTTGGCCAGGCCAAAAATTATACTTTGTAGGCCTTTGGCCAATATAATTGCCAGAGTGTTTTCGTTTCGTGTTTGTGTCATTTGCATTTCTGTCTGCAAATTGTCGTCGCTGGCGGCAGAAGGCGGCCAACATCAAAGGCCTGTATAAACATTGATTGAAGATTTCTTTACGATTTCTGAATGGTTATTTATGCGGAGGCAAGACCGTAGACAGAATTGACAGACTGACACACTGAGACACTAAAATCGTTGCCGATGTTGTCGGCAAATGTTTTTTTGTTGTTGTTATTATTGTTGTCTTATTTACAAATTGCTGGAAAATAGCTAAACAAAAAAGCCCCAAGTTGAGAATCAGCGAAACAACAAAACAAATCGCTGGCTAGCTCATTTGATTGATGTGTGTAAAAAAAAAAGCAACAAAGCGACCTTAAGTTCAAAGCCAAGAACTGCTGATTACCACGCGTCAGCGGCCATGACAATGTGAAATTGAAATTTGTTTGACTGGCCCACGGGGCGTATGATTAACAACAATTTCTTGCCATGTTTGACTAAATACTTTGAGGCTGTCTCTGTGTTGCTCTCTTTGTAGAAAAAAATATAAGAAGAAACAACAAAAACAACAACAACAACGAGTGGGGGAAAGGGGGAAAAATAACACAACGAAACGGCTGGCGGCAAAAGTTTCTTTGATCTTATCGCAAAGCTTCTTGCTCGCATTTTGATCAAAGCAAGTTTTTCCGCCAAAAAACACACCAGCTCCAACTGGTCACGAGAGAGACCCCAAAAGTGAGAGAGCAGCATCTCTGTTATTGTTGTTAACTTCAAAACTTAAGAAACATCTCTCTTATTTCTCTCTCTCGCTCTGGCAGAAAGCATCGCTGCTGTTATTGTTTGTTAACTCCAAAACTTAAGAAACATCTCTCTAATTTCTCTCTCTCTCTCTCTCCTATTATTTCTCTCCAGAAAGCATCGCTGCTGCTAACGCTGCTGCTCTTGGCCACGTTTAGTCAGCTGCCAACCGCCGATGGCAGCAGCAGCAGTTTGGATGTTGCCGGGTTGCAGGAGAAGGATCCGTTGCGGGAGACTAGCATGAACATGATCCAGCGCAACTACATGGTGATGCACTCGGCCAGCGGATCTGGTGATCACAGCCGCTCCCTGAAGCGCGCCAACTTGGCAAACTCGAGCATAACCTGCAACGACGGCACCCACGCCGGCTTCTACCTGCGCAAGCAGCCCAGCTCCAAGAAGTGGATCGTCTTCCTAGAGGGCGGGTGGCACTGCTTCGACGTGCGCTCCTGCCGCGCCAGGTGGATGCGCCTGCGCCACCTCATGACCTCTTCCCAGTGGCCCGAAACGAGAGATGGTAAGTTAGTGAAATAAGTTTTAAGTACTTCAATACAATAAAGCAGTAAAGTCAATTAAATAATTTTTATAAAAATTGAATAGAGCAAAAAAAAAATATAAATATAATATATACATATATAATAAAGTATATATTTATTATATATTGTATTGAATAATTATTTCATTATAATATTATTAATAAAATACTTCAAATAATTATAGGGAACATATTTTAATTATAATAAAAACACTTTTGTAAGCTTCAACCTTGAGTAACGATTTCTAATCAATATATTTCCCGATTTCCAGTTGGAGGCATCCTATCGCCGCATCCCGAGGAGAATCCCTACTGGCACAACGCCAACCACGTGCTCATCCCGTACTGCAGCAGCGATTCCTGGTCGGGAACGCGAACGGAGCCGGATACCCGCGATCCGGAGAACAGCTGGCGGTTCATGGGAGCTCTGATCCTGCGCCAGGTGATCGCCGAACTTATTCCCGTGGGATTGGGTCGAGTGCCGGGTGGAGAACTGCTCCTCGTTGGCTCCTCAGCCGGAGGTCTGGGTGTGATGCTCAATCTAGATCGCATCAGGGATTTCCTGGTCAACGAAAAGAAGCTGCAGGTGACTGTGAGAGGTGTGAGTGATTCCGGCTGGTTTCTGGACAGGGAACCCTACACTCCGGCGGCCGTGGGCTCCAGTGAGGCAGTGCGTCAGGGTTGGAAACTGTGGCAGGGCTTGCTGCCCGAGGAGTGCACCAAAGCTCATCCCACGGAACCCTGGAGGTGTTACTTTGGCTACAGGCTATATCCCACGCTCAAAAGTAAGTTTACTTAAAAAATATAAAAACTGCAATGGTTTTCCAAAATGAAATTGAATGGATATATCTGGAAATAATATTGATTAGGAAAATACCAGAAAATTGTTCATAAAAGTTTTTAAATTCTTGAGGTGTTTATTTGATTGGAATTTAAATTAAATAAATAGTAGTTGTATTTGTTTGTTTTTTTTTAATAAAAAACACTTAAAACATTTCTATGCTTAATTTTAATATGCACTTAATTTTAAACCATTGCCATTCAGTTTTTAACTTCTTTTGCTTGTGTTATTTTGAACATTATTAACTTTATATTTTTCTACCAACAGCTCCGCTCTTCGTCTTCCAATGGCTTTTCGATGAGGCGCAAATGCGAGCGGACAACGTTGGCGCCCCCGTAACTCCTCAGCAGTGGAACTACATCCACGAGATGGGCGGTGCCCTGAGGTCCTCCCTGGACAATGTGAGTGCAGTGTTTGCACCCAGTTGCATAGGACATGCAGTCCTCTCCAAAAGGGATTGGGTTAACATCAAAATCGATGACATATCCCTGCCATCTGCCCTTCGCTGCTGGGAACATTCGACGCGGCGCAAACGCCACGACAAACTGAAACGCTCGACGGAGGCATCGACGGCGGTATCGCAGCTGCCACATGCCAACAACCAAAGACACCAGCGGCATCGTCAGCGGCAGCAGCGGCAGAAGCAGAACAACGTGGCCCAAACCAATGGCCAGCAGAAGAAGCACAATCACTTGAGCAAAGAGGAGAGGGAGGAGCGAAAGCGTTTGCGGCAGGAGCAGCGGCAGAGGAGAAAGCAGCGGCGAAGGCAACAACAACAACAGCACAAGAAGGCCAATGGATCGCAGGATAATAGAAACAAGAAAAACAACAGCCCCAAATCGAATAATAATGGCAATGATCAGCGGAAACAGCGACGTCGTCAGGGATTAACTCCCGAACAAAGACAGGATCAAAGGAAAAGAAGGAGGAAGGCGCAACAGCAGCAGCAACAGTTGCAGATGCAACAGGAGCAACCGGGAGCAGCTGATGTGATCCTGGAGACCCACAAAACCCGCTCCTCGAACAACGCCTCCGCGGGCACAAAATCGAAAAAGCGACCGCGAGTTCCTCGAGTCCCAGAAAAATGCGGATTGCGTCTCCTCGAGCGTTGCAGTTGGCCGCAGTGCAACCACTCCTGTCCCACGCTCACGAATCCCATGACCGGCGAGGAGATGCGCTTCCTCGAGCTCCTCACCGCCTTCGGCTTGGACATCGAGGCGGTGGCCGCCGCCTTGGGAGTGGATATGCACACGCTGAACAACATGGAGCGCACCGAGTTGGTCAACCTGCTCACCCAGCAGGCCAACTAGGCATCCCGAATACCCTTTAATCCGGGGTGGTTCCAACATAGCAACCAAATTCATAGGGAGGGGTGGTTAACCAAGGGAAACGCTCAGCTTTAAGAGCTTAAATCCATCTTAAATCTGTAGGATCCCAAAAGTCTCTGGGAATTTGCTTTCCTTTAGGAACTTGGTTAGAATATGTTTGTAATTAACTTCTCAAGACCCTTAAAGCTATATTTTGGCCTTAGTTATAGACACCCTACCTTTTGTTTTTAATTTCAAAGAGAGTTCTGAAAAAGACCCTATCCTAAAACTTCACCTAAACTTAAAAGGAAATCGAAGTGCTGATTGAATTTTGAAGAAAAAATTAGTTTTCTTGTTTTCAAAATTATTTTTTCATATAAAAAATATTTCTTTCAAATTGCTAAAAAGAGTTCATTTCTCTTTTAGAAAAAATCATTGTTTAAAAAAGAAATTTCTTCATTACGAAACAAAAACTCGATCACAGATTTCCCATTTTGAGTGAAATATAAGCAACAAAGATTATATTCTTATCAAAACCTAACTTTTAAGAAGTAAGGAGATTAGCATCCCAAAAAAATGTACATTCTGCCCCCTACGGTTTGTAAGCTTTTCGCGGGTCTTCGGAACTCGACCCACCCTACTGTAAATAGGTGGCCTGTATATATAGTTTGTAGGCGGGGCCGCTCTGTAAATATCAAGTATCGCATAACACCATAACGCCCCCAAGGACGCAGCTCCAATTCCTAGAACACACCAAGAAAAAAAGACATGCGCATAGTACCCAGTAATTAAGCAGAATTTATTTATAGTCCTACTCGAACTGCAACTCGTATTCGCATTCGCATTCACATTCGCACGTCGCATATATTCATTCGCATTCACAATCAGAAATGAAATCTGCTTAACGAGAAACTAAACACAAATGCAACCACAAGACTGTTTTTATGTTTTTTTACCTATATATATATATAAAGATATTGATAAATAGCATAGTTTACATAGATATGCCTAATGATCGTAAATGTTTATGTAATTTATTTGATAATTTATGGCCCGTTTAGGATTGTACTTTCGCGTGGAATCCCGACTGTTTCGATTGCCCACGCAAATGTTTTATTTTTTTTTTTTTGTATTTTTTATACATTGTTTTATACCTACCTCAGATCAGTAAGAATGAAATTGAATAACAGCTGCCTTCACATATTATATTGCGTACCTGTGCAACGAAAATCAAATACTTAATACTTAATAACTTAATACCAACCGCATTCCGTAAAAAAAAAAAGAAAATTATTAACGCAAAAACGAAGCAAATGCGAAAATAGCAAACCAGAAGCGAAGTGAACAAATCGAATAACTAATTGTAGGCAATGTTTGTAAAGAACGAGACAAGATCGCACAAAAAATAACTATATTTAACTAGTAACTTATGCTAAGTCTGTACAGAACTGGTTGAAGTTTAGTCCTAAGAATTGTTGTACTTAAACTTAGTGATAATCATAAACGTAATGCAATTCCCAAGCTCATTAGCTTTTGTTAGCGTTGTTCAAATGAACTGGTTATCATTTTCAAAAGATGAGATCGACCAATATTTGAAGAGGAAAAACCAATCAAATAAACCAGAAACATAATTAAATGCACAAATTATCGCGAATCGTGTTTTATTATCTTGTTATTTTATTCTTTATCTTGGGCGACAGGATTCACATAATATTTTGCTGCACCAACGATTGTCATTGCCAGCGCATCCCAAATAATTAATTTTGGTGCAGTTTTTAGTCACCGGATTATAATTCCACATATCGTTGTTGGCCGATTTTTTGCACTTTCTTTTACGATTATTACCACCGTCTGGTGCTCCAGCGCATTTCGGGGTTCCTAAAAGATTTCCATATTTAATTATTCTCGAAAATCTTGGAGTATTTCGCCACTTACTTGGTTTTCCCTTGCAAGTTCCTTGGGCATTTACAATTACTATTAGGTACAAAACCAAAACCGCAGCCATGAAAAGCACAGTAGTCTTCCGCATTTTAACTTGCAACTTTGTATCTTGTGTTTTGGTTAAAGAATAAGCTCCGATCTCTGCTGTCGGGGCCTTTATAGGCCCAGTATGAGTTACATTATGTACTTTCTTTACAACACACACTTCTTTTATACCTACTTACATTTATAAATGCCTGCTGAATCTAGGTAAATATATCTGAAATTTCCAAAACAATTGTTTTATTTTAAATGAAAGAACAAATATATACCATATTTCTTGCTTTGTAAGTTTTTGCTTCATATGACACAAAGCTTTTTGTTTTGGTAAAACAAATAAAAAAAATATTTTTGAGCACAATACAACTTACACAGCCAGCTTATGGTCGTATGTGAATATTTACTTATATTGTTGAATATCTTTAGATCAGAAAAAAAAGAGTAAAAACAAATTATGTCATATTTTGGATTGGTATACCTCAAACTGAATTTGGTTTCGTTTTTTCACATTTTTATGATATAACCCCCAAGTTAATGTAATTCTATCTATTTATTTAGTTGATTAAAAATATAAGTATGATCAATTTTTAAGCGCAACCATAAGGTTTTAAATTCGCAGAGTGTTCATAAAATACAAAAAAAAAACAAATTTTCAATAAAATTACATTTCTTTATTATTTAATTTTTGGAGCTCTCGAAAATGCAAGGACGGAACTGATTAACTGTTAATTCGGAAAGTCGGTAAGTTAAGGCCTGCACCTGGTTATGCAATGCGACTCGCTGCAATAACGGTTGTTGTTGCCTCCGCAGCCGAGGTACTGCATCTTCTCACACCTCCTGTCCGCGGAATTATAGAACCACATATTGGAATTTACATTAAATCTGCAAAAAGGTCTGTTGCCGTAACCTTCATCCAGACCGCCAGTGCATACCTGCAAAACTAATCATTTTGTTCTTTGAGTACCTTTTGAGACTTGTTCACTTTTTGTTTTCTAATTACGAGGACGTCCGATGCATAAGGTCTGAGCTTGGATATAGGATACAGAGAAAGCCAGACAGGCCAGGATCAAAAGAACCTTCATTTTTTGAAGGTTTGCTTTTAACTGTTTGATTTAAACTGTTTGATGTGGCTAATTTCTGACCTTTTATAGCAAAAAAGTAGCGAAATGAGGGTACTATGACTCCGTATCAATTTCTATGAACATAAGATAAGATTATAAAAACTTGAAATAGATTTTAAACAATAGTTTAGCACAAGGTTATTGATACATTAACGTTACCTTTATTTAAAGTTTTTAACGGTTTTTAGCTTTGGTTCACATTTGAATTTAAATTGTACACAGTACTGGAAATGGGGTATTTGTGCATATGGATATTCGAAAGTTAAATAGTTCCACTTAGCAGTGCTTTTAAGTTATTGTAAATCGGATTCGTTAGTTTTATACTATAAAATGAATAAAAAACAACAATTTCTTTTGCCAGAATTGTGGAGTGGGCGAAAACTTTTCCTGCGGAATTTGGACTTTGCAAATCAACACGATTAAGTTATTGTTATTTTGTATAGAACATGTTTGTTGAGAAATTTTTACTTTCACTGCATATTTTAAGGCAGCAAAAAATTATACCATGATTTATTATGGTTTTCATAAATTAATGAAATTATTGTAATAAAACTTTTTAAAAAAGGTGAATTTTGTAAAATAAATATTTTGTTGGATTTGCAAAAGAAAAATTGTATTTTTTTTAAACCTAGCAAAAGAATTTACCTACGCTGCATAAATAAAATATGATATGTAGGTAATAATGAATATTTAAACTACTTTAATTTTTATTAAGTTTTTGAAACTATTGTTTAAATGCCTTAGGAAATAGTTGATCAAATATTTTAGTGCCATCATAAGGTTTAAAGTACGCGGGGTATACATAAATTAGAAAAATAAAAACAAATTTAAAAAATAGAATAACATTGCTTTATTATTGAGCTTTAAATTTTTTAAGTTTTCCAATTCTCAAAATCCAAGGTCGGGGGACTGGTAGAAGTTGGAAAGTTAACGCCTGCACTTGCCCCTGCAATCGGACTCGCTGCAATAACGGTTGTTGTTGCCTCCACAGCCGTGGTACTTCATCTTCTCACACCTCCTGCCACCGGAATTATAGAACCACATTTCGTTCATTGAAGTCACTCCGCAAAAACGCCCGTTGCGGTTACCTTCATCCCGACCGCCAGTGCATACCTGAAAAACTAAACATTTTTTTTTTGAGTGCCTTTCCAGCCTTGTTCACTTTCTGTTTCCCACTTACCAGGACGTCCGACGCATTGGCTTTGAGCCTCAATATAGGCCACATAGAAAGCTAGACAGGCCAGGATCATAAGGCACTTCATGTTGGGTGTTTTGCTTTTAGCTGTTTGATTTCAACTGTTTGATGTGGCTATTTTCGGATCTTATATAGGAACAAGTTCTGAAATTAGGGTACTATGTCCCCGTACCATTTTCTATGAACACACGATACGATTATAAAAGCTTAAACTAGATTTTAAACAATAGCTCTGCACAAGTTTATCGATACAAAAACGTAACCTCTATTTTAAAATTTTTTACCGCTTTTCAGCTTTTGTTTATAATTGAATTAAAAGTTTACACAGTACAGGAAATGGGGTATTTATGCATATGGGTATTCGCAGGTTAAACATGTTCCACTTATCAGTGCTTTGAAGAATTTTTATGTTTTAAAAGGACAAAAACAGGCATTAATTTAAATTGCGAGGTCCTTTTTGAAATAATTTTTGTGTGTGCAAAAACTTTTCTATTTTTGCGCATTAAACATTATAAGAAATTTGTCTAATCTTTAAAATAATACTATTAAAGACAAATAGTGTAGAGAGGTCTTCTAAATATACAAATTAGCTTTGTAATTCTATCTTCAACTTTTTAATGAATGAAATAAGCGTTTTTATCATTTAGAAAGCAATTAAAATATCATAATTTTTTAAAGATCTTGTCCGTTGAGACATTTGCACCACTTTTACTGCATATTTTAAGGCAAATATATTTTTTCCAGTTACTCGTAAAATAAATGTATGTAAAAATCGGTAACAGTAAGAGGGAATGCACTTAGAACCTTAAAATTATATGATTTTATTTATAATCAGTATTACCAAAAGTTTTAACAAGTTAAAAAAACTCTTCTTTTCCCTGGTAAATGGACAATCGTACAATTTATCGCGAGATAAATTTATTTATTGTGTCAAAACGTATACTAATTATTTTATATTCATACAAAATAAAATAAATACATTCTTACAAGTACTTCTTACGGTTACCTCGACTTTCTTATTGTTTTTAAATATAAATTTTTATCTGATTTAAAATACATATGCAATAAAGATGCCTTTATAGTTGTACACAAAACATTTAATTGGTTGCTTTTATGATTCTTAAGGTCTTTATCTCTTGAGAGAAATCTTTTGTAAAGATCTCATTGATTAACTACGCAAAATCGTTTAATAATATCACGGGGTTTTTATAAAAGCCTACGCATAGCTTCTGATGAAGGTAATTATTTAAGTCAAAGCTATCCATTAACACATTTTTAATTTCTTCGCTTTTGTTTTTATAAAAATATAATAAAATTTGAAAGAGTGTAAAACTGGTTTGTGTCTCGGCTTTTGCGCTACCAGCAGAAATTTAAATGCATAACATTCTTCGCAGCTAAACATACTAGACATAAAAATAATAACAGATTACTAGTGATTTGTAGTTTTTTAGATTAAGTAATAAATTTATCCTACAATAATATCCAAGTACCACGTGTACCAATCAATGATAATGTCAATAAAAATGGGCATTGTTGATCAGCACAGCAGATTGATTGCGGTTAACTGAACTGAGAAAGAAAAGACTGCAAATAATCGGCTGTTCTGAAAATATATATTTTATTGTCTCTGCTCCAATAAAAAACTTAATGATCATCTATGCAAAGCTTGAAGGAATGTTCGCTAAACCCTTATATAAGCCGAAGCCATTCTATGGGGAATCAGTTTAAGTCGATTGTCGGTAAAGAAGCATTAAAATGAAATTCCTTCTGGTTTTATCCTGCTTGGTCCTTTACGTGGCCCTTACAACTGCCCAAAGCTGCCGGGGGCTTCCTCGTAAGTTGAATTTTATTATTATTACTATTTAGAACCTAACAACATTTTCTTTACCTTATAAAGCAAGATCTTCCACAGAAAGCAATTAAATTTCTTAATTAAATATTTTATTGTTCGGTTTTAAAACAATAAAATCTTATACAAACTTTTTAATTTTCTTTCATCTAAATTCAAATTTTTTTTTTGAAAGTCCAAATATTTATTATGTTTCCATGGAACTAGATTGTATTCAAATCCTCAAATATTTTAAAATTTATACCTTATATTTTTGTGTTAATCCTCGATATTAATTTTACTTCCAAACAGGCCGGCAGGACTGCCTTAACGGAAAAGACGAAGGAGTTCGCCATCTGCCGCATTGTACTAGTGATCCCAATAACGAGATGTGGTGGTACAGCCGAGTAACCAATGAATGCTTGAAGATGAGGTACCACGGATGTGGTGGCAACAACAATCGCTATTGCACCAAGCTCGATTGTGAACGGCGCTGCCCTTAGAAAATCAAACCAACAATTTTCGACACTTTTTTCTGGCAAAACTAAATGAATATATATTATACTTAACTGCAACAATTAAGTTCATCTTTATGCTTCTGAAGACAAAGATAGTTATTATGATAAATACCAAATTTATGTTCTAGTGCAAAGAATATTTGTTTAAAAAATCAATAAAGTAAACCATTGACCCTTATATCTATAAATTATTTTTTTTTACTTTCATTTACGCATTTATAAAACTTTTCAAAAACAAATTGTAAAGTTTTCTTTCTCGGGTCATAAAGCTGGGTATGAGAAAAACTCTTCTTTTCCCTGGTAAATGGACAGTCGTACATGAGATAAATTTATTTATTGTGTCAAAACATATACGAATTATTTTATATTTATACAGAATAAAATAAATACATTCTTACAAGTAAATACTTTTGGTCATCTCGACTTTCTTATTGTTTTTAGATATAAATTTTTATCTGATTTAAAATACATATGCAAAAAAGATGCCTTTATAGTTGTATACAAAACATTTAATTGGTTGCTTTTATGATTCTTAATGCCTTTATCTCTTGAGAGCCAACTTTTGTAAAGATCTCATTGATTAACTACGCAAAATCGTTTAATAATATCGACGCATGGCTTCCATCAGAACATTCTTAATTTCTTCGCTTTTGTTTTTATAAAAATATAATACAATTTGAAAGGAAAAGGAAAACAACTGGTTTGTGTCTCGGCTTTTGCGCTAACAGCAGAAATTTAAATGCATAACATTCTTCGCAGCTAAACTTACTAGACATAAAATAAAAGTTGTTTATAATTTAAATTTTGTTATAAAAAAAATCCTGTACATATGTTTATGTCTTCCATCTGTAAATGTCCCAAATTATAGTATTAAAAGATTACTAGGTATTTGTAGTTTTTTAGATTAAATAATAAATTTATCCTACAATAATATCCAAGTACCACGTGTACCAATCAATGATAATGTCAACAAAATTGGGCATTGTTGATCAGCACAGCATATCGATTGCGGTTAACTGAACTGAGAAAGAAAAGACTGCAAGTAATCGGCTGTTCTGAAAATATATTTTATTGTCTCTGCTCCAATAAAAAATGCAAAGCTTGAAGAAATGTTCGCTAAACCCTTATATAAGCCGAAGCCATTCTATGGAGAATCAGTTTAAGTCGATTGTCGCTAAAGAAGCATTAAAATGAAATTCCTTCTGGTTTTGTCCTGCTTGGTCCTTTACGTGGCCCTCACAACTGCCCAAAACTGCCGGGGGCTTCCTCGTAAGTTGAATTTTATTATTATTATTATTTTCTTAATATCTGGGTGCTCTGAATTATTATTCTCATGCAGAACATATCAAATATGGCTAACCTTAAAAAAAGATCTTCCACAGAAAGCAATTAAATTTCTTAATGAAATATTCAGGGAAGATTAAATAATTACATTTTCTACAAATATCATAATCCAATTTCAAATTATTTTTTTTTAAATCAAATATATACATATTTTGTTTCCGTGGAACTTGATTGTATTCAAGCCCCCAAATATTTTGATAAAGTAGAAACTATATTTTTGTGTTGATCCTTGATATTAATTTTGCTTCCAAACAGGCCGACAGGACTGCCTCAATGGAAAAGACGAAGGAGTTCGCCATCTGCCGCGTTGTAATAGTGATCCCAATAGGGAGATGTGGTGGTACAACGAACAGACCAATGAATGCCTGAGGATGAGGTACCACGGATGTGGTGGCAACAACAATCGCTATTGTTCCTGGAGCGATTGTCAACGGCTCTGCCCTTAGAAAATTAAGCCAACAATTCTCGACACTTTTTTCTGGCAAAACTAAAATGAATACATATATACTATACTTAAATGCAACAATTAAGTTCAGCTTTTTGCTTCTGAAGAGAAAGTAACTTTTTATGATAAATACGAAATTTATGTTCGAGTGCAAAGAATATTTGTTTAAAAAATCACTAAAGTAAACTTATACCTAAAAATTATTTTTTTAACTTTCCTTTACGCATTTATAAGACTTTTCAAAAACAAATTGTAAAGCCTTCTTCCTCGGGTCAAACGATCACAAAGCTGGCTATGCGAAAATGCGCTCAATTAATGCGCTCAGAAAAAAGATGGTTTAGGGCGGTGCGGGGGCGTGAACTACTAACTCAATTGTCGAGCGGCGATCCACAAATGCTCAGATGCTCAGAAATGTATCTTTTGCCTCAATTCGGCACTGGCTGCCGAGCAAACAACACGCCAAACCTATTCAAAGTGCACGTAATTTCTAATTGAATCTTCTAGTGTCAAGTTTAAAGATGATCAAAATGAAAATATTAATGCTGCCTTTGCTGCAGTCGATTCTCCTGTTTGGTTTCCTAGAAGGTGAGTGTTTCAATTCATAATAAAAAGTGAGCTTAAACTAAAGCTAGCATAGAGTATTGCTAATTTGATTTAATTTAATTTGATTACACGAATTTATAAGTTAGATAACCCTGGAAATATTTCAATAGAATAAAGCATTAAACATGTGTTTATTTTTTTTCTGACTATTTAAGTGTTATTGTGATGTTTTGTTTCAAATTTTTACTCTTTAAATGAATTAAAATCTTTATCTCATTTTCCAGCAAATTGTCCTGTGTACCTCACCGTTTCGCTGACTGGGAAGACTCTGCAGGACACCTTTCTGGAGGTCAACTGGGGACCCAACTGCTACGGACCGCCCGAATGGATTGGCATTTATGGCCAGGATCCGACGACCTCAAATTTCCAGCCCGAGTTGCGTATCGATGGGATAGAAAATAGTACGGGGAAAATGATAACTCCTATTAAGCTGGGAAAACTGCGTTTTCCTGGAGGATGGAATCGCCAGGACTCGGAGGAGCAACCTGCAACCCGGTATCCCAAGGGCAAGTGCCTGCCGCATTTTGTGGCCAGCTACAAAGGCACCGAACTGCTCACCGTGGACTGCCTCAAGATCCAGCCCAACTGGATGACGCAGATCAAGTACCTCAACAAAGTGCCGCTGAAGAAGATCTTCCTGCCTGGAACCCATGCCTCGGGTGCCTTCACCGGCAGCTCCAAGAAGTCCAGTTCCATACTGGTCAGGGATTACCTGGTGGCCCAGCAATTCGACATTTGGTCGCAGCTCGTCTTTGGCATTCGCTATCTGGATTTTAGCATAGGGTAAGTAGGGCTTTCCTTGAAAAAAAATTCAAAAATTACTAAATCTAATTTTAGTTGAAAAAAATAGGAATAAATTTATTGCATAATATCATTTATTTCAGATTTTATGGTTTTTATATAACGTTTTCATTCGTTTATTAAGAGAACAAATGTTTTTATATTTTTTTTATAAATTGAAGTCAGAAGTCCTATCTTGTTAATAATGAAAATTAGTTTTCATAATACTAAGATAGACTTTAATTTAGATTTCATAATTTCTCATTATTTTTGAAAAAAAGTTTCTATATATTTAACTTTTAATCAGGATTTTAATGGAATTTTATTATTGTTTTTCTTACAGCTACAAAAACATGAACACCGAAACTGATTCCGACAATTTCTGGATTGCCAACGAGAACATGCTGATAACACCTCTGGTGGCAATCCTACGAGATGTTCATCAGTTTGTCAAGCGTTCGGGGGAGATGGTGGTTCTGGATTTTAGTAGCTTTCCAATTGGATTCTACAAGCATCCGGAGATCTACAGCTCGCTGTTCCGACTTCTTCGCCAGGAACTCGGTGACGAGGCCTTTCAGCGCAATGTGGCAAAAGATGAGCACTGTGCTGATAGAAATTTCGGGGACTTACAGCAGCAGGGGAAACACTTGGTAATATTGTTTCCCACGCAGGAATTACCTTATCCTGAAAACGGTAAGCTTTAAATAGATTCACATTTACATTGAAATCTAGTTATATAGTATGATAATATCGTAAAGAAATCCCGCTCTACATTTTATATTTTTCTAAACATTATTTAGAAACAAAAATTAAAAATGACTAACACAAATTTATCGAATTTTCACCGATTACCGATTACCGATTCCTTTCAGAATCGAATATTATCTGCCCGTCGTGGCGACGCTTCAGCACTAGCTTCATGAACATTTCGCAGACACTGGACTACATGCGACTGCTTTTTAGCAGGAAGCCAGACTCGCCGGTTCGCGACGATGGCTGGATATTCACCGCAGTGAGGAGCATGGAGCAGACTCTGAATGCCCACAAGCTGGAGACCGCCAAGGAGCGGGCGGCGGTGCTCAATCCCAAGGTTAATCAGTGGCTAAAGGGCCCCTGGGGAAATAACGCCAATGTGGTTGCCTTGGACTATTTTAGCAATACGAACATTGTGGATTGGGCCATATCAGTTAACACCCACAAGGCATTTATTATGGCAAACAAGGACTTCATCAATCTTGAATTGTTCCATTTATTTTGAAGAGTATATAATTTGAGTTCTATATTTTAATAAACGATATATTAAAGTGCATGCTTGATTTTTTAACACTTTGAAATTTATGAATATGTTTAATTTTATAAAACTTAAGGTAAGTTAAGGGTTTTTTTCTCAGTGTGTGTTTCATTTAAAGTTTCTAAGCAAGTGGACAGCCCTTTAGTCGTTACTTCAACCATATTCTCATATTTAAAAAGTCTTATCATCTTACAGCACATGCACAACCCAAAGGGCAAAGAAATATACCAAGCAAGCAAATCGGAGAGCCAAACTGTATAGAAGCTTTATCTAATACCCAAACCAAATTGATCATTTTAGAAAACCATTTCAGTTTTTAAAAAAGTCAGTTGAATTTAAATTTATTTATATTTCAGAGATACTGTTTAAGTTATTTTTAAAGCCATTTTTTACACAAACAATTTTACTGAGCTTGGTTAAAAAAGCCTAGTTTCCCACACAAGTTGAAGGCAGTTCTACTCGTAGTTAGGCCTTCGCCTCTTAATTGAAAACCTCACGCAATCTAAGGTCAGCGCCTGACTTTACGATTACTTGCTGCGGAATCTAGATCAGCAATTTGCATAATATCGACTGTCAGACGTAATTCGAGTTATGAGTATTGATATTAGCAGCCCAGTGGAAAATAGAGGTGACATTCCTTTCGGTTCTGGGAACAGGATGGATGATTCACTCGAATGTTTCATTCATTAAGGCGTTTCGTAATAGTAAATATCAAACCCTGGCACGTGTGAAGTCAAATGGATTGCAGATCCATATGCATATTTAGTGATGCAATCGATAAGTCCAACTTACTTACGACAGGGTAAGGCATTTCTCACCTTGGCTAATTCCAAACCGGATCCAAGCACTCACTCAACTAATTGAAATGCACTGCAAGCTTATCTGATGAGGTGGAAAGCGCATAAGTCTGAGTCTCAGCTCCCAAAAAAAATAAGGCAAACACGTCAAAAACCTGAAATTTCAGAATTTTTACGTCTCGACACCGGCAACAAAGAGCAAAGATTTGTCACTGCAGTTTTAATTGCAGTTGAATGCACTTTGTTTAGTCGTGGGTGATGATTAATTGCAGGTCGTATCAACCCAATGACTGATAAGGAACTCTTTACTTTGATCTCTTTCAACAAAGATTATGACACGTGCAAATCCATTGTTTGGACTAAGATTATTTCACCTTTCAAAATACCTGCTACGACAGAAAACTTGAACAAAACCGGCTGATACGGAACAAAGTTTAGATAAAAATTTTAAACCTTGATAATGGCAAAAAAAATTGTCATTTTATTTCACCTTTATTTGTTCCCTACCCTTAGAACCGATAAAGCCACTTTTACCTTTTGAAACTTAGAGGGCTTGACCGATATTTTTTCATTTTTATCAATTCTTATTTACTTGTTTTATTAATTGAAAACCTAACGATAAAGCCTTTTACCTTTTGAAACTTGAAGGGCTTGACCAATATTTTCCCATTTTTATCAATTCTTATTTACTTATTTTTTTAATTGAAAATCTAACTTTAAATTCAATTTTTCAATTCTTTTAATTTAAAATTGTTTGCATATGTTTATATTCCAAAAAGTAAGTATATTAAAAAATCTCTTACTTTTCTTTTGGTAATTGCTTTGCAAAAAAATTCTAAGAATTTATTGTGGGTCACACAACTTTATCTTTAAAACTTTGACTGATAACAAAAGGAAACTAAAACGGGTAGCCTTGAATTCCGGAATCCAATTCGTTCGTTGAGGAACTACTCGTGGAGCACAATCAGCTTTTGGGGAATCCCCTTGGTGATTCTCCCAACTTGCGCACATAAACTTATCGAGGGCAACGCCTTTTCCAATTAATCCACACACCCGCATGACAAACGACAGTGGCTTTTCGGTAATATGTTAGTTTTATTATAAATAACGCATACAAGTGCTGCTCTAAACTAATATTACATTGGAGGCTTACGAAGCGTTTAACAACAGGCGATCGCGATGGCCAGCCACAAATATTACATTGCAGGTTTCTTTTTCGAACTGAAGGCATCGGCCGACTTTTGGGTATCTCAACGTTGGGCTCCCCAAGATTGGACGCCCCAACAGCTGGCCGGTGCAATGGGCTGTATCTGTAATTCGAATCCTGCAATGTAATATTTGTGGCTGGCCTCTGCGATCGCCTGTTGAACGCTGGCTTTTTTCTCCTCTTGCGCTTAACGTTCAATCTGAGGACCTGTGACCGGGCGTTGGAGGCGGATCTTAAGAAAAATACACCCGCATCACGTCGGTGAAGGGTTTCCGGCACAACGGGCACTTGGTCACGGAGGAGGCGCACTTGGCGCAGGCCACCACATGGCCGCAGGGCAGGAATGCCGTGTTGTACTCGGCGCCGTAGCAGATCTTGCACAGCTTCTCCTCGGGTATCGAAGAGGCCAACGATGACGTCGAGGAGCCACTGTTGCTCGCCGAAGGAGCCACCGCCGCAGCGGTTGCCTCCTGGATCTTCTCGTAGATGCGACAGGCTGCCGTGGGTGCCACTGAAGAGGGGGCGACATCCCCCGAAGCGGATGATGCCTCCTCCTGACCGGCAGACGAAGTCTCCTCCTGCTGCTGGTGGTGATTGCTGCTGGCCAGCTCGGAACTTTCCTCCTCCTTCTCGTCGGCGGCTGCCAGCTCTGGTTTCGCAGCCACCGTATCGATGTAGAGCTGGCCCTTCATCAGCTTGACAAAACGACACTGGCTGAGCCACAGGGCGTGCTGCTCCCAGGGCTCGTCGTTGTCGTCCCAATCCTTGAGACCACCGCCGCAACTGAAGCAGCGGACGCGATCCCCGACGCCCGTGTAGAAAAAACCCGCCTCGGCGAGCTGGTGGGGCTTCTGTTTCAGATTCCTTGGCCACGCCTCGAAGGTGCGCAGTCGTGCCGATTCGACGGCATACTCCGGATACTCGGGAAAATAATTGCCGCTGCCGACTTGGGTGCGACACGACTCCGGCTGGACATCGCCATTGGCCTGGGTGGCCACTGTCGACGCCTGGGTAGCAATCGAGCTCATCGGCGGCGGGTTGGCGATGCCGGCCACCGTGGCCGCTGCATTCGCTGTATTCACACCGATCGATTGGATCAGCTGGGACATGGGGATGCGTCCCTCGGCGTAGGCGTGCTCCCGCAGCTCCACACCCGTCGTCGTCGCATCGTTGGCACCGCAGATATCGTAACTGATCGGGGGCAGGATGCGATCCAATGCCTCCACATTCACGGGGACATTGTTGGTGGTGCGTCGCCGCAACAGCGGGCAATTGGGTGACCATCTCTGGTGCTCGGGCACCGGCTGATCCTCCTGCTCCCAGCGACCGATCTCCACGCCGCAAAAGTAGCACTTGACCTTGTCGTCGACGTTGGTGTAGTACATGCCCGTTTGGGCCAATTGGCGCTTGTCCAGCCATTCGAGCGGCCAGTTGATGAAGGTCTTTAGGCGCGCCTCCTCGCGATTGAGCTCGTTCATATTGTCACTGTTGTAGATGTTGTATTTGTAGAGCTGCGACGCGTTCGTGTTGTTGTCCACCTGATCGAGTACCGCTGCTGCTGCTGTTAGCTCGTGAGCGGCGGGTCCGTAAATGTACCGCAAGTTGGTTACCACATTTGCCATGGTGCCGCCTTCTGATTGTGGTTATCTCTGATAGTTTGTTGTTGATCCTTAAATGCTTCTCCGTCCGCTTCCCTCTGAGCTCGAAACTGAAATGGAAGATAGAGAACGAAGACCCATTAATATAAATGTTTACGCCATGCGACCCGACATTTGATAGGCGCGCTATCAGCTTGATAAGGACCTAGATATTCATCCAAAGACCCTACCCCACCAAACCGCCGCCTTCTTGCTCCTTCTGGAGATCTCTACGCAGTTCAGGCACACGACATCGTTGAGTGCCCACAATCAACTGGCAGTGAAATAAATAGCGAGCAATCTGAACACCGTCATCTGGTTGTTTCTAAAGCAAAGCAATTATTGATAAAGCGTTTCATCAGGTGACGTTGTTTTAAAAAATACTCAGGGATGGAAGCTTTAAATTGCAAGTGCTTAAAAATTAATTAAATTAGAAAAAAATAAGAGTAAGTTTAATTGATTTTTCCTTGACTTTTTCTTAAGAATTTTATTTTTAAATTAACCTGCTTTAATTCCAAGAAATATATATTATGTTTTATAACTTATCACCACTGTAGCAATTAAAAAGAATGAGTTATATTCCTGCGCACTTGACATTTCCAGAGCAAAGGTTTTTACTAGAATGAAGTACACTACCTATAGAAAAATGATTAAAAAATGCTTAAGTTTCTCTTTCAAGGAGCAAAAATTCAAATAAATTAAGTTGTAATCCAAACGTTTAAGTCTCTTTAAAATAAATGTCTTACTCATTAATTATTTTGGTGAAAATTATCAACTCAGGGCTTATGCCTAAAATTCAACGCATTGAATTTCCCTATCAAGTTGCTTTGTTTTCAAAATTAAAACTCTGCTCAATCAACTTTATCGCTTTATTAATACCTTTCTTTAGATAATGGAAATATTTATTGCCAAAGCTGTAGACACTTTTTATCGTGGGCACTTCTACGTTTTTCAGAGCGTGTATGTACAATGCGGGGAAAAACTGAAACGCAGTTCAAGAAACTGGAGATGCAGCATCAACGAACTTTAAGAGCCCTTAGATGATGGGAAAAACACATCAGTTGTCCCGCTCGCACTTGAGAGCCGAGGGTGGTTTTTCCTTTTCCGGGGAAAAACTCCCGAGTTGAGTTGCTGGTTGAACAAAATGTACGTAGTGTATACGAGGAGTACGCAATGTTACAACCGCTCGTTTTCGCACTGCGCCGAATCGCAGTGAGTGTATTTCGAGTGGGTGGTGGTTGCCACTGGCAAAAGCCAGGACGGTCGGTGGGTTGGCGCCAGCTTGACGACGTTGAACGATAACAATTATCGATCTGACTCACCGCACAGCACAGCAAAGCAAATAATTTCTATAATAATAGCAAAAACTTGTAGTCACAAAAGGCGGCAATAGATAAATCACTATGCTAATCGAGGAACAGAACAACCCACACGGCAATCGCTCGTCAATTGTTGAGTTGGCAATTATAGTAATGACAGGAAAAGCAGCACATACGTAAGTGACATTTTTTACAGTGAACTACAATTTTATAAATTCTTAATTTATTAGTTCTATAATTATAATTTAAGGAAAGTACATAAAAAAAATATAAAAAATTCTATAACTCAAAAAAAAGCAGTGATATTTATTTTAAAGGAAAGTTCATATATAAACAAAATTTTTAAGAGAATTCTATTATACAAATATAGGACTCTTCATTTATTTATTTAGGGTAATTTAATCTTTGAAAAACAAATTTGTTTTTTTTTTTTTTATTTTTTTAGAATGAGTTTTTGGAAAAGCAATCAACTTTTTGGCAATCGTCTGGCTTTGTATCGATATTCAGTGGCTATCTTAATGCCTGTGGACCTAAACTGAATCTGCGGTGGTCTCCTTTAAAGAGATTGTACAGCCGTTTTTCGACATTTACTCGCCTGGGCCACCAGCAAACAGAAAACAGCAAAAAAACTCAGCACGACCGCTGAGAGTTGGGCCCCCGTTCAAAGTCCAAATATCAACCGCAAACCAGCCAAACTCGCCCAAACAATTGCAACGAGGAGCTGGAGGAGGAGGATCGGGTGGTTGGAGCTGATGGTGGTGCAAAAAGGGGGAAGAGGGAACGGGGAACTTATCGGTGGGTTTGGGTTAGCTGGCACTGCCATGCACACTCTGTTGTGTGGAGCACTGCAGGCTAGCCGACTGTGAGAAAGTTTTAATGGAATGCAGTCAAACCACTCTGGCGACGGCGCACTCGGCGACTCCACATCCCAGCAGCACCACCGCCACCGCACCACCGCCGTGTGGAGCCTGACTTGCAGCATAAAGCGCAGCATAAATGCATATTGCAACGCTGGCGGTGCAAGCGAGACGGCCATGTGGTGCCAAGATGAAACCATCAATGGGAAAAACAACTAACCACAGGGAAAACGGAGCTGCAGAGCTGCGCAGAGCAAAAAAAAAAAAAAAATGTATAAAAGTATAAAAGAGTACACATAAAGTGCAGCAGCAGAAACAAAAGCAATTGTAAATTACAAATGCTGCTGACTTCTGGAGCTCGGGATATATATACCGTGGAACTATATAGCCGATGATGATGCTGAATCAGGGGATGCTAAGTAAGGATGGGGTCTGTTTTCCGTGCAGAGATTGCGCATTGTTTTTGAAGTGGAGCAGCAGTCACCAGTGCAACACACAAAGCTTGAGATGCTGTCTGCAATTGTAATTGCAATTTGTCTACCCTTAAAAACGGGTATTGCCTTTTTAACAGAATTTGTTTATATTAAATATCCTAAAGATCCAACTAATTCTTCTTTCTGCTTTCAATCTTGATACCTCAGAAACTTGGAAGATTGCTTATCATCGATATTATCTATCAATAGTTCATAGAGAAATAAATGTCATAGGGTATTCGTAGCTTCGGCCTTCCAAAATCGCCCTCCCTCATTATTATTTGTTTTGCTTTTCTAGCCAGTACAAAGTGCAATTACAGCTGCCTCTGCCGACGTCTGTTATTTGTTATTGTGGAATGCCAAACGCATTAACAATTGTAATGCAAGCCGACTATTGGAATTTCGACCTATGTATGTAGCTATCAGGAAATTGAGTGGAAAGTTCAAAAGCCTGGCATTTGCATTCACTGAATATGCAAGGTACTTTTTTTTAAACTTACCAGTTTCGTTCAAGAGACCAAAAACTTTAAAAACTTTGCACTTTAAAGTTAAACTTTTTTGTAAACTAAGTTAACTTTTTCTGGGAAACAAGGAACTGCAACAAATTGAGCGAGCAGCGCCTTCACCCAACACCAACCGAAGACCGACTGAGAAGACAAGGCCTCCTGGGCGGTGGATGAATGGCATGAGAACAACAACTACAACAACAACAACAATCCCAGAGACCAGAAGAAAATGCCACTCCACAGCCAAGAAAATCATAACCAAAGGCCACCACAGCAAAAGGCTAGGTCCAGGAGGCAAGGCAAGGCAACAAACAGAAAATGGGGAAAAAAATAACATAGAGGAACACACGATCACGAAAGACAAGACCAAACCAAAGCAAACCAAACCAAAACGAACGAACGAACCTACAATGGAATGCAGTCGGGCAACTTTTCTACAACTCCGCCACAGAATATTAAAGCGGAGTCGAAGTTGGGTTTGGAGTGGAGTGGAGTGGAGCGGCATGGTAGTTGGAGCTGCCTTTCGAGTTTTCTGATTGGAATAAGCCCAGCCGGGTCAGTTCATTCCGTTCAGTTCCCAGTCTGTAAGCCAAGCTGGGCCCGAGTGATTGGAGTTTTGCTGTTGTTGTCGTTGTCGTAAGTGAAGGTAACCACAGAGGTCCAAAACCGTGGAAAAGGTCTGAGTTCTGTAACTACAGAAGAGGGTAAACCAATAGAACTGCAGCAAAAGTCTATAAGCAAAAAAAATTACCTTAATGATCAGAAATCCCTAATAATTAAAAACTATTCTACAGTTTTTGCTCTTATGGTTTCTATTAATTCAAATTAATATGGACTTGAAAGTAACGATTTTTAAGTTTGAACATTGAATTTCAATAAAGTTACGAATAAAGACGAATGTTTTTAAAGAAATACACCTCGCTGTACTATTTGATTGACCACAGCTGTTTTGATCATACCTTGGGAGCCCCGGAGACATGAGCTCCGACTGTGGGAAGCTATTATAAACACTTTACCATTCTTTTTGTTGTTGCTGTTGTCTTCGACAAAAAACCGAGATTGGAATGTGGTGATACCAGATACGACAACAACAAGAACAACAAAAACATCGCCAAGCTAGGGTTAAAAGAGGGGGACGCTCCAGAGCGAGAGGGGAGATACCCCCACTGCTCCATGAGTCGTCATCGTCGTGCTCAGAACTCAAGAAGAAGAGAAGAGGTAGAATTTAAAGTGGAAGAATCCGAGTAGGAAGAAGAAGCGGAGACTGCAGAAAAATAAATAAATGCAATACACACAAAGAACATTCTTGCATGATCTCCACCAGGAATCTTTGTGTGCGTACCAAATGAATGTGTGTGTGTGCGTGCGTGTTGTGGCCTTCCAAGAAATGCAGCAACAACAAAACGACCGCCGACGTCGATAATACGAGAAGAAAACAGAGATGGAACAACAATAACATCACCAACAATTCTGGGATGCTGGCCAACAAAGGGCAATATTGTAATCATAATAAATGTGCCCCGATCTGAGCTGCTGCTAAGGAATGCACTTCGATCGGTTTGACTATATGGTTCTATCCCTTTCTGGTGCCCTTCCTCTTCTCACTCTTGCCTATTGAACATTGATCGATTGTCCAAAAAACTAACGGCGGCTTAGTTCAAAGCCGCAGAGCCGCCGACGCCGCCAGCGTATCTTCGTGGAAAAACCAAAGGAAAATTGTTCTCAAACCCGAAGTCAACTTGTGTGCGAGCGAGCTGGGAAAGCATTTATCATCCACAGCATCTCTATGGGACTTGGAATGTGGGTACGATCTCATGGAAAAGTAGAAGGCGGGGGCCTCGTTAGTGGAAATAATGGTTGAAAGGTCGTTTTTCACGCGGTCCAGGCTCAAAGGTCGTGGACGCGACGAGATGATTCAGCTTGAGGGCATCGAGAATTCCGGGAATTCCGAAAAGTAATTTTCTTCTTCTTATGCTTAGTCTTGTTTCAATCCTCTTTCCCCCAACTCTCCTTTCGAGAGAGCCGCCCTGGTCCATTTCCATTCATGTGCTGATTGCCGTCGCGTCTGCTGGCGATAACAAATGAAACTCGGGACAGAGGAGACAATAGAACTTCTCTAATTTCGGAAAAATTCTACTCCCAGCATTTACGTGAGAACTGTTTGTTGTTTATTAAGCACCTTATCTATCGTTTTATTAACGAATTGTCTCGACTCGTCTCGATCCGATTCGTGGGAGTGGGAAATGTGGGCGCAGGGACCACCATCGATGGTGTGTGGGTGCGGTGATATTGGATAAAGTTATGGGACTGCAACGTTGCCTGCGAATAATACAGGGCACAACATCCATAAATCGAAACCCTATAAGGAAAATTAAAAAAATAACTTTAAAGTTTAGGGTTACAAAAATATCCAATATAGGATATTTGAGAAATGGAAGTTGGACTTTATTGAGCTGAAAATTTAAGCTCAGCTCAATTTGAGAAACTGAGAGACTGGCGAGACTTTCTCTTTGTTCGGCGAAAAACGGACGCAAAAGTTCAAAGCAATGAAGCATAAAAAGCGGCACAGCGCGCAAAAATAAAAACTGCACTCCGCGCGAAAAAAGCATTGTGAAAATTGGCAACAGCTCAAACGGTTTTTTGAGCCCGTCTCTGTGGCCATGGTTTCTCGACATCACCATTATTCTTCGCCTCTTTTTCTCTTCATTTCTGCAGAGTCTAAAACACGCATGAGTGCACCACTTCCGTTGGAAGCGGATGTGTCAGACAAAGAAGCTAATGCTCCATAGCCCGGAATCGGTGGTGGTGGGTTGGGTCCGGATTATGCGAGTGAGTGTGTGCGTAAAAGAGGAAGTTCCTTACACATAGTGTAATCGTATATCGTATGGAGTAAAGCATTGGTATACATATGCCAAGCAAACTGACGCGTCATCTGTTTATTCCGATACACGAATAAAAATGTTTCATATCTTTGAACAATTTATTTTTAAAGTGGGAGTGTAAATAAATAATATCGAATGAAAAAAAACATGTACATATATTATTACAAATTACTTTTATTTAATTGTATTAATTCAATAATCCGTAATTTATAATATATCAACTTTTTTTAAATTATATGTTCAGCGCTTACAGTGGTGATCCGAAATGGCTTCTCATGTTGGAACAAACAAATTAGATTTAATTAGAACCGGATGGAGTTCTACTGCTGAATAGATGACACATATTGTGACCTTCGAATTTGCTAAAAATTCGGCAAACTGGAATATTTTTGTTGCTGTAGTCATCGCTTAATTTTATCCGTAGACGAATACAGCGTATTGCGTATTCCGAAATTCGGATGAATACAAAATTAATGGCATTGTATAGTACAATAACCGCCCCTTATTTTTCTTCCACATCATACCCAATTGAGAATGTTGTTTTTAAACGTTGATCGCTGGGGAATTGTGGGGAGTGGAATTTCGTATAAAATCACTCAGTGCTAAAAGAGGGTTGCCATATGGCTGAAAATTTTACTTTTTGACAGCTTGAAAAGCGTGCCAACAATCGTGCGTCATTGAAATTTGTGTTTACCAAAACAGACAAAATTCTCTGAATTCGCTGTGTAAGCTAAAATTCGTAATTTTGTAAATAATTAGCAATAAACAAAACAGCGAGTATTTAGCAACTCTACGGTCGCCATCTTTTTATGAAACAAGTCGTTGCGGTCTTGAAGTGCGAGCGGGACAGCGCCAACGAAACGGGAACACACAACAAAACGCCAGATAGCCAACGAAACATAAGACTGTGTATGTGAACGTACGAGCAAAAGCAAATAAAAATATATGTTAACTTTAGCTCTGTTGCCTTCTGATGTCACGTTTTCATTACAATTTTTGGGGTTAAATAAATTTGGGTACACAAAATAATACACTACACTATGGACTTTAGCTCACCTCGACAGCTTTTCTCTTTTTCTTGAAAAACTCAAGTTTCCCCTGGAAATTTCCTCTGCGATTGAGATTCGACGATGTGGAAATCGTATTATAATGCGCTTTCACAGTCTCTATCGATTTTCCGTGAACAATATGAACGGAAAAACACAACGATGTCACACTTAAACAAGCACACGTTCTTTCTTATCGTTCACGTTCTGTTGTTGTCAAAAATTACAAAGCCAACTATCACAATTGAGTCCGTTGAATACTTTTTTTTGTACTTTATTCTAACTTTAAATGCAAATGAAAATTAAGTCGAGAGAGCGCTAAAAATAGCTCAGTAATCCATTGCTTCTTTACGTTTTGAGTTGCGTTTACGAACTGACGCGAACGAACGCGAGAAAGGCAGCCGAAACCGTTTTGTGAGCGATGCCGGGAATGGCTGGAAAATCGCCGATCTGGCTATTTTTTTAACCGTCAAATTTGTAGTTGGGTAAAATATCCTTATTACAGGAGCTCATCTTTAAAATTAAATTATCATTATTATCACATATTTTAATGGCTCTAGAATAGGTGTATTTTTGAAAAATACAATTATATTTAAATTAAATTATTGCAAATTATTCGCAGCTTATATCGTTTTAGCTAGTTTTGGTTTTATTTTAAGATCCTCTCGCCAGCACTGTCAGTGAAGGAGACAGACCCATATTGCACTCGCATTTGGTTGCTGAGTAAGAAAAGGAAGGGATATTTTGAATGCAGCGGCCCATTCCGCCTTTTCTCGCAGCTGAAGTTTTGAAAAAACCTTTGTAACGAAAAAAAAACCTTTTAGCGAAGGCAATGCACAACAATATGTGTGTAAATATTTATGTATTTTTAAGCCAATATATTATTGAGCGCAAATTAAACTCTGTAAAGCTAAAAGCAAGTGCATAGTGTTGTTGTACTACGACTAGTATTAGTACGCAAGCCGTAATAACCGTACAACTGTCAGAAGTATTGCTGTCCCTTTCCCACCCGCAGACTAAGCAACCAGGATCATTGATTTTATGCTCCTGGAAGAGAGCATGGAACATGCGCCGAGCGATGGAAACGGCGCGTGTCAATGCACCTTCCAGACGGCGCGAGAAAGAGAAAGAAAGAGCAGGAGCAGACACCAGCTGCAGTTTTTTGTGTATGCACCTCATTCCGCCCCCACCTTCCCACTCTCATTTTTGGGTTTACCTGTCTGTTCTTCAATTTCCAAAAGACAGCTGTATATGCAGTTCTTATCACAAAAAACCGTAAAGTTAACCCTAACACAAACAGTTTTGCCAGAAACAGATGTTTTTTGCAATGGAAAATTGTAAAATAATCATTTTGTTAATGAAGCTTTTTCCATTGAGCTGCACAAACCCTTTTGCTATCTGTTTGCAGTCTTTGATAGAGCCAATCTTATCGTTAAAAAGTATCTTTTTCTAAACAGTAATGCTTACAAAGTAAAAAATATTTAATCTCTGAAAAAAGTATGTTCTTAGTTAATGATTTAAAAATAGTTTGTACAAGGATATGGGAAAATTTAAAAAAAAAAAATCGCATTTTATTATGTATTGTGATGAGCTTGCTGTATATAAATTCTTTAATAATGAAGTAAAGTTGAGGGCCTTAAGATAGGATCTTTGGCTACGTGCTTTCGCGTGTTCTTAGAACGAGTAGATTGCAATGGTTTATCGATAAATACATATTTGCAATCTAAGAACAACTTCCTTTTAATTAGAGCCCCATGATAAGGCTCTTTTGTAGTTGAGTAATAATAGCCAAGGAAATTCCGACACGTTCAACTGTTGAAATACAAAAGATCTCCAAGTTTGAATCATTTATGGAAAGTGCCTTGGCGACGGTGCGCGACATGTGCATATAGCGTCCGCCCGCTAACGGGTTGAACTTTTCGGATTTTATAAATACATCCAGCTAAATTTACCACGAAGATGTCGCGACGCATTTGAGAAATTTGCCTATAAATGCAAAGTCTAGACGACTTTGACATGTTGCAAGGCGACACTATCGCCGGCGGTCTTTTGGTGGAAATTAAACGAAAATCTGGCGGCAACATATTCTATTTGTGGATGGTGGCAGAGCGCCGTCAGTAACTCGGCTTTTTCTGTTTCAAAAGATCACTCCGCTGACCACACAGAGTTTGGATCTCGCCGGACAAGCTTAGGCTAAAAAAAATCCCTCTCTCAGAGCCGAACGGCCTTGCAAGGCCTTTTAAAGTTGTTGCACTCGCCCCGTTCTTGTTGGTGCTGCTGCTTATTGTGATTTTGATTGCTCACCCATACACTTTATAATAATCACAGTAGTTATTCGCTACAACAGGTTTTCTAGATTAAATCTTAAAAGAATTTACATATTAAAAATTTCTGTATCTAAGATAAATACAAATAGAGAAATATCCTTACATATTTTATTAGTTACAAGAGCGTTAAATACTAAAACATTTTTTATATTTGTAGCAGTTTAAAAATAAGATTTGTAAACCAATATTAATTTATTACGGAAAAGTATCTATTACTTTCAGATAAGTAAACTTTCAGATACTTGCGATCTTTAGGTATTTTAGTGGCGAATCCACCTTCAAATATTTACCAAAATGGTATAATAATATATAGGTTCAACTTAAAGACGTTTGACTGTAACGTTTGTGTGCTGCTTGTTACTAAGTTTGTCTGTGGCTTTTAATTGACAGCCAAATGCAGCCAGCGGGCTGAAAACCTGTTTTGGCCATTTTTGCATTCTCTTCTTTTGCGCGGCAATTGGCAATTGGCAAAAGGTGTCATAACAGCGAGTTGGGCACGATTCGATTAGATTGCCCCTTGCCTATTGCAACATGTGCTGCCTGTCGGTCCCTTTTCTACTTTTTCACATATAATTACCTGCCTCAATCAGGGCCCGAAAACTAGATCGACAATCCAGGAGGACGTGTGCCGGCAGCTGCAAGCGAGTCGGGCAACAATAAACCGATCAGAGGATCGCCGAAAAGCGGAGCCACCGCCATTTGCTCCTCGTCCTTATTGTGCCTGCTTCCAGTGAAAGGATCGCGGCACATGACGTCGCCAGCTGCCGTCGATCCTTTGTCAGGATCCTTTGGGGTACAGCCCAATAATGAGCCAGCCGAACTAAGGTGTCCTGCGGATCTGTTGCTGTCAAACGAAAAGTCCTTATAAAGGGATCTTTTATACCTTGTATGTATGTCTGGCTATTAAGATTAATCTTAATCCAACAAAGTCTTGGCTCAGTTTTTAGATGACCGAATACAACTGAAGTCATAATTGAACTCTGCTATGCATCACAAAGCTTAAAAACACGTTTCGTTAAATACGAAACGAATATTTAGGAAATGAATAACATCTTATTTTTGGAGTGATTCTAAATTGATCTCATAAATAAGTAATATGTATATGAATAAAAGTTCCATTCTTTTTAATTTACATATTTTACTTTTTAAGTGTTAATTTTTGTTTTATTTATTTAAAAGCTAATAAAAGGGTCGTATGATGGAATAAAAGATTGAAATCAAGTATAATAATAACGTACATATAGTTATTTAAGACTAGGAAAATAAGAGGTATATTTCTGTTAAATATTAGTAGTGTCTTCCTTTAAGTTTTAGACAACTTTATCTCTATTGCAAATTTAATGAACCTAATCAAAGTTATGAGATTAAAAAAAATCCGAAAAAAAGTGTGAGGTCATAAATGATTTTAACTATTGCCACTAGGACTTTGGTTTCAATTTAACTTATCGCTAAATTGCACTTGCCTCTGACATTGATTAAATGATTATTTTCGGAAATTCCTTTGTTTTACGCACACCAAAAATAACATAATTGATTTGCTGATTAGTTTAAAACATTCCTAATAAATACATGCAATCATTTTATTTTAAAATTCTTATTCGATATTTTATAACAAGCTCGACAAAATGTAAGGCAAATTATTAAATGCTTATTTCTATCTACTGAATGTGGATTTTAATAATAGATACATTTTTTTATGTTTAAAGTTTTTTAAAGATATCTAGTTAATTTTGCAAACATATAAGTAAAATATTTTATAGAAATAAAATGCCTAAGCTTCTAACATTAGACTTATTGTTTGTTAGTTCACTTGCGGCTTAGTTGATAAATTTTTATGAATAAGACACGTAAGTTTCTTGAGAAAGTCAGTCACTGTTATTTGGAAAAGATTACAAATTGTTATGACAACTGTTTAAGACATCTGGTTCATAAAAAATGCGTTCTTATCTTTCTAAGAGATTGTGGCGCCAGCTAAAACGGAAGTAAATACGAGCAAAAATATTTCGTTTTGTTGGCTAAGTTTAGCACCTAATGACGCAATGCAGATGCAACGAGGTAAATAGAATTTTGTTCTAGTAAAATGAGTGAGGTAAGCAGCTGATTTTATAGGCAAAACCCATCAATCTTTTGAACCTACGCAGCACTGTAAATGGAAATGACATTGAGCGGTAATTAAAAATAGGAAAATTCTAGCTAGTCGCGTTCAATGAGTGGGTGGGTTCAACCAATGGGGTGGGGTTCGTCGGGTTGGTTTCATCATGAATGAAATGCGATGCTCAGCATCGGCGGAGATAAAAGGTACAATTGAGCAGTCTAGAATGTACAGTAAGATAATATCCCTTTGGGTAGACCATATATGCGTCAGAGTAGGATAGATAAATTTCAGGGGGCTGTGGGTTGGGAGGTGACTAGACAGAGAGAGACGATTCTGGATTGCAAACGGTTTCGAAATGACTGGAAAATGCCAGAGAGCAAAATTTTGAGTGCATTTTCCAAGGGGTGTTCGTGTCACTGAGGACATGAATGAAGAGGAATACAACAAAAGTGTTGTAGAAAGAGAAGCAAAAAAGGAGAGTGAGGAAGAGAAAAAGGGAGTTTGAGAGCGCCTACTTGTATGCAATAAAAATAAGAAAACAAAACTACTTTGAACCCTTTAACCCTTCAAGGACCTTTAAAAATCTTAAACATTTAAAAAAAAATGTAAAATGTAAACAAACAAATGACGCAGTATCCCTACGGAATATTTTTTAAATGCCTGTCTTTATTGTTTAAAAAATAAAAACAAACAAAAAACAATCTGAACAAACACTTACCAGAGCCATTTTAGAAGAGATAACGTATCAGCTTATCGCATTGGTTACTTAGACCGTCAGAATTGTTTACGTTTATCACAGCACGATAAGAAACTTAAAAAGGCTTCGATAATTGCAATTTTTCAAGGTGCAGAAATAAATTACTTCAGGCGTGGTGCATGCGTCGACCGGTGGGTTTGAGTGTCATGCTGCGACTAGACAAAAACTATTTTATAGAGCCGCCTAGCCTACTTTCCTATGGGTATTTGCTTTTGTCGGTTTTGCGTTCTCATTTGTTTTGTTTTGCTTGGCTTTCTAGAGAGGAAGAGAGAATCAGCGGGGCGGAACGGTTGAAATAGTTTTTGCCGCCCAAGCGATGCGCAATATTTTGGGGGGTGGGTTCATCAACTGCTCTCTCACTAACTTTTATATCTCTCTCAACCAAAAGATGCAAAACGGAGTATTTCCTAATAGTATTCTCTTTTAAATAACATCTCTTATTAAATTTTTATTGCATGCACAATTTTACATTTCAAATTAGGGGTATAAAACCGTTACAACTGTAAACTTTTACAAATGTAGCCCTGGGCTTAGTTGTGAATATATTCTCCTGGGGTCACACTGATTTTAGTATTTTTTTATTATCAAAGTAGCGCGTTAAAATTTTAAATACAACAAGCGAATCCGATAGAAACTAAGTTCTTCAACGTACAAATAATTATATTAAATTAAGAGAAAATCATTCATCATATGACCTTTTGTTAAATTAAATTTTATTAATATCTATCCGGGTCCTACTTCATAGCGGATAAAACCACCAAAAACAAGTGCCTCGTACCCGAGTTTCCAACCAACCTCATACCAGTGATGCGAATTTAGGGGGCAGCTTAGCTTGGTGAACGAGATTTTACCATCTGGTCATACCGTTATACCTAGAGGTGTCATGGCGGAACAAATTGGTTTGAAATAAAAATTTATTCAAATCGCATGTACATAACGGAGAGCGAAATGACTTTTTGACTTATCTTTAAATCATAGTTTATACAAATTATGGTTTCCTCACTATATCAGTAAAATTTTATCATTCTAAACATTCATCCCAAACAAAATAATATACAACGATTTGATTTGTAAGTCATATACAAATGCTTGTAGAAATGTGAGTTTTGTCCAATAGACATCGATGACAACAAATATCGATACTTACGGTGCTTTAAAAACATCGATATTGTTTATTGTGGCATCGATGTGTCTCCACCTCTAGTTATATCGTCAAAAATTTTTGGTCTGTGAACTTCGTGCGGAAGAAATTCGATTTGAACGCCTGCGAAAATATGCAAAATAAAGTGAAATACCAGTGCCTCTCGGATGAGGAGCTACCCTGCGGAGCGTCCCGCAGCCAGTAAACCCCAATAAGCTGCCCAAAATCTGGGAATTTCGCGGGGAAAGGTGCGTTTTTCGGTTGGCTTTTCGGTGTATGTGAAAAGTTTCTACTGCAATCCATTTTTCTCTACGTGCGTGTGCGGCGTATGTGTGGCTGTGTGCGAGTGTATGGAGTGGGGCGATGTAAAAATGCCTTTACATAATTACATTCGCAATTTCGAGGACTTTAATGCATTTCGCCAGCTTGCAGAATTACATAAAATCACAGCAGCCATGAATTTTGGTGCGTGAAAAAATACGCGGCTTCCATTTTCGTTCTATTTACTCGAGACGTCAGCGTCGCGGCTGTTGAATTTATGTCAAATTGGTAACACACACTCAAAGCAGGCAGGCGGAGAGCGCGTATGCAGGCCCTAGATGCATGGGTGTGTGTGAGTGCGCAAAAGAGAGAGAAAGAGAGCGAAAGGGAGAATGATAAACAAAGTGAAAAAAACAAGCGGCTGTAAAAATGCCCGCAAGTGTTTTTAATTGATATGAAAATATGTTTGCTTTACACTTTAGTTTAAAATTTTTAAAATTAAAATTAAAGCTGTTCTAAAATATTTTCAACTTGAAGTTACAAGCTGTATATTATGCACCCTTTTTGTACCTCTTTTTCGCTTTTAAAAAGTATTTTATTCACCCAATGCAACAACAAAGGTGCGCGTTAAACAACAACAAATAGCGTTGTTTTGCAAGAGAGTGGGAGAGGGATCGTTCCAGATTGCCGAAGTGTGAGTGAGTGGAAAAGAAAACGCCAAGAAGTTGGCTGATAAAGCAAACACACATACTCGCACACACGCACGGAAAATAGAAAAATTCGAAAAATAATAATAATCAGCAAGCAGGAGAAGAAGCAGCAGCAGTACAAACAGCAAATGTGTAGTTGTGATCGAAAATCGAAAGTGTGAAGCATTTTCTATAAATAGTGCAAAATCAAAATCAAATTCCCAGTGCAAACAAAACGCAATTAAGCAATAAGAAAAACAAGAAAAAAAAAAATTGAAAACAGCGAGCCCATAAACACGATATATCTGGAGAGGTTGATCTCACAGAGCACGCGCTCTGCATCGAATAGCAGGATTATCGGAAGGATCATCTAGAAAGGATCACCAAGATGTCCTCGCTGGACGCACGTAACAATTCCGCGATGATGAAGCGGGCGGAGCAGCTGAAGCGCTGGGAGGAGTCGGACACCAACCGCGCCGCTCCCACTCCCCGCCACGAGCACGGCCGAAGGATCAAGTTCAGCTCCGGCTGCGTCTTCCTTGCCGCCTGTCTCTCCGGCGACAAGGATGAGGTCGTCCAGCTGCTCGATCAAGGAGCTGACATCAACACGGCCAACGTGGACGGACTCACTGCTCTGCATCAGGTGCGTTTACTCAGATATAATAATTGATAATCAATTTAACACCCAGCTTTATTAGGAAAATTTAATCTAAATCTAAATTAGTCAAAGCTAAGCAAAAATATAATAAATACGTTTTAATGTTAAAAGGTTGTCATAAAATCAAGAGAGTTTTATAAGATTTGATTGCTAAATGTAATGAAGATGCAGAAAAGTACACATTAATAAAAACAATCACTGCAGAACTTTAAAACATAAAAAAAAAACAAATCAATTGTTGTTTGGTAGGAGAATAAAAGGTTATGAACCTAAATCAGGTGGATTTTCATCTTTATGTATTATTTCAATTTTGCACCCCTTTTTAGCCTGGCCGATTTCCTTTTAGTAGGGAGCTAAACGTTGCGTCAGTTTGCTGCAATCGCGATCACGCGACCGGGCGAGGGGGTGGTGGGGGTGGGGGTTGGAACGGGCGCAAGGGGCTGCAGTTTCGACACTGTTGCGTTCCGTCCAACTGTGGTGCTGACGTGGGTCGTACTGTGGGTCAATTTCCATGACCCATTGATTCGATTATTACAAATTTACAAACAATATTTAAAGCATAAAGCCCCTGAAAATGAATAAAAATTTTACTAATATAATAAGATGGTTAAAAATCACGGACCTTAATTTAACTATCTTTGTATAATGTAAACAAAGCTTTTTAGTTTTAATTTATAGTAAATGAGTAAGAATTTATTATACAATTTATATTATATCTTCTTTAATGATAGACAAAAGTTCTTCCTGACCCAATCAAGGTCAAGAAATATCCTCTTTTTTTTAGGCCCACTGTGCATAGTCGTTCGCTAGACGCTCGACCATTGTTTTTGTTGCGTATTTCGTGCTCTTTCTGCGGTTTCAACACCGCCGCCGCAACAACAATTCGGATTTCGAATATTAACAAATACAACAAATACATGGCTAATGCAAGCCGACGATTTAAAAGTCGAATGGCCAGAACAGCAACAGCAACAAGCTAAAGGCAAACAGCAACGGCCAAAAGCATTAAATAAGAAAAATACAAAATGTTCTATTTTTAAGAACCAAGAAAAACATACAATACCCATACACACATGAAGGCGAGTTTACATATTGAAAGCCAAAAGATTTTCGCAAAATCATTTTCAGATTTCCTCTCATTTGTTTGACTCGTTTTCGTGCTGTGTCGAACAAAAATAACATTAAAAGAATCTCGCTGGCCAGAATGTTGATATTAACCAAACTATTAAGGAAATTTGAAACAGTATCAAATACAAATTGATTTAACACTACAAGTAACCCATTTATGCCACACCCTATTTGTATCGAATTGATTTATTATTGATTGCTGAGATAACTATTAACTTCATATTTCAAATATAAATAACTATAATAAAACATTGGAGTTTACATGGTCTATATCTTAAATTCTAAATTTTTATTTAAATTTCAAAAATGGTTTCGTGCATCAATTATTAAATATGTTGGCAGTCCACTCCCATCTTGCACTCACTGTGTGCTCCAATTCATTATAATTGATTCTAATTATGCTGCGCCAGCGAAGAGTCGTAGATTTTCACCGTTTAACCGCGGCGCACTTGTTAACCAGATGCTAATTTGCTCAGCGCGGGCAACGCGGGGAGGGCTCACTGTCTGAGGAGTGCACTGTAATTACAGCAACAGCAACTACAACACAATAATAATAATAATAACAATGGGAACAGTGCAAACGTTTTGAATTACCTGCCACGTTGAACGCTGCTGCGGTGCAAGTGCGGTCGCAACCTGCGGCTATTTGCTTCACTTGCTGTTGTCGTTTTTGCCTAACCGCAAGGCAGAATTTCGATTGCATTTATTAAAATAATTATCTTATCGCCTGCACTTACAAGTTCTCTAATGGTTGCAAAAGTCCACCCCCGCCAGTTTCTTTGTAGTCGCTTTCCTTTGGCCTTTGCCGCAACAATTTCACATTCATATATTTTCAATGTTTCGGGCCTTCCATTCATAAGCAGCATTGACAACGAAAGCACCACACCTGCACCACATTTTCAATGGCATGCGACACGATTGCTGCAGACAGGATAGGCTACAGTGGTTAAAGATACAAGATTACTAGTTTAAATATTATAAACATTAAAGAGCTCTGCAAGAAATCTATAAGAACGGGCTTAGTTAGTCGGTAATATAAAATATTTTTATTTGAAGCCGACTTTTTAGAAATTTAAATAAATAAAAAGTACGCCTTAGCTTTTTGGAACTAGAATGAACAACTTTTTTTATCAAGAAATGTTTATCATTCATTTCAAAAAACATAAACGACTGTTTTTGACTATTTTGTTGTAATAAATATTTCCTTAAATGTATGAATAAAATTCTATAAAATAGAATAAATAGCTGAGGTTTTTTGGCTCCACTGTGTAGCGAGGCTACCTTGGACTTTATATGAATGATGTTGACTGATGGAGAGGAAGATAGAAAACGGAGGACTGGGGAGGAGGACGAGGAGGAGGAGGCTGTTGCAAGTGACCGTGTATCCATGCCGTTGGCTGACTTTGATTTTGTTTTGGCCTACAAGCTGGCTGCGTGCATTGACGTTCAAACTCGTTGGGGGACAAGTGGGAAATTATCAAAGAAATGGCAATAAATTACGGGTGTTTACAAGCCTTCAGACTCAAATATTTACATTTAAATACAGTTCAAGGATAATATGAGGTTTATTATAGAAGTGTATTTAATGGTCCGTATATTTCATAGTTATGAACTTTAAAATTAGAAATTTTTTGGAAATGCGTGGGCTTAACCACAAAATTTATGATAGTCGGAAATATGCGCTAATTATAATGAAATGAATCATTTTGTACCCTTTGAAGTGAAACTATTAAGATGAATGTTTCGATTTTTGTTTAAATTAATAAAATGTTGATAATTCATATATGTTGTTCGGGTTGTTATAAATGTTCTTATCGTTTTGCTTAATTTACCCATCCGTATAAGACTATCAAATCTGGTTATCGTGTCCCCCGAGTGCCAATCTATGTTTTATTAAACAGCCTCCTTCGGTGATATGCTCAAATTAAGAATTGATTTATATACATACATTTCTGCCAATTAGCAATTGATATATTTCGATTTGTGTTTTGAGGGCAGGGGAGGCGAGCTGGCGCCGCATAAATTAAGAAATTATTCTGTCAAGACTTCTCTCAAATTGAGCTATAGTCAGTGTTGAGTGCATAATAATCGTAACAATTGCCGATCCGTTGACATGGCGATCGTGAGACGATGAGATCGATGACGAGTCCTGACCGACCGATCGATCGAACGTTTGGGGAGTTGGGAAAAGCTGCGTGAGTTTTCCCAAACGAAAATATGTACAGAAAACTCTGTGAGACATTCGCTAGTAGATTTGTTGCTGTCGGCTAACGCGCTTTATTGACGTGTTTTCTAACCTTGGCCCGGTTCTCGACGGACTGACGGGACGGACAGCTGTTGAGACGCACGGCTACAACAGACAGACTCACAACAGATACAAATCGAATATCCTCAAGAATCAGCAAAAGCAGCAGCAGCAGCAGCAGCAGCAGCAGCGCGTGTATTCGGAATGATCTCTCTGGATGTATCTGTTAGGTTGTGGTTGTATATAAAAATGGATGCGGTCGCTACACTTGATTTGATTTATTTCTCGTTTCGTGTTTTACACCCAAAATAACAAACGAATGCGAATGATCAAAATGAAAATTCGCTCTATGCCAGATACAATTTGATGTGATGTCTGCAGTCCGCGCAGTCGGCATCTGTGTATCTGCCAGATACATTAGTATCTGATGTGTGCTGTGCGTTGCATAATACCATTTCTAGCCATAGCCAGCCACAAAATGTATGCCATTAAAAATGTTTCGGTTTTACAACCGAGTTTCTCGGACTCTAGGCCTATCCATCCAATCATTTATTTTGTTTGCCGTTTACTTCTGGTTGCCAATTCTGCCGACGCCCGATTATAATTATTATACATTTAGCCACACGCGCTATGCCGCACACACACGATTTCAAATCTTTTGTTTTATGGATAAACGAAACGGGAAACAGCGGGAAATGTGCGATAAATACTACATTTTTGCCAATTCATGACGACATGGGCTCAGAAATAGTTTAGCAGGAAAATATATTAAATTCTATATATCTTTCATGGCTTTGTCTTCAATAAATATTCAACGTTTATCAGCGGGTAATGTTCACTATATCCAAGTCAAATGTTTGAATGATTTTTCTTGGAATTTCCTTTGAGTAATCCGTCTTACTTATTAACAATTCGTCATATATCTTTAATATATATTTTTTATCAACTACAATTTTAGCTTGTAGAAAGGCGATTATCATATCAGCGCTTGTTCACGCTTGAAATCTTAGTTAAATAAACATTGAAGTGATAAGGTTTTATTTTCCAGCAACTAAGTAAATTCACAACTTTTGAAAAATGTAAAAGTGTGCCAAATTACAATTTCTCTTTTTGAGAACAATTAAAAGCCAAATCTTTACATTGTTAGGAAATTGTCTATATTTATGTTTCCATTTAGGTTTTCCTTTCGGTTTGTTTATTTTTCATTTTGCAATCGCTAGTGTTCATTATTTTTCACACTTCTCTCCAGTTCGGCCAGATGTCTTGGTTCCACCTGGCCAAGTCAAAAAAGATATATTTAATGAAGGAAACAATTCTGCTGACCAAAAGCGCCTACTCATACGGCGCTGTATAAATCGTTATACAATTTGGCAAAAATATGCCAGGCATTTTTAGTGGCGAAAAGCTATTGAGACACATGAGAACTTTTCTTCAAAAAAGAATAAAAGAAAAAGATACGAAAGAAATTGTTTGAAGGCTGTGAAGCACACTAGAACATTTCACACAGAAAAATTTGGGTATACGTACGCCTAGATATATAAACTGATCTATATATGTATATGTAGGGTATATATCATATGGTTTATGTAGATTCTTTGCACTTTTATCTTGTGGCGCTAATTCAAATTTGTAATTTATTGAACTCAAGCGGTTCGCTCGTCTATTTTGGCATTTCGATTATAATATATACTCGTACATTTTTTTGTTAAAACGAATAATTTTATTCCCGGGCAGCAGGTCAATGAGTGGCACGGAATGTTGTTTTTAAAACGTATTTTAAAATGCCATAAATTGCTTATTTTAGTGTAGGAAAATAAAAGAAAAGTGTGGCAAAGCATAATAAATAAAACTTCAATGCGAAAGGAAATCAAAGTAATTTCAAAATGAATAATATTAAATTAAAAACGTCATATTTATTTTTTAGTTTAATGCGTAATAATATTCTTTATTCAAAGAGTAATAACCGAGTATTATGCATTGAATCCTTTATTGAATTAAACAAGAACTTAAGCCTCTTAGTCTGTGCTCTCAAGCAGAGTTTTCCATGTAACTCTTGAGCTTGGCTCTTCATCAAAGGAATTACTCGGGCTATTGAGTTATAAGCCAGAATTATGTGCATTGGTGGTTAACAAAGCGGGGGCCAAATGGAGCTCGGCGCCTCACAAACTACCGCGTAATGAGCCGCGTTAAGCTGGCGGCCGAGAGTCTGAAAGCCGTCTCAACAAGTCGCTGTTGGCCTGGCCTACGCGGCGTATACGTAACGCGGCGAGGTGAATAACATTTGGCGTGCAACGGCTGAAAATGCCGCTCAATGGCGTGCCAAAACAAAAGGCTAAACTTAGCATGCAGTTTTTTTTTTTTTATATTTGCTGTTTTTTTTGTTGTTGTTGGTTTCTTTTCGCTTTTTTTTTCACTGGTTTTTCGTTTGGCAATGCAAATGGAAATAGCGTAGAATCCGTTGCTCTGACATTAAAGCGCAAAGTCTGGGGTATCGAGGGATCTCGCTGATGGAATAGCTCGTGTCAAAAATGTTTGCATACCACAAAGTCATTGGACATTGTCGTCGAGTCGGTTTGTGGATGGTCACGCGTGGGCGTTGCCCCGCCCCCGCCCCACAATCCCCCCTTTTCCTCTTTTCCTGCCAGTCGGTCAGTTTATCAAAATTGTTCATAATTAATTAATTGGCTGCGTTCCAGATTTACAAATTGTTTGGCCCACCCGCCGCCGTCTCTTTCGTTCTAGCCTTCTTTTTATTTTTTTATGCGTTTTACTGCGAAATGGAAATTGCTTTTGGATTTTAAAAGCAACGGCAAAGAAGTCACTTTGAAAGCTCAGTCAGTAAAAAATTTGAATTAACATATGCCGCGGCAAGAAAAGGAAAAGAAAGATAGAGAGACAAAGACAAGAATCGGTCATTTGATTTTTATAATGCCCCACTCCTCGAACGTGGTTTGTTATCAAGTGGGGAATGGGGAAAGGGTAAGGGAAATACACTGGAAGAAGAAGGAGCAATAAAACATTAGTAAGGAATTTTAATAAGATTTTTGCTAGTAGTGTGAGCATACATGATATTGTATATGTGTTATGCCCCAAAAACCTGATACATCTTCAAATTTAAAGATACTTAAATAACCTATTCCTCAACTACTTGTTAGTTCAGTGTATCGAGCGTGCACTGTATTTGAAAGGTTTGAAATTTTATTTGTGTTTAACATAATGATAAGCAAAGAATGTTAATCTATTGATTTTGACAATTTGCCAAAAAACATGAATTCGAAATATCTTACAGATAACAGATAACCTGAATTGAAATGTGATTGGGTTAGATATTTTGTTCTCTGTGCATTGATAGAGTTAGCGCCTTTTGTTGTGGGACTCGATTCTTTTACTTTCTTTCCATTTGGCTGTTCTGTGGCTTTTGCGCCAAAGAATGCTTATCGGCATTTGCAACTACGAGGCGTTGTCGTCTCCATTCCACTCAGCCCGACATTGTTATGGGGTTTGGGGCCGGGTGGGTTGGGTTTTCGTTTTGGTTTTGGTTTTTCTTTGCTGGCTCACAGATAGCGACGGCCCCAAAGAAGCGCCGGAGTCGCGGGCGATGATATCATCATCATCGTTCACTGCTCAGTGCTGTGCATGTGCCATCCAACGAAACGAAGATGTCTAGGCGGGTTCAACGGAAATCCGCATAAACAACCCAACCATGCTGGAGTCTCTCCTCTGCTTTGCCTGTTTACTTTTACGTTTTAGCAAGATAAACAAAATTTTAATACATTCGACTAGCTCTTATAAAAACAAGACGGAAAGCTCAGCGAATCTCTTCTACGTAAAGTTGATTCAACTTTTGATGCACTGCATTTACGATTTTCGTTCGGGAAATCAATTTGTTTTTCCAGCCATAAAAAATTGAATAAATACATTTTATTTGCCAAAGTAAATGGTTTCAAGGATTTATGTTTATGGTTTTGACCTTTCGATGGGGAAATACAATGGAAAAGCCTCGTCCAAAAGACGGGTTGTTTACTGATGGACTGTATATTGACATCAGTTTATTCACATTTTATATCACAGAAGATATTTATTAAGACCAATTTTAAAAATGCAATTGGATACTAATTCATATTAGGACTGCACCATTAAATCTTTAATGATAATATTATATTATTTATTATTTTCTTAGATAATATTTATTAGATATTATAAATATAAGATCACAGAATTATAATAAAAATTAAATGAAATATATACTTAGTTTATGAACTGATCCCAATATACATTATTATATCTATATAAGTATATTCCCCAGTAATATTCTCTTACTTTACCATAAAATATCTCGTTCCGTTTACTTACTCAACTCATCCTTAATTTTTCTAGGCGTGCATAGATGACAATCTGGACATGGTGGAGTTTCTGGTGGAGCGAGGTGCCGATATCAACCGACAGGATAACGAGGGCTGGACGCCCCTGCATGCCACTGCCTCCTGCGGGTGAGTGTAAAATCTAATTCCAGACAATTTATTTTTGATTGACTGTTTATTCGATTTGCCAGGTTCGTGAGCATAGCGCGGTATCTGGTGGAAAATGGCGCTGATGTGGCCGCTGTGAACAGCGATGGCGATCTGGCCTTGGATTTGGCCATCGATGTGCAGCACATGGCCATGATCGACTACATGGAGAAGATGGTGCAGGAGCTGAACATCAATGTGGATGAGGCTCGAAAGGCCGAGGAGCAGGCGATGCTGAACGATGCCAAAAAGTGGCTGAGAAGCGATGCCGCCGAGGTGGACAGACCGCATCCGAAAACGGGAGCCACTGCACTCCACGTTGCCGCCGCCAAGGGTTATACGAAAGTGCTGGGATTGCTCCTGGCTGGTCGCGGTAATGTGGATCGCCAGGATAACGATGGCTGGACGCCACTGCATGCGGCATCGCACTGGGGTCAACGGGAAACGGCCGAGATGCTCGTGGAATCGCTGGCCGACATGGACATACGCAACTATGCCGGCCAATCCTGCATCGATGTGGCCGATCGCAAAATAGTCAAATTCCTGGAAGAACTGCGGGCCAACAAGCGCAACAAGCGGCGACCATCTAGTCAAATCAGGTGAGGAAAAATCAGACAAATTATAGAATTAAAAGTGGTATAAAAACTGATAAGATCAGTGGTTCATTTAATTTGTTTCAATTTATTTTTAACCGTAAAGGGTTGAGAGTTTGTAATAATGAATAACTGAAATATTTCATGACAATACATTTTCTTTATAATTAAAATGTGATTCATGCTAAATAAATATCCAGCTTCAAAATAATATTTATAAAAAGTTCAAAACCAATATAAACAGGATATTAACTAGAAATTGAATAAGATTATTTAAAAAACAAATTATACACAATCCATGTGCTTACTATATAACTCAACCTGGAAAACGAATGCCATAAAATTAAATGTTTTAAGTTTATTTTTTATCTAGAAATTCAATCAGTTATTAATCCCTGAATTGTTTATGTTTTTCAGCAGAATCTCAGATGCGATTGAAAATCATGTGGACAAGACGCCCACCAAATTGGTTCGCGTTGAAGTGAGAACTGATGCCACAAAGGATGGTACGTATGCCTCGCTACTAATTAGTTAATAACTACCTTACCTCGGCTGCATAATTAAAACCGAAAAGCTTTCTTTGATTTCTCACACACACACACTCTTGTGTTCGTCCTGTTTTTGGTCCTGTTTAGGTTCTCATGCGCGATAATCTTGTGTTGTTGTTGGAGCATTTAATCGTAAAACATTTGCCACTGCCTCTCGTATTTTAGTCACTCAAGATCACGCCTTCGTCTTTCGTATATTTTGCCTTCATGATCATGATCATATTCATTCATTCGGTAGAACCCCCTCTTATTTCTCTCTCTGTATCTGTATCGTGTATCTCTTTCTCTCTCTCTCTCTGTATTTGTATTTGTGTATTGTCTTTGCTTGTAAATTACGCACACTGCAGCTGCCAGTAGTTCAAGTGAAGCTATGGAAGCTAAGGCTTCGATTTCAAATGCTGCTGAAGATGATGATGGTGATGATAATAATGATGATGGTGAAGGTGAAGGAGTTATGGCCACTGGCCAGAGCGATGCAGAAGATCTGAGCGATTCCACGGAAAGCTCACACTCAACAAGTCTTTCAGAGAGCGAAGGTAGTCGGCATTTGTTTTGCGTCCCCATTGAAGGAGTTCCTTGTCAAGCAAACCCTGTCTGTAATAAGCTCGTCCTTAAGCCACTAACTGAGTTGTCTAACTGTATTGAGAATATAAAAAAATATGGCTTATCTATTGCTTTTGCAGCTGAGAACGTCAAGCCCAATCAGCAGATCCACGCCGCCGAACATCCAGTCGAGGAGGAGGCGCCCTGGCGACGCAAGCTGCCACGCACACCCAACGACAGTCCCACTAATAATCGTAAGTCCCTTTGGAGAGAATGGAGTGCAATTTAGGAGCTCAAGAATACAATTAATATCAAGTCAGAACAAACAAATCGCAGCTAAATATCAGTTAAATATTTCTTATGTGTGTAACTGCATTTTTTTTGTTTTTTTTCGATCAAGCATTAACAGATAAGATAGTATTTATAATACTTGTAAAATTTGAAAGGCTTCTGGTTACAAGAATTAAGAATTATAATGGTTCATTGATCAATTTAAAATGTAATGTCTATATATAAAATCTTAAATATAACTTTGTTTTTTAAGAAAATGTTGGTCAATATCATAATTAAAAATTATTGGCTTTATGTTAAATTATCTTTTAGCTAATTATAACTAGTATTTTGCTATCTGAAAGCCCTGAAGCGCACACCATTCTAATTCTGATAATCAAATCTGATGGTTATAATCAATATCTGAATCATCTTGCAGAAGTTCCTGATAGAGAGCTTAGCAGCAACAGCTCGGAGACCGCCAACGACGTCATTTTGCGACGCACGCAAAGCTTTGAGAACGATCAAAAGTGAGTTGAGTCCAAATAAAATAAAACATTGCGTGCCGCTCACACACAAAAACACAACAAACACAACACACAATCGCATCACAGATTAACCCACAAATGTATATACAGATTGCATATATACAAACATTGATCGGCCAAATTGTTGCACCGAAAATATATCTTTTTTTATTGGTTGATTTTTGCAGTTTGCTTTTCACTTTTGCCGATTGCATTTGCTTATCATAATCACACACACACATTCACACGCAAATATTTAACCAGTCACTCGGCCTTTGTCGGAATATATATAATATATATTTTGTATTTGATAACCCAAAATAATAAGAATTTGTGTGGGTAATTGTTTAAATTTACCCCTGTTGGTATCATCGATCTGGGGAAAGCTCACCCGATTCTCCATGAATCACAAGCTTTCCCCACTAATGAGCTTTATTTTCCATAACACCATTCGCATTTGGCAAAGTGAAGCGTTGACTGCAAAAGGCAACAAATAAGGGAAACCAAAGTGTTGTATTGATTTTAAAGTTTTTGTTTTGCTTTATTTTTTTCCCACCCTTTCAAATAAACAAAAAAAAAAATAAATGAATTAAAAATTGCATCACCAACGCACCACCAAAAAAAAACCAACAACAAACTCATCAAAACGCTTATCCCGAAATCTAACCCGCCCGCTCGCCCGCCCACCTGCTCGCTCCGCCCACCGCCCACCTGTACGCCCGCACGAATATTCGCAAAATATCCTCGAAAAAAACGCTGAAAAATCGGAATGACAGGTTCTATCAAAAGTACAACGAGCTGAGGGCACGCATAAAGGCCAATTCCTGTCCCATTCTGCCGGCGAATGCGAATGCGAATGCTAATAATGCCGCCAATAATGCTGCCAATAATTCCAATAACAATAACAATCTAAGTAGCAATAACAATCATAATAACAACAATAACAATAACAAAAGCGATCTGCTGTTGGGATATGCTGCTGGCACAACAACAACAACAACGAGCACTTCCACAACAACAACAACAACTAGTACATTCAACAACACCCACTTGAACACCAACAACACAAGCACACCACAACAACAGCAACAAACAGCAGCAACAGCATCGGCAACAAATCAATTATATAGCGTACAAAGATCGGCTTCACTCAAAGATAACTCAATGTATTACAGGTTTGTTTTGCATATAACACTCCCGAAAAACAATAAACTAGATCAGATTTTAGTTAGTAAAGTTAAGTAAAAAGTTGTTATAGTTTAGAAAAGATAGTAGTAATGTTATATTATTACTTTGTATTTGTATTTTGCATATAGGCATTTAGAATACTTGAACTTTTATAAAAGTAATTTATATTATAAGTATTAAATTATTAAATTCAATGAGAAATGTATAATCTAATTTGGAATTGACTCACGGATTCTAAAATGGCAGAAATATTTTTAATTATATTTAATTAATTATATTTAATATTTTTAAGCCTTGAATCTGATCTAGTTAAAGGGATCACGCTTACGTTTACCTGTTAACCCAAACCTAAATTGTTGTCACTATATTAACCTTACTTGTGCTTTTGCTTAGCTTCTACTCGTCTACACCTTCAGAAAACAAACTCATTGCACCAAACTACTTAACATATTTTCCTAGGCAACGCACCAATGTCGTCTATCTTCTCTTGGCTGTATTCCCCCAAGAACTATGAACCATTTATCTAATATGATTTTTATTTTAACAACCCGCAGGAAACCGACGGTTACTATTGCCACGCCCACAAGTACAGCAGCCACGGCAAACACGGCGCTCAATTCACCATCGACAGTACAGACCCCACCAATACGAAGGTGAGTTTATATTATTTAGTTAACTTATTTTTTAAAACTCTTTATTTAAAACTACATTGTCGAATGATTAGCCAAGTACCAGCTAAAACAGCTGAAAAGAGCAATAATGGCAGCTCGTCCACGGCCAGTGTCAGCGATGCGGAGAGCTCCAAGCCACCGCCAAAGCAATCCGCGAGCAATATGATCAAGAACTTCTTCAAGTAATGAGCGAGAGTTAATTGTTGTTTCTGTTGACGTTCAGATAACCCCGCTAGCCAGCTGCTAACCTGATTGATGCTCTAATTAAAAACTATATTTGTGTGGCATGATGTATGCTAAAATTATTTAGGCAACTAAAATACAGAAAATCAAACAAAATGTTGTCCTTAAATATTTAAACCTTAATGTTCAATATTGTAAAAGCAGTTACAAAGGAATATTTGATTTACTTCTGCAATATGATTCAGTTGACTAGAGTTAGAAGCAATTGTATGCTATTTACCTTAAACTGAAAAGTCTCAGTTAATTTTATAAGATTTATGGTAAACATTTCGTCCTCTAAATGTTTAAACCAATGCAGAGCTTAGCATTTGCTATGATTTTTTTTTTAATAGAAAACCAAGCCTTCGGAAATAAAATCTCTACGGACTAACAATGCTATGTTATAATATAAATAATTTATTGAAAAAGTTAACCTATTATAAGCTTGAGTTATTTTAGTGTTGCTACTTACATCTCTACGAAATTATTCTACCTTTCTGCATTTTCTGTTTCCATTTATTTCATGTTTTCTGAACTTATCTAATAATAAATGTTTATCCCACCCATTTTTTAGATCCTTTGTGCCACCAGTGCGCGATGAGGAGAGCGAAACGCAGCGGAAGGCACATGCCAAGCGCGTGAGGGAGACGCGTCGGTCCACCCAAGGCGTTACCCTGGACGAGATCAAGAGTGCCGAGGAGCTGGTCAAGAAGAAGAACATGGGCATGGCCAACAACAACAATAACAACAATATCAGCGCCACCACCACGAACACGATTAGCAACAGCGGCGTAAGTATTCCAGTGTCCAAAAACGGATGCTCTAACCGAATGAATCATCCACGCAATCACAACAAAAATCAAACCGAAACATTCACACTCGAGGAAGCTCTCTTCATAGAATCATTCGTAGATCATATCCTGTAGTCCTCCAAGGGATTACAGCATCCTCCACACACGATGTCCACAAACGCAGTTCACATCCACTCAAAAAAACGTTGAGCAATACACACCAGATCAAAAACCGAAAAATCAAATGCTTATGGTTATGGTGTCCCTATGTTTTCGATATCCCTTTCTGTTTATATGTTTGAATTTACTTACTCACTCAAACAATTCTACCAAAATATAAATATATTTAAATAAATTCATTAGTTGTTTGTGTGAGTGAGTTAAATACTAAATAGTAATTGTAATTTAGAAAATATATCATGTAGTAAACAGAATGCAACAGGTACTTACTTTATTGCCCTAAAAAGTATGCTATACATTTAGAGCTATTTGTTTGTCAAGTTCTTTATGGGGTTTTTAACACCTTTGGATATATTTTACAAATATAAATTCATACAACTTGTATCTGCTGCATTCTGTATTCTCATCCCAATGAAAAGCAGCCGAAAGCTGTCATCATTTCAATCAGAATCTCATCGATCAATCAGTGCTCATTTAGCGTACGTTGCCTCCCGTTTGATTATTATTCGTTCGTTTGTGATCGATCGCAAAATATCACACTTAACCAATCAAGTTGAGTTCAGTTCCTGCGCCAGCTCCGCTCTGCCCTGCCACGCCCTCGCCCCCTGACCCGCCCACGCCTCATAAATGTTTGAGTACTCGTTATATAGCGTAGCTTTATATATTTTTGATTACCCATCATCGGCATTTCAGTATCAAGCAGCTGCAGATCAGTGAACCATAGCGTAATTACCATTCCGACTTGTAATTATGTTCCAGTTTCTTAAGTTATCTCTATGTTCAGTTTTCGTGCTACTTACTAGGCTCTATATATATTTTTTTTATATTTTTATATAGCAATAAACTGTATGTCTATGGAATATGTTGATGATTATCATTTTGCATGTCCCATTTGCATGCGTAAACAAATCGCGTCACCCTTTTAAGTATCGTTAAAGTATGCAATTTATATTTAAACTATGTATAGCGAGATCCTTTTGATTTTTGTTAATTTTGTTCAAAAAACACACTCGCGTCCATCGCCTTAGGACAACTGTTTTTTTATTTGTTCCGAACTAATATTATTAACAGAACGAAACAAGCTCAGCATCATCGACATCAGCGCCCACGTCATCAGCCACGTCATCGGTTCTCGGCGGCAATGAGCAGCGGGACGAGTCGCAACCGCCGCCACCGCCCACCACACCACCGCCAGCCATAATACCCACCACAACGACGGCCACCGATGAGACGGAGATCGAGGAGGTGGTTGCCACCAGTCCACCATCATCAGTCCAATCAGTTGGCCAAAGCGACACCACAGCCACGTTCACGCTCACCGCTCCGGTGCGAAGATCCCTTTCGGGCGAGGGCGATGCCAACAGCGATCCCGAAGGCGATCAGGATCTGTCGGTGGTCAGTGCCAGCTATACGATAATGCCACGGCCCAGGGATAAGCTACCAGACACAGAAAGCAACCGAACACCACAAAAGACTGATCCAGTTGCCAAGAGTTCCTCCAGCGAAGAGGAGGTGCCGCATATCAGGCCCACGGATTTGCCGCTGATCCCGGTTCCTTCGGCCAGCACGGAGGTTATTAAGTCCTCCTCCGCGGCCACCACTCCTGCTGCCCTGGAAAGTCCAGTGCGTTTGCGGGACAAGCGGGGATTGAGTGGCAGCCAGGAATCGGAAACCAAATCCGATACCGCCTCGCCTGTTTCCTCGCATCCGGACTTCAATGCCCGGGATTCGCTACTCAGTTTGTATGCTCGTCGCACAACGGATAGCAGCGCGGGAGGAGGAGGCGGTGGTGGTGCTGGTGGTGCAGGTGGTGCTGCTTCCTCGACTTCAACTTCCGCAGCAGAAAGGCGTCCTTCTTGGCGCCTGAAATTCGATGCCGGCTCCAAGGTATGCCCACATTACCCAACTGCCCTTCCTCTAAGTGAATCCGATTAGCCTAATCCACAATATATCTTATGATCAAGAATATCTTGAAGATCGGTTGCTCAATTCGTGTGCGCCAATAATCAACTTTGTTAATCTCTAAGTGTAGCATGGATTTATCTTTTGATTAGTGTGTGTATAATTAGTTGAGAGCTACGATATTGAAGTTTCCCTTGCTTTAGTCGATTTCATATAACATCATCGTTTTTATATTGCTTTTCAAATTTAGTTTAAGGTCATTAGTCGTATATCTACATATTTTATTTTGCTGCTGTATTAACGCCTACATGATGATTAATAATCCAAAATTTTAGTTTTATATTCAATAATTGGAAAGAGTTATTATGCCTATTTTAATTCAAATTGGGTAATACAGATATTTACCGCCCGAAATATTTATTTTTAAGATTTTTTTAAGTTGGATTTACGCATTTGTTCTTCATGTTTTAATTTGCTCGTAGTTTATGCTTGACTCACTTACAAACTAAGTAGCTGCATTATTAAGTTATTACTTTTATCTATGTATCATTTTACAAAAACGCGTATTTATTTCCATTCGGATTCATATGTATATAATCAAACATAAATTCTTATTCATTCGGCTTTTAAACATTGATGTGTAAATATTTCCATTCTTAGTCCACTCTGGATTCGCTTGCATTTATATTTCTTTTCTTTGTTTAAAACATAAAAATATTCCAACTTATGGCATGTTATTTTTGAAAACATCTACATTTTTGTTAAACTTTTTAATGACTATATTCGAATGGTTCAAGGAAATACAGAAATTGCTTAGCTTAGGTATCGGGTTGCGGGCTCTAACTGATGGATTTAAAGCGAAATGGATCTGATACTTGTTTATTACTACTAAATGTTTGGTAAAAACTAACTCCCGCTGCATTCGAATGATTCAAGACACGGCATAGCTTTTTGTAAGAACAAATACATTGCACACAAACCAGCAAACGAAACGACAATTATAGAGAAACATTTCAAAACATAACTTGATATTAAACAATGTGTATATTTTTTTATTAAATTGAGAACACATAATAAGAGATTTTATTTCCATGTAGTTTAAACTGGAGGACATAACCAGCGGTGGCACTTATCCGCCCAATAATAGCACCATTATACCCAGTGCTCCGGCGGTGATGGCAGCCGCCAATCTGTCCACCACAACTGGTGTCCAACGGCGCATCAGCAGCGGTCCCAATGCACGTAAGTTGTTTTAGATATTCAGCATATATCGGATATGTTATTAAAGTATTTTTCTTTAATTTTAGTAAATGCTTCCAATCAGTCGCTCAACTCTGTCGGTCGTCCTGTTTCTGCTCCTAGTGAGGCCACCAACAATAGCGCCTATGTGAGTCCTTCAGCACGTAAATACGAAACGAATGCCACGTCAACGGGAGCGAACTCGGCAGCAGCCGCAGCGACCACTAACTCAACCTCCAATTCAGTGTCTGCAACCAGTGCCAATCATGCAGCGGCTACGGCCACCAATGCCACGTCAAACCATGACGATAAGGGTAAGGAAAAGTCGAGGAAATTAAGGAATAAGCCAAACGTACCTTATAAAATATGTATTCACCTGATTTTAAATAAGATCTTTTTGATGTTATTAATGTACACAATTATTTTTAAAGGCCGAAATTATCTTGTACATATGGCTAAATGATCAACTACGATATTTATTTCCAAAATTGTAAATACATGTCTACAAAAATGCATAAATATTACAGTGGATAATAAAAATTTAAAAGAATTTATGACATTGCAGAAAAATTTAATTACTTAAATTGGGTTACAAATATTTATAAATTTTTCCAATTGTTGATAGAAGTATTAAAAATATTTGACAGTTTTAAAATAAAAATATTTTCTTACTTATTTCTCTTTTAAAAATTTTACGTTCTAATTAAGTAATTTAAAATTTGTTTTTCCCCCAACTATTGTATTGTATTGTATCTTATTTATTTATTAAATTTTATATTAAAATTTATCTAACTTCTTTTTTTATTTTAGCAGATAACGACAAGGAGAACGACAATCGCACACAGACCGTCATTCAGAGGCGACGCAAACCGAAGCGCAGATCAACTGGGGTGGTGCAGATCGGCATGGAGGTAAGTTTAGTTTAGCTCGGCGATACATCATTTGAGTGCCTAATTGCCAGGCAGTTTGTCAGAATAGATGAGCCATGGGCCGCCAGCCGTATGCCAACTATTCTTAGCCAAATTGCTAATTAGTCGCAAGATTAGGAAAAATGCTTAAATGAGAATTTCTTTTGTTTTTCTGCTGCAGGAATTGGATCAGGAGCGACAGAACGAATCGTCTAACAATGACAACGAGGAAAAGGATAAGGAGGTGAGTTTAACAATAATTATTTCCTACCATATGTTAACTACCAACAACAACAAAAATATTAAGAACAATAGAATATTTCACACCTTGCCAAGTAATTAGAAAGAATATCTTTCTTATTTCTTATTTCCTTGGTGCACCTGACAACAATTTCTTTCAACTTTTTACTTGCCTTTGCCTTCGTCACACCTTGTCACAAATTTAAGAGCACCTCGCGTCCTTCAAAGTAGCTGCTGAGTGGTGTCCCCTCCATTGCCCCATTTTGTGGGGCAGATCCACAATTTTTTTTCAGCACCGTCTGTCTGTTCCAATTAGCGGGCGACCCAAAAAAAAAATATGATTTGGCACTTTGAAAGTGCGCACGTGGCATTGTGGCGTTTTCGGAATTTGTTCGTGTGGGGGGAATGGGAATCTGAATCTGAATCTGAATCTGAGTGTAAGTGCAAGGCAACTGCAAATCCTTTCATGGCCGAGGTCACAACTATTAGTGCGCATCCAATTTGCGTCCAAAGAAATCACGAGCTTGCCCCGCCGACCGAACCTGTTAACAATTTATCTGAGCAAGTGTCAGCGCCGGTGTCGCCTATTATTAACAAACTGACACAATTTCTGAGTGCATCTTGTCGTTTAACGTGCGATTCGCTTGTTTCTGCAAACAAATTATTAATTGTTTTGTTCATTGGACGATTAAAGAAACACCATAAATCTTGAATTCGTTATAGAATTGATTAATGCAAAACCATTAAGGTTGTTAGGATTTGGATAACTAGGTTTATTAGATTTATATTTCAAGTTAAGAATATCTTGTATTAGTCCAGATATTTTTTGTTGAAAAACATTAAGTTTTGTTAAACTCAAAATTTGTTGTCGTTTTCTTAGACAGCCTAAAAGAAAAGTTTGGTAAACAAAAATCCTCAATAAGAATTAAATTTTTAATTATTTAACTGAGAGGATGGATTACCGCTTTGTTTAAAATGTTTAATGAAGCAATTCAAACAAATTTGTATTTTATTATGGCTCATTATATGTAGGCAAGCGTTAAAATTGATTTTAATTGGTCATTCACTTGTCTAATATTGTGCCGAAATATACATTTCCATGAATTGAGTGATGTAATACGATGTCTAAATTTGTTTTATACCTCTAATGCTTTAAAAAATGCTGTCAAAATAAAGCGAAATTTTTGTTTTAAGAACTTTATTTCCATTGAAAATGTTACTTTGACTACAGGCATATATAATAGATAACTATCAAATAATAAGTACTTTTTGGCATATGGTGGTTCCTAGACGATCCATTAAACTTTCGGCAGACCAACTGACGCTCTTTGATTGACTATGTCAAGTGTGCGAATTTGCATTTATACGGTTTTTATTTTCTTTCCCGTCAAAGAACCAGAGGCAAATACATCTGGGAAAATCACTTTCACAATCGTCTCGGGAGACAGTTTTTCATGCATTCTGTAACAAATTCAGCAATTACAGAGGCTCGACCCGAAACCAAAGGAAATATATAGAATATAGAAAAGAATAATAAGAAACATTGGCACACGTACGTTGAACTTTGCAGAAAAAGCGAGAATATGTGCGGCTAAATTTATAACAGTTTGCAGCAGGCATTTGCTTCCTCATTCTCCCTGCGGCAAAAGGATCGTCATTTGGTATTTATAGCCACGAAAATGCATTCAACGAAAGTGTAAACTAAACTCTGTGGGGCAGGGGAATGTTGCTTCTTGGCCCAGTTATGAAGGGGGGAGCCAAAAACTCTAAACTCGACAGCAGCCAAATTGGATTCTCCTGTCGCGCACTTAACGCTAAATTTAAACCAAAACAGAAATAGTTTTTCCTATGCTCGCAGCTCTCTTTTATTTTTTGATCTTTATTTATTTATTTATTTATGTGGTTTTAGGTGCAGTCATGTGTCAATGACTGTGCTTCGCCTTTTGGCCCAGTTCGCAGTGCTCTGTTCCCCTGATTTTCCTGACCCCAGCATAGTTAACAATCTTGCGTCTCGGACATTGGGCCAAATACGTGTGCGATTTACTAAATTTAGACGTTTGCCCCACCAGGTGAACAAAAAAAAAAAAAAACAAAAACTCGCACATCGAGAATTCTGTGTGTGCGCAATTTGATGTGAAAATTTGGCTCCTTTCCCTGCTCTTATTATTATTTTCCTCGTCGTTTTCATACTCGAGTTGAAAATATTCCCATGATTTGTTCCATTTTCACCGCTTTTCCGGCTTTTCCACTCTCTTCAACTTGACTCTTTGTTCTGCGTGGGCACTCTTTAGCTTTTAGCTGCTCTTTCGTGTTTATTTCCGATCGCTTCGCTTTCAAATAAAACATTTCAAATCGCTGGCGAGCAGCACAGTTGAGTTTTGTGCGCCCAGCACAGCGGATCATCACCTCAGTTTCGATTCAGTTTAGATCATCCAAAAACCAAGCTAGCTAATTCAATCAAACAATAAGAAGTCTAAAACCTAATGTAAATCCCAATTAAACTCAAGAATTCAATACGTCAAGTGCAACGAGAGACCAACCAAAAAAAACCACAAAGATCTGTCGAACGTGTCAAAGAATTGTCGTTGTTGGGGTTTGGGAAAAATGAATTGCAATACGCCAAGATCAGTTTACCCCTGGGATCTTCGGCGACGGAGGGGATTTTCCAAGCCAAAGTCGATGATTTGACTGCCAGCAGCAATGAGTTCGTTCATTTTCCGTTGATGGAATCGCTCCGCGTTGCCTTTTTCGGCCAACTGCGCACAATTTTTGGACATTTCAAGTTGATGCTCTCTCGGGCTGCTTTCGCAAATATGGTCAACTATTTTGATAAGTTTTTAATTTGATTTGTGCCGAACGTGCTGAGTTTTTTTTTATTTTTTGCTTGACTGTAAATGTCAAAGTTTAAGAGAATTGAAGTAAATATGTTAACTTAAAGTTGCTGTGAGTTAATTTTTTTTTACCTTATTTATTAAATAAATATTTATGTTAGCGGTGCCTTTAAAATCTCTTAAAATTTAAATATAAAACATAATAATAAATAATAAATATTCATGTTAGAGGTGCCTTTAAAATTTTTTAAAATTTCAATATCAAATATAAAATAAAGTAACGATATTCAACATTCCTATTTCTTAAAAGCGTCATTATTATAAAATACAACCTTAATTAATTGTAATATCTATCATTAATAATATTTTTTGTGTTCATGTTACTTCTTCTAATTTATTTTATTTAAATTAGTTATTTTTTTTCGAAATTTATATTCAATTCCTAATCCATTTTATGATGCCAGGTCAGTACATTTATCTTCGGCATGACACAACAGAAAATCGTATTTTTAAAATGTTTCGTTTTAATGCTTTTTTATGTGGTTCTAGCCAAGCTAAACGTTTGAGTTACCACAATATAAAATAAATGCAGAAGGCATAAATGAGGAAAATGATTGCAAAAGACGAGGCATTTAAACGCCGCTTCATTCATGGACGAGTGTCCTATAGATAGAGCCATATATACTATATAGTAAATTCAGTCAGATAAAGAGAATTAGTCTACGAAGAAACAGAAACGGTCCGTCATAAATTATATGCATTGGAAAATCGCTTGAAAAAAGAAAAACGTTTTCGTGTTTGTTGTTTGTTTCGCGTGGGCGGATGATGAGAGGCATCAACTTGGCGAAACAAATAAATATCAGACCGGCTGCTTCTGCGGGATAGTCGGCCCCATCTATCACGTTTTCTATGTGTTTTCAATCCTAACAATCCCAACAAGAGCATCCCGGTGAGAAGATATACGAAATCCAATGGCTGTCGGAGGTACGCGTCCGTCCGAAATCCGAAATGAAAATTGTCAAAATTTATGCCTTGACGTCATTTTTGGTTTTCCCAAAAACCGATTCCCGAACCACATGTCAATATTGCGTTCTCCATATCGAAATATCCCTCGTGTATATATACTATATCAGAGATATATACACATGTAAACACACACAAAAGATGTTTGTTTTCCCTTATTTTTGTTTATGCCAAATTCATGAACATTTCTTTCGTGTGCTCGCTTTGATTATAAATGTAATTGCCTTTTGTGTGCGCCTCTAAAAATGGAACACAAATCGATCAGAATCGAAGTTTAAATGCCCTTCAATTGTGGATAATTCTCCGGAGATCTCTGTTCAATTGATGTGTGTTCTTTATATAGATTTTTAAACCCGAAATCCAATTAAAGTTCAAAGAAACTATCAAAGAGCAGCTGTCAGTATTCATGAAAGGTTTTTCTTTCAAGTTTTTCTGAAGTAAAATTCAGTTGGATTTATTAGAGTTTTGGCTTAATTACAATGTTTGATTTATTCTTATTAGAACTAAAATTCGTTCTGGAAATCTAAGGGTTTTTAAGTTACCTTAATCAAGAATTATTATAAACTTGAGTCTATAAAAAATATTAATGCTATCCAATGATCTGCTTATGGTATTTAATTTAGGAACGCTGCTTGTGGGGAAATTCTGTTAAGAATCATTTAATTATCTTCCTAAATTATATTATTTTTTTTTGGAACAAAATCTTTGCAAACCTTTTGAGAATTGGAAAATCCCCTCTTTGGTTGGGAAAGTGTATTAAAGACACGTGCATTTCGGTTTCGGTCTGCTCGAGCGTAACTGCACTTTGGCACTGACGATTGAAATACGATGTGCCAGGCGAGATGGCTAATGGGGCGTCATCATCATCATCATCTCTTTTAGCTTTCACCAGCGATATGTCCTTTCGCTCGAGATCAAGAACCCAGGCGCCGCTGGCCAGTCGCCGGCGATCGTTGTCCTCCAGTTCGCGGATGGCTCCTTCGGCCAGCGGATCAGGGGTGTATAACTACAATGGGAGTAGCTACAACAGTTCGGGGAGCACGGGTCGTCCGTTGAGCACTGGATACTTCCCGAGCAGCAGCAGTGGCGCCTCCAGTTACCAGAGTCCCTATGCGAGTGTCTACAATTCGCGGGAGAGTTTGTACGGCGGCGGAGGAGGTGCCTCATCGATTGGTGGCCGGAGTGGCTATGGTAATGCGATGGGCAATCGATACGATTACGGGGCTTCCAAGTACCACCATCACCATCATCACTATCAGCAGTTCACCAGCAGCAGTAGCAACCATTATTCGAATCAGCATTCCCATCATCATCAGCCTGCAACCTCGACGGGTGTAACCCCATCCGCCTCCACATGCCAAGCAGCAGCAACCACCAGCACCACCACATCCCATGCTTCTTCTTCTTCTTCTGCTGCGGCCAATGCATCATCCAATGCGCCAGCAACTAAAACGCAATCGCTGCATCACCAAGGCAATCGCTACTATCTGCAGCTCCAGCCCAACATGGCAGCTTCATCATCCGCTTCGGCTTCGCCTTCAGTGGGTGGTGGTGGTCACCACTATAGCCACCTGGTGGTGGGCAAGCATATTAGCCACAATTACGGCCAGTCGTCTAAAGCCTCGTCTGCTCTCTCCTCCTCTCTGTCCACCGTTTCCTCCACGTCTTCGTCCTCCAATTCTGCAACTGCCTCCACTTCGAATGGAACAGGCGGTGGCTACGAGAGTTCCAGGTACAATCCCAGTTCGTATTCCACGGCGGGATCTGCGTATTCCACCAGCGATCGCTATGTCAGTCCCTATTCGAGTAGCTACGATAAAGGAGTGACCACCGCCTCATTGAGCTTCAAGTCGCCGGGTTTGAGTGCCTCCAACTCGTTCAAGGGTTCCCGTTTGCTAAAGACCAAATCCCTCTCGGCTTCCAATAGCAGTTTGAATGCCTATGGAGGTGGTGGCTCCTCCACCAACAATGGAGTAACGAGTGCCGGAGCCACTGTGGCTGCCATTGCGGCCACGAGGAGCAATTCTCTGCGGGAACAGGAGCGCAAGTCCCGCAATCGCACGCGGTCCAAGAGTGCGGCTCAGCGGTCCATTAGTGCCTCCTCGGAGAAGAGTGAGGGATACGAAGTAAGCCGGTGGTTTGGTTGGGTGAAATTATCTTTAAATATTTTTCACTATTTTATTTAACTATGTTGTTGTTGTTGGTATACAAATAAGCTCAATTATGGTTTAATAATGGTTTATTAATTTATCTGAAAATATTTTAAACCTCACCATAAAATTAGATATTATGTGCAAACTTTGAATACCTTCACAAGTTATGTAGTTCAGTTTTGTTTATTGACTTAAATGCAGAAACATATACAAGCAAATAATTTTTCTTGTACCAAAGAACTAAGTTCTATAAAGTAAAGAACTACATTTTTTTAAAGCTTACAGTTTAATAATATGAGGTTAATATGAACGTATAGTATAAGGATTATCTAATTTCGTAAACTTCAAAAAGACATTTAGTTGAAAATAGTTATGAAGGTTTGCACAAGTATTAATTTTAATACGGATTGCGGCTAAAACTTTCAGGTTTATAAATCATTATAAATCGCATTGTAGATGCAACTTTTTTTTTTTAATTTTTTTTTTTTTTGTATATACTTAATGTTTTTTTTTATTTTTTGTTTCCTATAGAGCGGCAGTGAGCGGACATCTCGCTCCCGCCTGGGCAGCACCACGAGTACGGCGACCACGAGCGAGTCGAAGAGCTCCAGCAGCAACGACAAGGCGGAGAATGGCGACGGCATTGATTACAAGGCGCTCTGGGAAGCGGCCAAGTGAGTATACTCACCTCAGGATCAAAGGATCCCAAACTATATCCATTATATATAACATTTAATCGCATTTAGATTGGAGAACGATAAGCTGAAGCAGATGCTCAAGCAGAAGGACGACGAAGCCGTCCAGACTCGTGCAACGCTTGAGAGATTCGCCAATGCAGTAAGTACACAGACACGCCCCTAACATGCCACGCCCACATCAGCCCACTATAAAAAAAAAGCCAAAACAAATATAAACAAATAAACCCAAACTGCCAGCAGTAACAACCAACAACAAAACAACACGCAACACCATAAACTTAGTTAAAGGATGCCACTAAAAAATCAAATATATATCTTAATCACACATAAACCCACCTCGCTGCCTCTTTTTCCCCCTCATGTGAAGCTTATTGCTCGCGCTCTCTTTCGCTCTTTTTACACCCCGCTCTCGTATATATATCTTTTTCGATCTGTTGAACAACAAATACAAAAAAAAACCCCGAAAAACAACACGAAAAAACTGAACAAGAAACAACCAAGACCCAAAAATCAAAAACCGAAAAACCGAAAAAAAAAAACCACATCTTGTTTCATTTCACATTCGCAGACAACGAAAAATTCACTATCTGAACTTGAGAAACGCGAAAGAAGAGCTATGGAACGCAAGCTTTCCGAGTTGGAAGAAGAGCTCAAGGTAATTACAAAAGTGTCCCCAATTTGCTAACCAAATAAGCGTTTTAAAAGTTGCCGCCGCTGTTGCTGTTTTTGTGTTCTGAGAACAGGACTCCCAAAATTGATTGCTATTTTTGGTTAAAAAAAACCCCCTTATGATTTGTCCCAGCGTCTCAAAAACCTTTCCCCTTGGAAAACCTTTGTTGCATGTCTGAAATTTTGATTTATTAACCCCGTTTTGATTAATTCGAATTGAGCTGTTCTGTTCTTATAACCCAAAATCAAAAATAAAGACCCTTCGCACTGAGTTTCTCTCACCCTTTGTATATTTTAATCGAACTTTTATTATTGCCCAATTCCTTTTGGCCAGATGCGCTTTATAGAACACCTAGTGGACTAGCAGTCTTCTCTGTGTGTGAATGCCATGGCACTTGATTTGATTTGAAATTAAAATTGATTTGCCAAGACCTGTGTATAGTATACTTTTTTGTGCCATTTCCCCACCGCTGTACAGTGAAGCGTTCGCTTTGATTTCCGTTGCCTAATTATTTTTGATCCACCTCCTTCGCCTCGTGATCATTTGTTTTCAATCAGTTTGTTTCATATCACACAACAGCAACAACAGACATCAGACATGTTCTCATCTTCAGACCATTATGTTTCTCTGTCATCATCTCAACTCAAATCATCTCATCATCACTCGCTCAATCTCTCGCTCTGTCATTCGCCACCTTTTATGATTTTTGGTCATTGTCCCCATGCGTTTTTATACGTTACACGTTTATCGTTATACGTCAACCAATCGCACTCACCTAATTGTTAAAAAAAATAAATAAAAAACCAAAGCGCTCTCATTCAAAACGCTCACTCAAATTTGATTTTCTTTTCTCTCTCTCTCTTCCCACGCGCCTCATCGATCGAACAAACAATCGAACTGTCGAAATAATCGATAATCGGCAATCGCTCAAAATAAAAACATGCGTTTTTCCACTTATTTTTCTTGCGTCGCCGCTGTTGTCCTTATTTTTTTTTTGTGTGATTTTAGCTATTGCAGAAGCTAAAGACTGAGAACGACCGTCTGCGAGCCGAGAATCGGGCCCTCACGCGGGTCGTCTCCAAGCTGACCACCTCGGCTCAGAGTCAGCTGGCCAAGAGCAAATAGGCGCAGATCAAAAGCATTTAGATTGCCCAGCACCAGCCCACATACGCCCAAAATTCTCACACACACACACCCCTTGCTGCTCACAAGCACAATATCTTTATATTAGAACTGGAAAACATCGATGTTTTTCTAGTTTCTGTTTCTACAATACTTAACACACTTCGATGTTGTTAAAAAAAATATTATATTTGATATATTAAGCATAACCGAGTACACAATAACTAAATGTATCGTAGCTAAATTAAGAGCTCATTGGCTTTGGACTGGTCACCGGTAATATAATATAAACCTTAATCTTTACGATAATCTCCTTGGGAGTTAATATACACTACATAAAAATCAAACCCTTTGATAAAACAGCAAACTTAAAAAGTAGTTAATTTTTAAATAGTAAAATATTTATCTCTCGGCTTCAACTATTTTGGTAATCTAAAATACGCATTAGGGAGAAATGTTTGCGAATTTATAATGTAACGAATATCAAACTACTATATCATGTATGGGAACTACAGACCACTGTACTGTTTATAAGTACTTATAAATCAAAAGTAAATCAAAGTAAAGCTCATCGGAACCAACGAGATTAATCATCAAGTCCCCACCACCAGAAAAAGAAAGTAACAGCAGCATCAGCAAATAGCAATCCAAGGATCTGGGAATTATAACTATAACTTATCGAGATTATCGATAAGTCAAGAGTATCGATCATCATGGGAGAGCGAAGTGGTCTAGTTTTGGTGATGCTGGAAGCTTAACGGTAAATGCCCCACCACTGAAAAAAAAATTGAGCCATTCTAAGAACCTGCGCCCCACTATTATGAGCTGGCTGTTGTTTTGTTGTTATACACATACCACATAATAAAGAATATAATAAAATATATTTTAGCTATAACTGTAACATGGAGTGTTTCAAAATGGTGTTTGATTTTTCTAATGGTTGGAATTAGGCTAATATTAAATTATTTTCTTCGTTAAATGTATTTCAAAGATTATGAATAATAGTATATAGCACTTTCTGGCGCCTTAAAGGGTAAATTATTTATTTATTGAATAGGTTAAAAAATTATGGAAACGCTATAATAAAATGCTTCAATAAAAATCTATTCTAAATTTAAATTAGAAAAACTATATAAATAAAATTTGACCAAAGAAAACCTTTTTTTGAAACACTCTGAATGTACATATAAACAATACTTACTTAATACTCTACTATTTAATAATGTCTATTAAACTATACTATGGATTTATACCTCTTGTTGTTAATATTGTTACCAGTTTTATCTGAGATTTTGTTTATCCTTTTGTGTGTTTCCGACCACAACACCATCGACCGATCTTGAGTTATATATGCATATATATAAAATAAACAAAACTTTGCTCATTGTCGTTCTTATTCAACTTATTGCTGTTTATTGTTTTGAAGACGCTATTATGGGTGGGTGTATGTCAGCAGCGGAACACTTACATCGGGCACACCCAAGTTCATGAGATCCATTAGACATTATATGACCGATCGTCTATATAGTTCGCTTATCACAGCACACGACACGCGTCATAAAGAAAACACGAATCAGATTTCGCAGAGATACAATGTTTCTAGGGTAGTTTGTGGTTAATTGCATGATATGTGGTTTTATTCTCGAGATTAGGGCGTCCAGATGAGTTCCATTTTTTAGGTAATTACTAATCGTTTGTTGTTGTTTCTGTTGTTGTTGCTGCTGTGGCTGCGGCTACCGCATTACCCCGAAAATATATTAACGAAGCATGCCCCACGCACTCCTAACCCCCCGAACTTGTGCTTCCCCTGCCATAATCGTATATTAATCTTGTTATCTATATTATTATTAACTAATTGTATCCAATTTCATCCGTTTGAACAGCAACTCGATGCCTACAAGTCGGATAATCATCGCCTGAAGGAGGAGAACGCCGCGTTGATTAGAGTAATTAGTAAATTAAGTAAATGAAATTATGTTTTACTTTCAGTGTATGTATGTCTGAGAACCTATATCATCGAGAAGCAACAATTTTACTTTATTTACCAGCTGTAAAAATGCTGAAAAAAAAAACAGAGAAGAGAGTGTTAAAGTGAAAGGCGATGTAAGCGAAAGCGGGATATTCGCGTTGAAATTTCTAAATTTGTTTATTATTTGTGTTAGGCCCTTAAGAATTAGGTGAAACCATGTTTCAAATATCGTTGAGAATTGTTTCGTTCGTTTTTATATAAACAAAAATCTTATGTATTTGGTCAAATTTTATATACGAAATAGAGCAAATTATAAATAAACTTAAACACAAATCAAGCTTAACTATATTTACATAAACATACGCAAAAAAGGATCGAAGAGAAATGAAAAACAAAAACCTTTACATACAAACTGAGAACATATTCATCAAATGAGCCCTAGTTACATTACAGATTAGTTTAACTACATACGTATATAAATATATATATATTTTTTCATATATAAATTATATATACACATTACATAATATATATATATATATTTAAAGCAACAGAATCATAAGTTCAACATTTCAATGTGTAATATCATCAAGGATCCAGACCGCCAGTTGGGCAAGTCCGGAGATGTATGGAAACCAGCCCACGCGTCAACTTACTAAGTGTAATCGTTATCATCCAATTATAATTGTGTTTAGTGCTGCAGATATATATGCATAGGCATCGGTGAGGTCGTCGTTTAAAGCTATAGTACTATATAGTACCCCTTTAACTGAGGAGTCTTCGTTTGCAAAAAACAAAGAAACTCCGTGGCGCTATCCTGTAGATCAGAGTGGTTTTCACTGCAGATGCACTATTATTTCTATTTTTTGAGTACCTTAATTTAAGCAGACTTTTAGTTTTCTCCTTCACTTCGAAACGTATTATATACATTTACATCGTACTATATATTTACTTTCGCTTATAACGAAACAAATGATCATACGCATATTTCTGTTATTTATTAAATTCGCTTAAGAGATTTTGTGTTACTCGTAAATGGAAAACGATAATCAAGCATAAACAAAACATAAAAAAACTTGAATTGTGTAATATGTAAAATTGTGTGAGAAAATATTTAAGAAAATTTGATTCAAATACGAAACTTAATAAATGTGATCGCAAGCAAATTTTGTGTGTTGTTCTTTGAACTTGGCAAGGATAAATGGGCTTTTGGCTTTCTCGGAAACTATTATTTTTGTCTAGATAACAGTCAATTAATTTGACTTTCGTATCTTTCATTCAAGGTTCTCCAAAGTTTATTTCTTTATTGACAGCTTTTAAAATAGATGTTTATTCAACTGATGATAAGATTTATACGACAATGAAGATGAGCAATTCATGTGGAATGTGCAGGTGTCCCTTATTTTTTGGCAATTATTTGTTTAATAATTATTAGACAACGCTGCAAGATTTTTAAAAATATCTTATGGTTGTTTTTATGAAAGAAAAACATTTTTTCTATGTCTTTTGATTTTTTTTTGAGCAATCATACCTTACAAAAAGCTTCAATAATACTTACTTAATTGATGTAATTAGCCATAAAAGGGTTGTTAAAAGTTTATTTTCTGAGCTTGCCAGCTATATAAGAGTGCAGTTGCATTGCTTCAAGTCTTTAATTGCCTTGCAATTCTGCGAAAGTATCATCCTTATTATTTCCCATTAAAATGCAGAACATTTTAATAATTTTAATTATAGTTTCTTGTGGCTTAGTTGTTGTTGAGCCGCTGAATTGCCAGGAATGTTTATCAGACAATGATGTCTACTGTGTCGATCAGACTTCTTACAAATATTGTATGAGTAAGTGCTTAAAATATTTTCATAATTTTTCGATTTAATAATAAAAGCTTCCATTCAGACAACAATCCCTTTGGCAATGTGGTTAGTTGTCCCACAGGAACAGTTTGCACCAATGCGAATGCAATTTGTGTAGAAAGTTCTGATTTATCTGATACAGTAGAGGATGTGTGTGGAAATTCCGCAGATGGTGGTTGTGCAACGTGTACGGAAATGTACACATGTGTTAGCAAAAATCAGTTCGTGAGATGTTCTGGCTCAACTTTAATCGACTCCTATGTATTTGATTGTGATTCCGATGAGATTTGCAATTTAAAAGCCTTTAAAGACTATGGCAACATCTGTGTGCCATCGTGCGTTGTTGATTTTGTAGGTAACCTTAGGTATTTAACCGGAATTAAATTAATTTTTAATTTATTGATAGCTGGATATTAAAGCCAGTTGCAGCAACAGTGAATACACGACTACAACAACCGCTGCTCCGGCAACTACTACTCCCAGCGTTGAAGATGAAAAGAGTGCCTGCAGTGAGGCAGCAACGGATAATAGTATTCCAGCGACCACCAAGTACTTCTTCACAATATACAAATCGGATAAAACCTGCCACACTTATTTGTACTGCCAAAGGAATGCAGACACCGAATGGAAAACCGTGTTTTTCTCGTGTCCTTCAACCGAACCTTATTACGATTCTGCTAAAAACACGTGTGTGGCCACCAAGCCTACTGGTTGCACCTAAAGAAAATTCTAAGTTACTGCAAAATATGCAAGTTTGATTGTGAGAAAATTGGAGAAATATACATATGTATCTCTTCAATTAAATGCAGCAACAAAAAAAATGTTATCAGGCTTGTTTGTAAACTGATTGCTTTTAAAATAATTGCTTCAAAATAAGAATAAATATTTTGTGTACATATACATATATTTGAATATTTACAAGAAATAAATCTTGGTATCTATTACTAAAAAAAAGAACCCATAAAAGTTTTAATAACTGTGTTATTGCATTCACAATTAATTTTGGAAAAGGAATACTTTTAAATATTATACTCGATATAGTAGCCCGATACGCCCTGCATAAGCAAGATAGCTTTAAAACTAATAGATTAGTTTACATAGAAACAGAGAGACGGACAGGCGGACTTCTAGTTCGAATCAGATCGTGATGCTGATCAAGAATATATATAATTTATGGAATCTGAGATGTCTCCTTCACTGCGTTGCAAACTTCCGACTAAAATTTAATACCCTCTGAAAGATATAATAAAAAAAATGATCTTACCTTCAATTGTTTATAAACTGTAGTTCTAGGTAAAAAGTTAATAAAATAAGCAAAAACATGTTGCTGTCATTTGCTGATAGGCATTACTCGCATTACTCGCACATCAAAGACCTTCAATATTGCTTTATGATGGTATACTTTTGGCAGGCACAGACGACACCAAACAATATTATCAAGCATGAGGATCCATAAACATTTGAAGGCTGAAGCCATCTATGATTTTTGCCAAGTAAAGCTCGTCCGCTATATAAGACGGCCGATTATTTTTCGTGATCATATCCAGTTTACAGTTCAGTTTGAGCAGCAGTGCCGCGAAGAGTTTCGAAGGAAAATGCAGAGGATCATCGCACTTTTGGCCATTTTGGCACTTGGACTATCTTATGTGGAGGCCCAGAGCTGTCAGGTGTGCCAGACGGATAATGCTGTTTACTGCATTAACCAGACTTCGTATCAGAATTGCATGAGTAAGTCCTGAAAAGGAGTCTTTGATCCTTGGAAAGTAAAGATTCTTGATTTTACTTGAGAGCGATCACTCACAACCAAAGAAGTAAAAGAAAAGAAATAAAAAAAATTATGTTACTTTTATTATTTTTCAAACAAAAATTTTTAAAAATGCTTTGATACTTATGGGTAAATTATTTTTAATTTTTTAGAAAATGCTCCATTTGGAGATGTGATCAACTGTCCTACGGATCAGGTTTGCTCGAATTCCGACGAGGTTTGTGTGGATAGCTCTGAATTGTCCTCAACGGTCTTGGATGTATGTGGAACCTCTACCGAAAACGGCGCTGAATGCGAAGTGTGTTCGACAGACGCAAAATACGCTTGTGTCAGCCAGACGCAGTTTGCCCGTTGCTCCTCCAGCGGAACCCTACTGACCACCACCGTCTACAGTTGCGCTGCCAATGAGATTTGTGCTGTGGAAGCCTACACCGATTATCAAACCGTTTGTGTGCCTTCCTGTGCCGCTGAATTTGTAAGTCTTTTTGGGTTTCTATCAATCAATCATTGTATTGATACATTTTTTATTGCCTTTCAGATGAGTTTGAATTATACGTGCAGCAATAGTGTCTATGTGGCCACCACAACGACAGCTGCTCCGGCAACAACGCCAAGTGCCACGCAAAAGCAGCAACTTTGCGCAGATAACGAGCCAACTACCAGTCCCTCATACTTCTTTACCAGGAACACCGACGACTCCACGTGCGGCAGCTACCTGTACTGCCAGAAGTCAGGAACCAGCTGGGTGGCCCTCTACATGACCTGTGCATCCAAAACGCCCTACTACGATTCCACCACTAGCATGTGTGTGAACACCAAGCCCACCAGTTGCTCGGTAACGACCACCTCAACTTCCACGACTACCACTACAACAACGTCTTCTACTAGTGAGGATTCTACAACGACTGTTTCTGGTAGTACTGATACGGAGGCATCTTCAGCAGATGACTCCACTACAACCGCATCTACTTCTGTTTCTTCATCGGAAGATACTACCGCTTCTGATGCATCCACTACTGTTTCTTCTTCAAGTGAAGATTCTACCACTACTGTTTCCTCTTCAACTGAAGACTCTTCCACTACTGAATCTTCTACTATTGCATCTTCAACGGAAGAGTCTACTACTACAATAGCTGACGCCACCACAACTGTTTCCCCGTCAAGTGATGCTACCACGGAATAAATTTCCAATCGAAACAAAAATGAATTCCTGAATGTCTGCAAAGTAAAAATAATTGTTAGATTTGTATACAATCTTTAGTAAGCATTTAATAAATCAAAAATAATATTAAATTAAATATACATAGAGTTATTTCTGTTTATACGTTATTCGGATCTTAAAGTATTCTATATATGACTAAAGTCAAGGACACCAACTGAGGCAGTATAAATCATCAGCTAATGGAACTCGCTTACTGAGGGCTGCACTCTATGTAGTTTCAAAAAGCCTCGAGATGTTTAGCAATTTATATGCCATGAAATACCATAGGATTATTAGCCGAAACCCCATAAACGGAGAAATGAATACGTATGAATGTTTTTGTTTAAAACAGATCGCGTCATATGTGTATGCATGTAAGTATGTACAAATCGTTTTACGCTAAAAGTAAAAGCATTTCCACAATAATATTCATGTTGAGGACAACAACGCGATACTAGAGACCTTGATATTGTGTGTGCATGCCGTGGCTGCTGCTTAGCTGAAATTAATGGGTCGAGTTCTGTACATTGATGGCCGTAAACACTTGGACATAAACACACAGATGCGCACACAAGTCAGCACGTCTAAATATACAAACGGATACAAACATATGCCCACTCGAATATGATATTCCGAACCGACTCGCATGCCGCCGGCTGATTTATCTAGCGCACCCGGTTCGCCGAGAGGGGAACAATATTCGAAATCCTATTTCGTTGCTACTAGTACTGCACACACTACAATCTACGAGAATTTACAATAAAAATTTTCGCTTAATTATATTAATATTTCGCCGAGAGAAAGCAGCATATACATAATTCTGCCCCGGCACCTTCGGCGCTTTCATTTCGTCTGCCATATGCCATTGGCAGCGATTGTCGCGGCAATTAAACATTAAATCAAATGAATTGCAGATGCAGAGCAGCTGGGCCAGGAGCAGCGGGACGATGTGGCTGGGGGCTAGTTGGCCAGCCCCGCGTTTAAATGCGCAAATGGAAATTGTGGCCATTGACGACGCACGATCGGCCCGGGACGCTGTACGTGGGCAGCGGCGAATGCACAAACTGCAAAACATAAACACACCGAATTAGATATAGGTATAGAAACGAAATCCAAATCTAAAACGGAAAATGATGGATGGGCGTACGAACCTTTGGCACCCTCTGATTGGTTGCCATGTAGCCGACACAAAACGACTGCGTCGTGTGGCTCCACATCACCTCGCCGCTGCTCTGCCCCGGATAATAGAGCAGTGTCAGGGCGCCGGCGTAGAGATCCTGCTGCCGTGGCAACAATGGTGAGTCGAGGAACTTCTGCTTAAACGTACGATGCAGACTGGTCACAGCACAGTCGCTGATAAAGGCCCCGTGGCAGATCTCCCTGGCCAGCAGCGTTTTCATCAGGTACTCTCCGTTGCCGGTTGTGCAGGTGGCGATGGCTAGTTCGTCTGTATCCGTGGCCCAACAGCCGGCTCCATAGGTCGCCGCCTGGCCCACTCTGCCGGGCACTTTGAGGAGTATTCCGCCGGAGCTACAGCCGGCCGCTGTGTTGCCCGCCCCATCAACACACACTGCACCCACGGTGTCCAGGGCGGCGGCCAGTTCCACTTCGTTTCCTGGTTCTGGCACGGGTTCCGGTTCTTCGGAGGCCGACTTGCTCAGTCTGCTGTTCACCACCAGATCGTACTTGCTCTTGTAATGATTAAACTGGAACTTGGCCTTTGGTGAGATAAGGACGGCCGGATCCACCATAGAGAGGCCCACCTCGTCGGCGTATCTTTCGGCTCCAGAGCCGGCGAGGATCATTGGCGGTATGCGCTCCAGTAGTTGTGGACTGGACTGGGCATCGCAGATGCGTCGTGCCAATTGGATGGGATTCTTCACCCGACTGACGTTTGTGCAGGCACCAAAATTCAGCGTGGAGCCATTCATTATAGCCGCATCGCACTGCACAGATCCGTCCAAGCAGAGATTGGAGCCGTAGCCGGCGTTTGTGTAGCCGCAGTTTTCCAGTCGTTCAATAGCCGCCTCGCAGGCATCCATCGCCGATCCCCCATTCCGTAGGATGTCCGTGGCTCGCTGGCACGCCTCCTTAATCACCCGTTGGTACTTGGTTTCGTCGATGCAATTCCCAGCCCCTGAAAACGGATGGCGGTCATCAATCATCTGTCTGCCGTCTGCCCGGCGGATCGGAACGGAACCGCCTTGGCTAAATACGAACCTGTGTGCACCGCCACGAAGCCGGCCATGACGATAGTTTATTCTCGCAGCTTGTTGTTGGCCAACTGCAATCCGTTTGGCGTACGGCGTAAACAAAATAAGCAGTGTGACCGCGCCGGGTCCGTCAAAATATAACATAGGGCTGAACGACACTTGAAATAACAAACCAAAATTACACAAGGAATAAAATTCTTTTTGTACAAAAAAAAACTTTGTGAAAATCAAGGGTTTCTAACTTTTCAATAGAAAAAATCAAATCAAAATTTGTTTTGAATTTGTTTTCTTTAAAAATCGATTTCCAACGTTTTGTTATCGAATACAAAATCGATTATGTATCGTTACCTGTTAATTCCGTATTTGTATGCCTTGCACGCTTTGGTCATACTGAATTTGTGATTTTTGCAAATAAAATATTTCGCACACAAAGTAAGCACTTAACCAACGTTATGTGTACTATATAATCCAACAAATACCTGTTCGAGTCATCTCAATGCCGACGAGATCGAGTTTATATCCGCGGGTCGAGTGAAATGGAAAGAAAGTGATTCGCCCCACGAACAACTGTTTGTGTATTTGTATTTGTACTTAGTGACGTACGCTCGCTGCGCTGCAACTGCGCTGCTGCTGCTCTGCTACGGCTCTGCCGCTGCTCTGCTCTACTGCAACGCAAAAGAGCAAAACGAAATTTTGGATAGCTATATAAAATTGTTCACGTAGTGTTGGAGTGAACTATGGAAAAGTTTCCGCTGAAGGGCAGCAGAGAGGCTGCCGCAGAAGGCAACAGCTACATAACGGCCTACCAAACGGTGATGAAAAAGGTACGCACCGTACGTGATAAACCCATGGGGATTTCCACCTATCTGTATTACCTACGCAGCACAATGAATGTCGGTTAAAGAACCAGAAATACAGGTTAATTTTTTAACAAATAAGTGAGGAAAGGCCTGTTTCGGTACACCTCCAGGTGTTTTGGATACAGCTTAAATATACTTTTTTTAAATTTTTTAATAAAGTTGTAATTTTGTAGTTTCAAAGTTTTTTTTTCTTTATTTCAATGTCTTTCTCCTTATTCTTTTGGTTAGAATTCAACTATAAAACACAAGATAAACGCTTTTGCGACACCCCTGATTACAGAAGTACTCTATGAACTATTCGGCATAAGGGGGCGGAAATGCTTCTAAATGTAGCTCTCAGTACAGAAAATTTGTATGCCGGGTGCGCTCTGTGCAAGATCTTAATCTTATCAAAGTCAACGCGTAAACAAAGCGCTTGCCAACCTACATATATCTATCTCCAAATCTCGAAACCGTATCTCACACTTTCTCGTTATTTTCCGCATTTTTCAGTCGAACGGCCACACAAACGGAGCGGGCGGCGACGGCGACATCGACGGATCTTTTCGCGATCACCCGCTGGCGCAGCACACCAAGCTGACCACCTCGTTGACGGCACCGGGTACCGACGACGAGGACATGATCGACATCACACCGCGCTCCAGTCCGGGCGACGTGATCGGCGGCGGAGGCGGAAGCAGCAGCGGTTATCATCGGGAAACCGCCACAGAATCGGACACAGAGAGAGATTTTGGACACTCGGGCATCGGAGGCAATCATCACAATCAGCGGACAATGCACCAGCATCACCACCAGCATGTGCCAACTCACAGTGCCTTCGGCGATCCCATGGACGGTGAGTTCAGAAGAGAGATCCATTGCGTAAAGCATCCACTGACACTGTCTGTGGTGTTAATCAAGATCATGATCATATGAGTAAGGCGACGTCACCTCCACCTCGTCGTCGCCGGTTCCCTGTTTTCGTGGTAGCGTGGCACAGCTGTACTCGCTCTCTGGGCAATTCAATTAAATACGAACGATCATTAGCATACAGACATGTGAATAATTGTCGCGACAGTTGGTGGATTCAAGTTTAATTCATGATATGTGATAGATACACACCAACACAAGCCAACAGTTTGCACACGTGATAGTAATTTAGAAAAATAATCACTGACTTGTCCAAACAACCAGCTGGCATTTCTATTAAGGCTTATTGATTAGAATGAAATTGAATTTCATTGTACTTGTTGGGTAAACACAAATACTTTCAATCACAAAAAAAATGATGATGTTAGCGCCAGCTTAAACGATAGAAATACAATCTTTATTGGGATTCGAAGTGGAAAGAATAAAGTAATCAAAATAAATTAGCAAAAATGCCATAAAAATTGACTAAAATCTCTGAATCTTCACGTATATACATTGCTTTAAGTTATAGCTCTTTCCCTGTGGACTTTGACATCAATACCATTTAAATTAAAATAATCAAGTTTAATGCCACTCAATCTAGACAATATGAACCAAAGCTTACAGTGTCAGAACGAAAATGTTTATTTGTTTCATGTTTTTTGCTTTAGGAGCACTATCCTTCTATGGTTCCTCGGATGTACAAGATGATATTCCTGGCATTGGACAGTACGAAGATTTCCACACCATCGACTGGCAGCGGGACATTGCCCGGGACCGAATGCGGCATCGCTATATAGTTAAGAAGAGGCAGGACTCCTTATGGGACCTCATTAAGGTAGAAAATCATCTCTTTTCTAAAGTATCACCTTACTCAGTTTATTTTCTTCTTTTAGGGTTCGATTGATGCCGGATCTGGTTGGCTTTGTGTCTTGCTCGTCGGCATCGCCGCGGGTTGTGTGGCGGGCATGGTGGACATTGGAGCCAGTTGGATGTCGGATTTGAAGCATGGCATTTGTCCACCCGCCTTTTGGTTTAATCGAGAACAATGCTGTTATCCGGCCAAGCAGTCGGTGTTCGAAGAAGGCAACTGCTCGACGGTAAGTGTAAGCAAAAGCTTTTGGAGAAATACCTTTTAAACAGCTTTCTATTTTAGTGGAAAACCTGGCCGGAAATCTTTGGCCTGGACCGCAATGGCACCGGACCATATATCGTTGCTTACATTTGGTATGTGTTGTGGGCTTTGTTGTTCGCTTCGCTTAGCGCCTCGCTGGTGCGAATGTTTGCGCCATATGCCTGCGGATCGGGTATTCCGGAGATAAAAACCATCTTGTCGGGTTTCATCATTCGCGGCTACCTGGGCAAATGGACGTTGCTGATCAAATCGGTTGGCCTGATGCTGTCCGTCTCCGCTGGCCTCACTTTGGGCAAGGAAGGACCCATGGTCCATATTGCCAGCTGTATTGGCAACATTTTCTCGCACCTGTTCCCCAAATACGGTCGGAACGAAGCCAAGAAGCGTGAGATTCTTTCGGCAGCTGCAGCGGCGGGTGTCTCCGTGGCTTTCGGAGCCCCGATCGGTGGCGTTCTCTTCTCGCTGGAGGAAGTGTCCTACTATTTCCCGCTAAAAACGTTGTGGCGCTCCTTCTTTTGTGCTCTGATTGCCGCATTCGTCCTGCGATCTTTGACTCCGTTTGGCAACGAGCATTCCGTGCTCTTCTTCGTGGAGTACAATAAGCCCTGGATATTCTTTGAACTCATTCCTTTTGTGTTTCTGGGAATTATGGGGGTAAGTTCAATGTTGTCTTAAGTAAAGTGCTTTATTCATTTTATTTTACTTACAGGGTGTAATTGGAACTTTCTTCATCAAAGCCAATTTGTGGTGGTGCCGCTACAGGAAGTTCAGCAAGCTGGGTCAGTACCCCGTCATGGAGGTGCTGTTCGTCACCCTGGTCACTGGCATTATTTGCTACCCAAATCCCTTTACCCGTATGAACATGAACGAGTTGATTTTCCTTTTGGTCAGCAAGTGCTCTCCCGGCGATGTGACCAATCCCTTGTGGTAAGTCACTTATATTGAGAATTGCTATTGTTACACAAAACTTAATGGTTTACTTTTGTTTTAGTGAATACAAGCGTATGAACATCACGATGGGCAATTCTATTATCGAAGTCACGGAACCTGGTCCCGGCGTCTACAGCTCCATTTGGCTGCTGATGCTGACTTTCATACTCAAACTGGCCCTGACCATCTTTACATTTGGCATGAAAGTGCCGGCTGGTCTGTTTATTCCGTCCCTGTTGCTGGGAGCTATCATGGGTCGCATCGTGGGCATTGGCGTGGAACAGTTTGCCTACAGCTACCCGAACATCTGGTTTTTCACCGGTGAATGTGCGGACAGCAATCTCATTACACCCGGATTGTACGCGGTGGTTGGAGCAGCAGCCGTTTTGGGAGGTGTCACTCGCATGACCGTCTCCCTGGTGGTGATCATGTTCGAACTGACGGGCGGAGTACGGTATATTGTGCCACTGATGGCAGCTGCCATGGCCTCCAAGTGGGTCGGCGATGCTCTGGGCAGGCAAGGCATATACGATGCGCACATTGCGCTAAATGGTTATCCGTTCCTAGACAGCAAGGAGGAGTTTGCGCACACCACTCTGGCAGCGGATGTGATGCAGCCAAAGTGAGTATACAAAAGTGGCTAACCTTTTGAACAAATTAACTAAATTAAACTCCCGCTCAGGCGCAATGAAACTTTGAATGTCATCACCCAAGACTCCATGACGGTGGACGACGTGGAGAACCTACTAAAAGAAACCGAACACAATGGCTATCCGGTGGTGGTATCCCGGGAAAATCAATATTTGGTTGGATTTGTGCTGCGCAGGGATCTTAACTTGGCTATAGGTAAGTCATACAACTCTTAGATATGTTTGCATACTTAAATGATGTAATTTTCAGGCAATGCCAAGCGTTTGATCGAGGGCATCAGCAGCAGCTCCATAGTATTATTTACCTCGACCCAGCCTATTCAAAACCTGGGACCCCAGCCGCTTAAACTGAAAAAGATCCTGGACATGGCGCCGATCACAGTCACGGATCAAACGCCAATGGAAACGGTAGTGGACATGTTCCGCAAGCTGGGACTGCGACAAACCTTGGTAACACACAACGGGTGAGTTTTATTTAATCACAACCCGTTGACATGTATTAAAATCCATCCATTGCAGTCGCCTACTCGGCGTAATTACCAAGAAGGATGTGCTGCGACATGTTAAGCAGATGGATAATGAAGACCCAAATACGGTGCTCTTCAACTGAATTTAACAGCCAATCAGAAGCTGGGCGAGCGCTGCTTCTAGTTATTATTATGTGAACTATCGCAAACAACAATATTTGATATGTGCAAAATGCTGATTGCAATTTAAGCTTAAGTGAAAAGTTGAACGTGTGGATACAGAGTGGACTGAAGTTGATTTGAGTGGAATCGCGTGATTAGGACAGTTAGGATCGGACGTTCCAACGTGAGAGATTTAGCAAAATTGTGTGCAGTTCTATTATATATTTATATATCGCATATATCTCGTTAATGTTAATTGTATAATTTATTTTACGCTAGGCAAATGGTTATAAAGAATGTGTATTCATTTTTTGCCATTTTGTAATTATGTCATTGTAACACTTTTTCTACACACTACATATTATTTTTATATGTCCACCCTGAGTCTGATGAAGAGTGTACACTGTGGAATGTTTAATAGTTGATATAGAGAAATTTTTATTTTATGAATCGTATGAAGAAGGCGCCGTTTTACCGAGATCCCCAAAAACAAGTCCTTTTTTTATGCAACATTTTCTAAATGGCTTTAAGTTTTTTGCATTTCGTTCAAAATTATACACAAAGAAATTCTTGTTTATACAATATATAGTCTATATTTACATGTGGTATTTGTTAGAGATCTGAGAAATTTTAAAATAAACTCGTGTAAATAGCAAACCTAAGAGAAGATGAAACCGTACATATTAAAATAAGCAGTCATGCAAATACAAGCGATTATTTCAAAAACTGAGAAATCAAATGTTCTTTTTTTCTAAAACTCTACGTAGAAAATCTGGAACTCATCTCCGTAGAGACCTGTAATTAACCAGCGACTGCAAGGGAAACGATTGTAAAATCTGTTTTGTTTTTATTTCTGTGTGCACTTGGCTTACCCATTGTCGCTACTTCGGATGAGGCTTCCCTTGCCACGCAGTCCTCCCTTGACATGGGCGTGAGCTCCATCACTCACTCTATAATATTCCAGAGCTCCATCGGCGGCTGGACAGTAGATGATATTCCCGTCCCGGCTGCAGGCGACAACGTTTTTGAATGGCAATGGAATCTGCACTATCAACTGGGCCAAATCCTGCTTAGCACCGTAAAAACTGATATTAAATGATAAATTGGTTTGTTAGTTGATGTAATTACCTCATCTACAAGTCGCATATCATGATAGAAAGCCTGACCACTGAGATCGCAGCTTAGAACGAACTGGTTGCCTCCCATCTTTGTTCGGAGTAGCGTGGAGACCATGAAGCGGTGTCTTCGGAGGGCCAGCAGTTGGACCTGCTTATTGGTCGCCGCCTGGCGACCGGTGCTCCAGCATCGGTAGACGCCACCATCGTTAGTGCCTAGCACGAAGTCATCTATTCCTAGGGCAACCAAAGCCGTGGGTTCGGAGGTAACCGTTGCAGGAAGGGAGTACCTAATGGAAATTTAATTTTTTAATAAATATTTCATTAAGCTTCTATTTATCAGGATTATTATTTAATAATTGTTATAATTGTTATTTAACAACTACAAGTATTTTTTTGGCCTATCGTTACTCACTCCCAATCCAGAGTCATCTGTCTGCTCAAATCCCACTGACGAACGCTGCCATTTGGGTAGCAGGCCAACAGGAACTGTTCCCTTGGCCAGTCCAGAGCCACAGCTGCTCCCTGGGTCGAGGAAACACTGAATAGCTGTTTGATTTCCACACTGGCATCTCCACCTCTCGCCTGCTCATAGAGCCAGATGAAGAGCTCACCATCCATGGTGGAACCGGCGAACATGTTCTTGTTGAACGGATTCGTGCAGAGACTTCTTAGGCAGGATTTCAAGGGCAGGCTTTTGGCTTCAGTGTAAATCACCAGGTTGCCATTGGACATCCTTTGGGGAACAAAGAGCTTCAGCTGCTGATCCACATGCTCGCACCAGTCATCGTGGGGAGCCACCGTGGTGGCCACCAGAACGGGAGCATTGTTGGTGTGCACACACAGCCAAATGGCGAGTCCTTGAGAGTTATCCGCCCCGCCCATCGACAGCTTCTGGTACGTGAACACCTGGAGCTCCTCCTCCAAGCGGCACTGGCTCATCGTTAGATCCTCCATCAGGGAGTGGGATTCATCAGCTCCCGCTCCACCATCGGACATATTTGGCGCAACCACTTGGCCAGAGCCCTCTCATCGTATTCCACATCCTTGCTGTTGGCCACCCTTTGCTCCGTTTGTGTGGCCACATGCAGCTTCTCCTGCGTTCCCGTGGCGGCATCTTTGCTGGGTGGAGGTGGATCGGTGCCCGTGCAGTTGTCCACCAGAGCGTACTGCTTTTCCAGAGGTTGGGTTGCCGGAAATTCTACCACGGGTGAGCTATAATGCGATAATACGTCCATTTTCCAGGAGCTTGTGAACACTAATGTTTTGGGTTTAGGGTTTGGTAGTCAGTAACCTTGGCAACCTTTAAAATGCAACCCTTGGAAAGGTATTATAGGGATCTAGCTGGAGACCGGATATGGATATATCGGAGAAACCGATTATGGATAAAGAGGATGCTGGTTTAAAGAATTTTAACATCAATAGATTTTTAAACAATTTGATTAAATTTATAACAGAGATACATATTAGAAAAAATATAACGATATCTTTTCGTAAAGTAAAAAGTATAGTATAAAGTATAATTTTTTTCTAAAATCTACACATTTTAGTAAAAACTTAAAAAAAATATATACTTTTTAAAAATCAACAAAATGTTCAGTTAAATCATAATTAATTAAAGTAATATAGTGCAAAATGAATTTTTGATTTGAATACCATTGATTTGAAAACAATTTAGGAACTGAAAAGTTTAACTGATCGATTTAACTGATTGATTGATTAGAACACAAATTTGAATATTGAAATTCCATTATCGTTCTATAAAAAAAAGTGTTAAAAAACAAATAGCAAAATCCCTGAAGCCAATTTAAGCGATGAACTTTAGTATGCGTTGCTGTCATCTGTCAATAGGAGCAGTCATTACAAGCCAAATTAATTTGCTGCGAAGACGTTTACGAGCGGAAGAAAAAAAAGGAAGAATATTAAATAAAAATGTTGGGGCAATGGGTAAAAGTGGCCACAGGTAACAGTAAACCTATTGTATTAGCTTAGTATTCTCTAAAAAAGAAAAACCACGATAGCATGCGCCAGGATTGGTTTGAAAATTGGTCAAGCAAATGGGGCTCCAGGTGGAAGCCATTTTGGTAATCTTGGCCAGTTTTCCCTCCGCACTCGATCCCTTCACTCCTCCATGTCGCTTTGGGAAGATAAGGATAAAGATAAGGACAAGGATAAGGATAAGTCAGGTGATGAGTGCGATATCGAGCCTGAGGACCCTTGCAAGGAAGCTGAGTTGGTCAAGAAGAAGGATGAATGCAAGGATGATAAGCCTGCCGGAGGTAAAGCCTTGGAGATGAGCGGTCGCAAGGGTGTCATCCATGCCGTCATCGGTCCTGTCATTGATGTGTACTTCGAGGAGGAGGTTCCCGAGGTGCTCAATGCCCTCAAGGTGATGGATGCTCCTATTGAGAACCTGGTGCTTGAGGTAAGGTTTTTGAATGATTTTATAAATTTTATAAAGGAAAACATTTTTATTGAAAGTTGATTTAAGATAATAAAAATTTTCTTTTTAAATCTAAGATGTTATTTAAACATTTATTAAACTAAAAAATCTATTTTTAAATACATTATATTTAAATTTTAAATATTGAAAATAAATCTCTCTATATTCAGTTGTCTTAACCCAAATATCATTTCCCTGAATAGGTTTTCCATCACCTGGGCAACAACATCGTCCGCTGCGTGGCCATGGATTCCACAGAGGGACTTCGCCGTGGTCAGCAGGTGGTCGATACGGGCTACCCGATCCGTGTGGCTGTGGGTAGGTCTGTCCTGGGCCGCATCCTCAACGTGGTGGGCGATCCCATCGACGATCGCGGCGAGATCAAGTCGGACTTCTACTCCTTTATCCACAACGAAGCCCCGGAGTTGACCGATTTGAGTGTGAAGCCAGAGATCCTCGTCACTGGCATCAAGGTGATTGATTTGCTGGCCCCGTATGTCAAGGGTGGCAAGATCGGTCTGTTCGGAGGAGCCGGCGTGGGCAAGACGGTGCTCATCATGGAGCTGATCAACAACATTGCCAAATCCCATGGCGGTTACTCCGTGTTTGTGGGTGCAGGGGAGCGCACCCGTGAGGGCAATGATCTCTACCATGAGATGATCGAGTCGAAGGTTATCTCCCTCGAGGATGATTCCTCGAAGGTGGTGCTGGTCTTTGGCCAGATGAACGAGCCACCAGGTGCCCGTTCCCGTGTGGTCCTTACGGGACTAACCATCGCCGAGTATTTCCGCGATGTTGATGGACAGGATGTGCTGCTCTTCATTGACAACATTTTCCGTTTCACCCAGGCGGGATCGGAGGTGTCGGCTCTCCTCGGACGCATTCCCTCCGCGGTGGGCTACCAGCCAACTCTGGGCACCGACATGGGCACCATGCAGGAGCGGATCACCAGCACCCGCAACGGTTCCATCACCTCCGTTCAGGCTGTCTACGTGCCCGCCGATGATCTCAGTGATCCTGCTCCTGCGGCCACCTTTTCGCATTTGGATGCTACAACCGTACTTTCTCGTCCCATCGCTGAATTGGGTATTTATCCGGCTGTAGATCCCTTGGACTCGTCGTCCCGCATCCTTGATCCCGACGTTGTTGGCGAGGAGCACTACAATGTGGCTCGAGCGGTGCAGAAGACCCTGCAGGCCTACAAATCGCTGCAGGACATCATCGCCATCCTGGGAATGGATGAACTCTCCGAGGAGGATAAGTTGACGGTGGCCAGGGCCCGCAAGATGCAGCGCTTCCTCTCGCAACCGTTCCAAGTGGCTGAGATCTTCACCGGTCACCCGGGCAAGTTGGTGCCGGTGGAGAAGTGTGTGGAGGGCTTTAAGCGCCTGCTGAATGGGGAATACGATGACATCCCGGAGATCGCCTTCTACATGGTTGGCGATGCCGAGGAGGTCCTGGCCAAGGCCAACCAACTGGCGGCCACTATGTCTGGAGAAACTGCACCACCGGCGAAGGAGGGCGCGGCCAAGGAGGGGGAGGCCAAGAAGGACGAAAAGGACAAAAAAGAGGCAAAGCCAGAAGAAGCCAAGAAGGATGAGCCTACCAAGGGGGAGGGCAAGAAGGAGGAACCCAAGAAGAAGGATGAGAAGGCTAAGAATGATAAGCCAAAAGATCCTGAGAAGAAATAAGCATTTTTTTATAAATTACAAGCAAAAATCGGAAATAATTGTAATCATTTTATTTTAGATTTTGTTTCCTTTTTTATTAACGATGTTACGTTTGTAATTTTCAAATCCATTCCATAAATTACTATAAACAATTCCTATTTTAAAAACTATCACTTTGGGTTTTTCGTTTTTATTCAAACTTTTATTGAATTTTTGAATTTACTATCCACATAACAGTGCAGTGAAAGCAGTGTAAGCAGTGCTGTCTAAGCAGTGTTACGTTCCACAGTAACATATGTTTTTCTTTTTGCCGGCTGTTACGTTGTATCTTCCTCTTACTCAACAGCAAAATGCTTAGGGTCTTCAATTTTCGTGTTGGAATTCGCTTATATTCTATAAAAGCAGCTAAAAATGATGCAAAAAAATATACAGACACCATTAACCTGCCAAAGACCAAGTTTCCCAACCGCCTGTCAACAGTGAAACGTGAAGAACAAGAACGTCAAATTTTGGAGGCAAGTTCTTGGATATATGAAGTAACTAAGTCCTTAATTAATATTTGTATTTTGCAGAACAAGATTGCCGCTTCTTATGAGTATCAGGAACACCAGTTAGCAGATGGGAAACATCCCACATTTGTGCTTCACGATGGACCGCCCTACGCAAATGGACAACTACATATGGGCCATGCCGTGAACAAGATTCTGAAAGACATCACCTTGCGACAGCGAGTGGCTCATGGTCAGCAGGTTAACTATATTCCCGGCTGGGATTGCCATGGCCTGCCCATTGAACTAAAGGCAACTAGCACAGCACCGGGTCAAAATGCTCTGGAAATCCGAAAGAAATGTGAGAGTTTTTTATGTAAGCAAAACAAATTCTAAGCCTTATTATGGTCCTACAGCTCGCTCCTATGCGTTGGAGGCCATCAAATCCCAAAAGGAGGAATTCAGTAGCTGGGGCATATTAGCCGACTGGAAAAAGGATAATATCTACATGACTTTCCAGCCAGAGTTCATTGTCAATCAATTGCAAATGTTTCACAATCTTTACGAGAAAGGACTAGTTTATCGTGATTTAAAGCCCGTTTACTGGTCACCTTCTTCCAGGTGAGTTGCACAGTTTCTAAAAAGGTAATGCACTAATGTTATATTCCAATAGAACAGCCTTGGCGGAAGCAGAGCTGGAATATGACCCCAATCACATAAGTCCTTCGGTATATGTGCGGTTTGCTCTAAATCCAAATGGCTTAGATATAGAAGCCGAAAATAAGAAATTATATGCCCTCGTATGGACCACAACTCCGTGGACGTTGCCAAGTAATCAAGCCATTTGCTACAATGCCTCTCTGGAATACGTTTTAGTCAGGTTGTCGGATCACAACCCGGATGAGCTGTATCTCGTGGCATCGGCTCTTTTGGCAGACTTTGAAGCCAATACGCAGTTTAAATGTGAAATTGTCCAGCATTTAAGTGGAGCCTCCTTGAGCCATCTCAGCTACAAACATCCAATAGACAAAGACCAATCTAATTTACCCTTCTTCGACGCCAGTCATGTCCAGGATAGCAAGGGTACGGGATTGGTACATACTGCTCCTGCCCATGGACCAGAAGATTTTTTGGTTAGTTTGGCCAAAAAAATTCCAGTGAAATGTTTGGTAAATGAAGAGGGAATTTACACTAAGGAGGCTCCAGATTTCCTAAGCGGAAAGTCGGTGCTGGGACAAGGAAATGCTTTAGTCCTAGAGCACATAACAAATGATGTAGTGCACTCCTCCGAACTGGAACATTCCTATCCCATAGATTGGCGCACCAAGCAACCTGTGATAATTCGTGCAAGCGAGCAGTGGTTTATAAATACTGAGAAGCTGAAGTCTGCTGCTGCAGATGCCTTGGAGCAAGTGGAAATCTATCCCCGAAACAATGCCGAGGCCAGCAAAAAGTCCCTGCTTACGCAGCTCCAAAAGAGACCGTATTGGTGCATCTCAAGACAAAGGGCATGGGGCGTTCCCATACCCGTTCTCTATTGTCGGCAGACTGGAAAAGTGGTACTTAATTCCGCGTTGATCGAGCACCTTTGCGAGATATTGTGTCAAGAAGGATCCATTGACTTCTGGTGGGCCAAGTCAGTAGAGGAACTTGTACCCGGTCATGTACTTAGTGAACTCGGCTATGAAGCCAAAGATCTTGTGAAGGGTAGTGACATTTTGGATATATGGTTCGATTCTGGCAGCACTTGGTCTGCTGTGCTGAAAAAGGATAAAATAGCCGATTTGTATTTGGAGGGTTATGACCAATTCACTGGCTGGTTTCAATCATCCCTGCTAATGAGCATTGCAGCTCGAGAATGTGCTCCTTACAAGTAAGTAAAGAGTTAATGATTGGAGGAAAACCAATTAATTTAAATCTCCTAAAGGGCCCTCTTTGTACATGGATTTACAGTGGACGAGAAGGGCTATAAGATGTCCAAATCATTGGGAAATGTCATCTCACCTAAGCAGATAACCAAAAAGTATGGAACAGATGCTCTTCGTTGGTGGGTTGCCTCACATGGAACGCAGCACATGTCGATTACGGTCAGCGATAAGTTGCTGCAACAGGCGGCTGAAAGTCTTAGTAAGGTCCGAGGTACTCTAAGGTATCTAAAAGGTGTTATTGGAGAGAAACAAACGAATCAGGAGGAGTTAACAATTTCCGATAAAAGCTATTTAAACCGCTATTTGCTTAGCCAGTTGGTTGAGTTCGAAACTGAGGTATGAGCCTAATCAACTGATCTTATTGTACTAGTAACTTATTTTCTTTTTAGGTAGAGAAGCTGTACAAAGCCTACGAGTACAACCGTGTGGTGGCCTGCACTCAAAACTTCCTTGCCAACCAAGTGTCTGCGATCTATGTGCATTTAATTAAGGATCGCCTGTATTGCGGCGATGATCAGGAGTTGCTTGCAATTCGCCAGACGCTTACCCACTGCTACCAACAGCTTTGCAAAAGTTTATGGCCCATTGTTCCCTTTCTGGTGGAGGAAAGCTGGAGTTATTACGATGCCACGGGCGGGGCTTTCCATGAGCAAAGTATCCGAGCTAATCCCAAATGGCAGGACACAAGAGCCACAAAGGTGGTTAACACAGCGCTCGATGTGAAACGACTTATTAACCAGCAAGCTGGCGATGTGAACTCTTGGCATTTGGCTGTGACTATCAAGGGAAAACAAGGAAGCCAACTTGATCTACTCCAAGATCTCCACCCCACTCTGGAGAAAACTTTAAAAGATTCGGAGCTGTGCGAGCTTTTGCAAGTGGGTTCTGTAACCCTTATCCGGTCCGATAATTCCGACTTGGAAATATCCCTAAAAACTCTCCAAACTCCGCTGTGCCCTCGCTGTCGTCGCTACAGTCTAGAGGAGAAAGACGAGCAGGAGACCTGTCAACGTTGCTCTGCGGTAATGAATGTTAAAAGCTAAGCGTTAAGTGTTTTCGGTTTTTAGGTGTAAATAATAAATTTATGTTTTCAAAAACTCTGTAAGCACTTCATGATGGTGTCCCGTAACTTAAGTCGAGTTGTTGGCTTTCCGCCACAGATAATGTGCGTTTCGTTATCCTCGAACTTGATGACCGTGTCCTCGTTGACAAGGTTCAGTGTCAGAGCGCCACCAGTTCGGTCCAACTTGATGTTGGAGAAGCCATCCTGCGTCAGCCGCTTCATCAAGGCTTCCACATCGATACTACCGTACTCGTATTTAACGTTCTTAAGCACATCCTCCTTGGTCGGTGCACTGGTATTCGAGCTAGTCTCTTCTTTGATGGTGTCCGCACATGGTTGGATGCAGTGCACCTTGTCCTTCACCTGCAGCACGCCCGTCAGTGTGGAGAAAGTCACTCCGGCAGCAACCTCACGGGGTGATATCTTTTGTGCCAACTCCGACGTGATATAAATGCGGTCTAGTTTCCGCTTCAACGGCAAGCGAATAATCTCGCCGCACTTAAACGTTATTATCTTTTTGTCGGGCTGTTCTATGAACAAATTCGGTGCCGATGGATGTGGTTTTGTGTATGCCTCTGGAATGACCAGCACATTTGGCTTTAACTCCTTGATCAGCTTGTTGGCCTGCTGATAATTCAGGGAAGTGTCGATGGGACAGTAGAAAGCCTTCATGGCCAACGGTTGAAACGGCGCTAATACTTGCAAATACGGGAAGTCCGGCTCGGTGAATATGATGGAGTTATTGGGATTATTGCCCCACATCTCGATGAAGTGCACAGCATCGCCGAAACGCAGGCTTGGATGACCACAAAAGACCACGCAGGGCTGTAATGAAGTTATAATTACTAAATAGTTTAAAGATTTCTTCAAGGTAGAGGCCTACCTGCCGGAAGTCCTTACTGAAGCCCTCAGAGAACACATGATTGTAATGCTTCAACTTGTTGTTGCGGAGGTAAAAGGCATGGGGAAAAGGGTCGTCCGGAAGATACACTTTATTCTGTTTGGCCGAACTTAGCCACTCGGCCAGGATGTTGGAATAGGCCAAGGAGCTATCTGCCACAGGCGAAATAAAGAACATGGGTACATTGTTGAGGCCGGCATTCTCCAGGTTCTGCGTGAGACATTCGAACAAGTCATAGACCACCCCAGAAGGATAACAAGGAATCAAAGCGGAACCATTGTTCCGGATTGTTAATGCCACATTCATGCACAGCTCGCCCAGCTTGGTGTCTGGATTAACTGTCGGAGCTTGTGTCAATCCAGTCATGATCAACACATCGGCGTGCTTTAGTGCCGACTGGTTAATGGGCCTCGGATGCGTGGTCAACGTGGAAGATCCACTTACGTAGCAGATCTTCTCGTGCGCCGTGCTCAACACCCAGTTACTGGAACCCAAACAGTAGCCAGAACTCACGGGAGTTGCGATAAAGGCACCAAGGATGTCCAGCTTTTCGTCATAGCCCATGATGGTCACCTTGGAGAGACTGCCCTGGACATCTTTGAGACTGAAGATGGTGCGCCACTTCTTGGCACGAAAGGCTTCGCTCAAGGGACTCGGCAGCAGGTGGAGCTTTTCCTTCCAAAGACGAGCGGTGCATGCCTTGGGTGACACCTCAATGTAATCCACTAACTCCTCCAAGAAAAACCGTCCGATCTGCAACGTTGGTTCCGTGGCATAGACTTTGCCCTTGAACCCGGTGTTCTCCGTAATGTACGGCAGCGCAAGCATATTTAGATAATTCGAGATAAGTATCACATCCACCTCGCTAAAGTCCAGCATTTTGTCCATGGGCAGATTAAACTCCGGCGTGGAGTCCACAAACACACGACCACAACAATCCTTCAGTTCGCCATCCATCTGGGGATCGTGATCCCGACTGGGCACAAAGTTGGGCAGGTTTGACCATTTCAAGGACTGGACAAAGGGCAGCGGGAGGAAGTTCAGCACCGTTTGCTCCGTCAATCCACAGTCGAGCATTATCCGCAGACCCTTGAAGGTAATGATGTAACATGGCTTGGCCAAGTCCCCGCTAAGACAGTACTGTAAAGTAGAGAGTCACATCCGCTGATAAGATTGTTTGTTTATTGGCAAGATGACTTACCAAACGCATATTTAGAAACCGCTAGTCGCAATGACAGCGCTTCCGATTAAACGCTGAAGATTTGTTTATGTTTTTGACCAGGCATGGAGACTGCTAAGAAAAAAATAGTTCACTTTTGAACCAGAACCAGTTTTTTTTTTTGTTATTTATTAAACAGAACTTTATACATTTTTTTTACAAGAAAGTAAGAACTTTAAATATACCTGTTGAACAGAATTTAAAACAAAGGTTATTTACTTCATAACTTATAAGTACAATTTGGTTCACTTACTGGTTCCAGTAAATGTGCTTTTCCAGCCCTGGTCTTTAAAGCCGCTCCTGTTTGTTTTGTATTGCAGTTTCGCTCCCAATTTTAAAATGTCGCAGCAAATTCGAGTTGTCCAGTGCATTCAATGCAAAATGTATCAGGTATGTACAAAAGCCAATCAATTAAATATCAATTCTAAAAAAAGAATTGCTTTTTGAGGTTGACATAGTGAAGAAAGCTAACAAATGGGAGTGCAAACTTTGCCGCCAAAAGCAGAATTTGCTCAAGGAGTTATTTCGGGGATCAGGACCCGAATGTCGAGCCAAGGTGCAGCAATTAAATTTAGAGCGTGGAATGCAAGAAGAAAAACTTGAAGAGAAATTATTAGACAAAGCAATGCAACAAATGGAGGATGACGAAAACCTTTCTGAAGAACCGGAAAATATTCCAATTCCCACAAAAGTTAATAAATGGGCAAGCTATGTGGATGGACCTATTGAATGCAATCGAAAACCGACAGGAGCACCGGAAGTAAAAGATCTGGACGAGGAAATCTCTATGAATTTTAATAAATCTGAGAGAAAACTATCAAGACCCGCTAAACGTCCTGCGGAAAGTAACCCTTCAGTTAACAAGAAAATTAACTCGAAATGGAGCGATTTCTTGTAAACTAATTTGAATAAGATATATACTTTAAAAGATAGATGTAACTTTAGATGAGTGATAATGAGATCACATATTTCGAAAAAGTAATTTAAAAAACTCAAATGATTTTAGTTGTTCAATACGTTTTATTAAAATCCGTGTTGTTCTTGTATTTATATATTTGTCTGTGAATCTTTTGAGGACCAAGATGACCACATCTAATCTGAATACATTTGCCTTCCGATGCACTAATGCTAAAAAATACAAGTTTGCATAATCCGCTAAATATTGTTAGTTAAAGTTTGCTTTATAGGGGGTTCACTAATTGCCAATTGGGCAACATGTTGGACATGCATAGCTCCAGTGCCCTTATGCCCCAATTGGTTTGAATACTCGTGGAGAATAAGAGTTGGTTATAGTTAAGTGACGCTTTGTTGCGAGAATTTATCATGAGAGAAATTGTAATATTAGTATCCGACTACGTGTTTATAACCTATAGACGCTGCCTAAGCACTGCTACCGGTGGAACCGGCACCCTCTTTTTTGGCCACCTTCTCATCGGAGCCGGTCTCGTCGATGTCGTTGGATTCGGTCTCCCCGCCGGGGGGCACCACCTGCCTTCCCCGACGACCTGCGCCGCTTGCGGTTGACGCGCCATGGACGCATGGGAAACTTCATAGCCGGCAGCGGCTCCATACCAAGCACCTTGTAGATCTGGCGGAAGGCAATGTAGCGCAGAAACAGCTGAGCCGACACAGTGAGATCCTCGCGTTCCTGTTTGGTCAAATCGAGCAGGGCGTCGGTTGGATCTTTTTCGCAGGGATCCAGCAAGCCAGGCCCATTGATTAAAAATCCGGACGATAGGGCCTCCATGATGCGGCGCATACAGTCGCCTGGTGAGATGGGAAAGCCAGCCGACGAGATCACCTTCTCCACAAGGAGTTCCAACGACCACTGAGGTAGTGCCTGCCAAGACGCCACGCGCTGACAGAGATCTCTTAGGATGCGAATGACCATCACGCAAGACTGGAGTCCAGTGGCCCGAGCCTGGAACCACTTGGCGTGTCGCAGATCAGCCAAAGCCTGAAAAAAATCAAATCAAATTATAATTATATGTATTTCTTTCGTAAAGCCGATTTCCGCAAAAAAATGAATAACTTTGAATGCTTTTGATTGGTTATCTGTTCCTAATAAACTACTTACACGCAGACAGGGCTCACGAGGCAAGTATTCGGCATCGCCTTCACCTTCCTCGCTGGTGGTAGCCTCTCCTGGATTGGTGTCGCGCAGCAAAGGCGAAGTGAGAGTGATCTTGACCGAAACAGCCTCATCCAACACAACTAGGGCGGCATCCTCGGCGTTGACCTCCACGCGATAATTGACCTGAACTTCACCTGAAATCGAGAAAGCAAGAATGCAAGGAATGTTTGAAAAATGTATTTGAAGAAGACTAAAAACATCGAAATACTAGATTCGACTTGGAAAAAGAGACAAACATTGTGGGTGAAACAAAGTTCCAGGTGTGGCCCGCAAAATGCACGAATACATTGTAAAATAGTGATTGGCAAAAATTGTTTCAAATGGGGACTTGATGCACGGTATGAAAAGCACGAGTAATGTTTGTTTCTTCCCACGATCCTCGTATTCGCTCGCTTCCCAGCAAACAGGAGATTCGTTCGACTTGCGTGCTGGGATCGGTATCTCCGTTTCGGGTTACGGGTTTTGTTTTGTTTGGGTCTCGTAAACGGAATTGCAAGCTCGAGACTCGGACTCGGCGTCATCCACCCGTTGCAATTCCACTTAGAGCGCGCACATCTGTATTTTTACTGAATTTCGACTTGAATTATATTACGGAATTATCTTGTTTGTTTGTTGGTTAGTTTTGCATTAAAATATTGAACGAAATTTATGGCTGCGGGAAACGTTGACCAGACGTCTCGTTCAGTATTCTCCATTCACCGGGCGCAACGCAAATTTCGGTCGCAATTTTTGTTTGCATTTACATATATATATATAGTACTTTCTATATTTTTGACAATCAAGCTTGATACACACAATTCGGCCGCTTGGACATATATATGTATACGATATTACAGAGTATAGATATATTTGCTTGGTTTCAAGTAAGAGATGAGGCGCCACATCGGCGCTGCAATTTTGGGGTCAAGCACTTGCACTTTGCATTTGGCATTTCGCGTCTCGTGTGTGGATCAATCGCATTGCTTCTTGGCGTGTTGTTGTGTTGTTCAACTTCTTGGCCAGGCCATCAAAGGACTTTATTTACACAAAGTTTCATCTGGAAACGGGCGCGCGCGCAAACTTTGTATAAATATATTCCTTTGGTTCGAATTTCAGTTGGTTAAGAGTTTCAGTTTGGTTTGATGGTTTCATCAAGGACACCACACCACATTTGACTGCAGGAGACTGGACTTGTGGCGCCGAGTCCGCGCTTGTTACCGTGACGATCCGCCGGTGGTGCTTGTGGAGTGGAGCGGAGCGGAGTGGAGCAGCAGCAGCCGAGCGGGAAGAGGAGCAACCTGGGAGGGCTGAGCTACAGCTACAGACGGCTAACTGAACGACACACTTTAGACTCTAGACTCACAGAGCTTCTAGGCTAAGGCTCGAGGCTCGAAACTTATCCTGCAGAGAGAAAAGCTGAAAACGGCAAATACGTTTTTATTCGCAATTAGTTGCTGTGTTGACTGGGGCGTTGGGCGCGGTTTGGCGGGCGTGGCAATCTACATCCACCGCAACAACAGGGCTCAACTCTAGTTGTCCTAGGTTCTATGTACAATAATTTTATTTAATTAAATTTGATTTATTATTCAGACTTTTTCCACACAAATTGCCCGTCGAACGTGAACGTAATGAATAGCGAATGTGAACGGATCGTGAGTTGCGTTCATCTTGCATCTTTACCGCTTCGAAAATCGTTCTTTTTTTCTTTTTTTTTTTTTGGTTAGTTTTATTTGACTAGTTTAAGCCGCTTCCATTTGGCCAAATTCACCTGCGCTGGTCAGCGTGAAATTGGCCAAGCTAAGAACGTGTTTATTTATTAAATTTTTTGTTTTTGATTATGGTTCTTTGTGAGGCTTTTTAGCCGCGTTTGTCACTCAAGCCATTTCTCTGGAAAAAGTTTCTTCTGTGCCTCTCAATAGGACAACCGAAATGTCATTCAAGAATAGTGCTATGCAAGGACTACAGTTGCAGCTGCCTCGTCTCACTTACCTGCCACCTCCTTGAGTTTGTCGGGCAGCACGTTAGCCACACGCTGTAGAAGACCCGCCGTCGGCTTTTCCGCACAGAGAACGACCAGCTCGACGGCATTGTCGCCGTGAAGCAGCAGTCCCTTAGCCAAGTAGCCTACACGCATCACTCCCTTCAGGATGCGCACCACATTGCCACCGTTGTCGGCGTCCTTGTGGAACGAGAAGATCTGGTTGTCGCGTCCGTCCTTCTCGGACGGCTTGTCGGCCTTATCCTTCTTATTGGCCGCTCCGGCATCGCTGGGCTGCTCGGCCAAGGCGTCGGATACCAATTTAAGGGCTCTTTCAGTGTGCGACACGATGCGTTGGATTGTCTGCAGCTCCTCCTCCTTGGGATAAATCTCAGCGTGACGCGCAATGGCATGGCGATCGTCGGTGCTCTCCGGACGACGCACGTTTCCGCCGGGCATCATGCCAAAGTGCGGCGGAGGCCCATTGCCCATGCGACCGAAGCGCTGGGCACCTGAAAAGAGACATAATGCATCAAATTTCAGTTCATATTCTGAATCGTATTTAGTTTCAGATTCAACGCTAGTCACTAGTACAGAACTGACAAAATACTAGTAAATCCAAATACCATAAAAAAAAAAAAATTTGAACCTTAATCAATTAGCATGTAAATAAATAGCCACATGATTAAATAAATCATTCGGAAAGCTGATAACACAACAGGTACCATAAGTAACCTATGTACTTTGAAAATTCATTTAAGTTTTAAATAAATAAAAGTATGACTAATGACAAAATAAAATAATAAATAATAAATTGCGTACTACGCAATCTAATGTGAGTGGTCAGATGGTGCTTTTAAAAAAGTTGGTTCCACTTGTGAGTGATATTTTTTCCACCAAGGAATTGGTGGAATTACCCACCCCAAGACTAATTGCTTGTGAACTTACCTCCGAAACTGCGCGACATCCAGTTGTTGTAGTCATACTCCTCGTTGTACTGGCGATTGCGCTGCTCCTCCCAGTAGCTGCCGTCGTGATCGTCGCCGCCGCGATGCGAGGACATCATGGCCCGGTTGGCACGGGCCTCGGCCAGACGCCGCTGCCGAGGAGTGGGCTTAAAGTCCACTACCAAGTCGGGCTGCACCTTGCGCTTGTACTGCAAGCGATGGCGGCGGCCTTTCATGTGCATCTCTTTGGCGTTAGGGTCATTAAACTTGCAGTCGCACAGCTTGCAGTTGAAGCTTAGTATTTTGCCCTCCTCGTCCTTGACCTCCTCGATATACTCGCCTCCAACCGGCTTTATATTGTCCGTGTTCTCGCCCAGAGAATCGTCTAGGTTGTCATCGAGTTCTCCAGCCGCATCGCTCTCGTTGGAGCCCCCTTCAGCCTTGACGGCGCCAGTCGCTCCTGCTGATCCGCCAGATCCGGCAGCGGCGGGCACAAAGTTGATTTTGCCCATCTTCTTCGGCTCCTCCGAGGGAATCGGTTTGCCCAGCTTCTGGTGCAGTTTGACCACCTTCTGGTGCTTGGCACCTCGCACATGGGCGGCATAGGCATCCGTGCCAGTGCAGGTAACATCACACAGCTCGCAGTGGTAGTTGTTGCCTCTATTTTGGGTGGTGCTGGTCGCACTAGCGGACATCTTTAGCGAGGCCTCGCGCTTCTTGTGCTTCTGGCCCTCCAGATGTTCGCGATAAGTCTGCGGTCCGGCGCAAGAGATCTTGCAAACCTCGCAGTAATGCAGCTGCTGAGGCCGTGGGGGCGCCTTGGGACGCATTCCCCTTAGGGCTGGAGCTCCCGGGATGGTCGGCCCCATCTTGCGTTGATACCAGTTGTTGCCACCGCCGTTGGGCTTTTGGTTGGGATTTCCCTGATGCTGCTGAGCCACATACATGCTGGCCGCATTGTAGAGGGCCGTATCGTAGCCGCTGTAGCTGTTGCCCGAAGGCGGAGCAGAGTTGGGAGGTTTTGGGCCACCATTCGACTTGTCCATCTTGCCCTTGACTTGATTCTTGACTGGCGGCGCAGAGTAGTGAGTCTTGCTGACGGAGGCTGTCGAACCAGAGGCGTTGTAGCCGGCCGAGGACTGCTGGTAGAATGTCTTACTGGCGTCATAAGACTGCATGGCATTCCGGTAGTCGCCGTATCCACCGTATCCCCCCGCCCCCGGAGGACCCGAGGAGGCGCCAGCGCCCGCCCCGGCTGCCCCGCCGTAACCACCCTGTCCGGCGGCAACAGCGGCGTTTTGATAGGCGGCCGCATTCGCGTAGGTGGCATTGGTTACCGCCGGGTACGAGACCTGGCCCGTATTGTATTGGGTGCCGCCATAGTTGAACCCGGCGTAGTTGTTGTTGGCCATTGTCGTCGTTGGTTGTGCTGCAATTACGGCAATCGAATTTGTTTGTGGTTATTTATTTGCTGTCCCCCCCATTCGGTGCGCTACTTACATTAGTTGCCAATCCCAACTCAACTTTCGATATTTATGCGACTACGGATTTATTCGGGAATTTATATGTGCTTTCCGCGTAATAGCCTGTTTATAGCTGTAAAAGCAAAGTGGTCTTAGTCACGTCATGTCGCAAAGAAGAGCCAGCCCCCTCCATTTTCCTAACCATTTTTTCTTTGAGACCTTTTCTCTATCGATTTTTACCCTGCAACTTTAAACGCACTTTTCGCGTGTTTCGGCAACATGCAAGTGAACACACGCGGGAAACCCTTTCTGAGCAATTGTCCTAGCACATGCTGCACATGTTTGGTAAACGATTATTGTAATTTTAATTACCTCAATTCGGTGAAATGAAAATTTCCTTCTCGTCTATATGCGCCGGTAGAGATGAGCTGAATGCTGTCGTAGCGGTGGGATCGACGCGTTTAAAAAAATGTGACTATCGATATTTTGATAGTTGTGTATTTAAACTCCAGTTTAACCTTCATACGAAAGTGTTTTGTTTTAATAAGTTTTTCACTAAAACTAATGAAAAATATTTTAAAGTTTTTAAATATTTGGATTAAGCGGACTTTAGATATAATAAAGAAAACCCAATTAAAATTGGTAAAGCTTCAAAAAAAAAAATTATTTTAAAGGCAATAAAGGCTGCAACGTTTAGATGACTTCCAGTCCCACAAACCAAATGACTTTCTTTTGCGCCACACTGGAAATTAAAAAAATGGAATTATTTGGGTCTTAGTGACCATGACATGACATAATGGGTATTACATTTTTATGCCGCTGCAAATAGTTCATGAATTATAAAGAAATCAAAGTATTTTTAACAAAAAATTTTCTTCAAGAACTAAGTAAATATCTAGGAGAGGCATAGATCGTCTTATGATATTATTGCTATATATTAAGGAAAACTTTTTATAAAAGTTTTATGTGTAAGCCAGACTATTTTTGGCAAAAAAAAACCTTTTAAGCCTTATATGAGGCGCAAAATCATTTAGCAATAGCGAAAAATGTGTCAATGGAATCAAGGTGTAATAATTCGAGAGCCAGAGAGTATTGCCAGAAAGTTTAAATTCGAGTCACCATCAAACGCGTTTTCTTTGGTACCAATCGCTCATCCCCATAACGGTCACACTGCACACACACTCGTCCGTACCTCGGCGGTCCGTAAACAATATTTACTCGGTTTTCGGCCAAATCGCCAGAGAAACGCAACGGTAAATCTTTTAAAATGCGCCTCAGTGCACCGAGTTTAAACGGAAAATGAATTGAAGTGAGTGCATCGGCCCCACGGCCCCAAAAATTGTCCCCGACTTCTGCAGGCTGTACAAAACTGATACTGATTCACACACACGCTCGCACATACGCACACGTACGTTGGTACATGCCACCACCCGCTGGCCGAAAAGTAGAAATTACTAATACTACGGTTGATCACTGAAGATATTTAAAGGCAACTAGTAGGGTTTATGTTATCAATTTTTAAAACACATATTAAATGAATATCTTGATTTTTTAAAATAAAATCCACAAATAAATTAAGGATTGAAGCTAAACTATTTTAAATAGTGTGGTTAACGAAGTTTGCGAACTCTCCACCCGCATAAACATCGGACCTTGCCAGACCGCCGGTTACGTGTTTTTCACCCGCGATCTGGCAACGCCAGCCCTCCGATTTTCGCTTTGCACGCGCATCGTGAAAATGGCGGCGTTCTGGCACTGTCGCTGCCAAATTTTTTGTACATCAAAATAATCAAAATAAAGCGTTTCTCCGTGCTCAACAATCAGTCCGTGGTGGCTCGCGCGTGTGTGTGTGCGCAGGGAAAGACCGCCGATCGAAAAAGTGTAGAAAAGTGACATCGGGAGCGAAAACAAAAGGCATCAAAGTTAGCAAAGATAACACACACGCGACGACGACTACGACGGATGCGCCAGGAGAAAGGCGAGTGCGAGTGAGCCAGCGCAGCACTAAGTTAGCGGAGCACCCGCTTTTTATTTTTTGGCCAAGGTGAATGCGACTTATTACCTGTGTATGCGCGGCGCGTCCTCCAGGTGTTCGCTACTTCGGGTTTATGGCATAGGGCCTCCAGGTAGCTGGGTGTATTATCTTCACCTACCTGTTTCGCGTATAAATACTAACTGCGCCTCCCCTTGCCTTGCAGTTCGCTTCTGGAGCGCACAGCATGTTCCGTGTGATTCGCCAACGCAGGATGTGTGCAACTAGTTGATCGGAACAGGACGACACATACACACACACAGAAGTCTAGAGCACTCGCCAAACATAAACACACAGCACGATGAACACCAGCCAGACAGCTGCCGGCAATCGCATCACCTTCACCAGCCAGCCGCTGCCGAATGGCACCATCAACATAGCCGGCAATCCCGGCGCGGTAATTTCCACGGCCCAGCTCCCCAACACGACGACCATCAAGACGATCCAGGCGGGGATCGGTGGTCAGCATCAGGGATTGCAGCAGGTCCACCATGTCCAGCAGCAGCAGCAACAGGCGCAACAGCAGACGCAATCCGTAGGTGCCACCCAAACACAAACCCTAGTTATTAAATCCAACCACCATGCTGTCACCCTGCCGGCGGGTCTAGTCTCAAGTGCACCAGCAGGAATCGTAACCATGACCAAGACCATCAATCAGGTATCCACATTAAAGCTAAACCCACTTCTCGGGCGCTAGGCGATCGCAAGTCGGGCGTATCACTCGTCCAATTCTGTTCCTAATCCGAAATTTCCTCAACTCCTCGCTCGAATCGGATAGTAGTGGCCGCACACACACTTTGGTTGTACCTTATACTTTTATTACGCTTTCTGAAAATCCCATATCCCAGTCCGAACCGGGTAAAACCCGGACTTGATCATTACTCACTCTTTAACGTCCCTAAATCCAGGCCCATTCCTTACCTTTCAAAATATCCTTGATCCTTGAAACCGTACCATTTAGGCTTAAATGTCTTCTTGAGCAAATTGGTAAAGGGAATTTGATATTTTAAACTACATATATTAATTTCATTTGTATAATCAACATTTAATTCGAGTTAAAAAAAACCTCTTCCAAATTTACTCTATTTGCCTAAATCATGTTTCCTTCGTTTTCCAAGTGAAAAATCACCTGTTAAGTAAACTTTATCGGCTGCTGATCATTTATCTATAGCTATCAATACTGTCCCCTACGCTAAAAACATCCTTCAACCTCGAATCCCTAAATATTCCAACAAACGCAAGCACTTTAGTACCATTATATTTGTAGACATTTTGCTTTCAATGCTCGCTTGGTAAAAAAAAGTAGAAAACACGCCTTCAAATTTGGTGAGCACAACGAGGATCGGTCAAACAAATTATTATTTAATGAGGTCCTTTGAGCGATAATCGCCAATTGTTGCATGTTGTAGGCCAACTTAGCATCCCGCAACCCCCTTTAATGCTTCCTCTGCCCCAAATCGACTTTGAAATGTCTGATGAGATAAGCAATCGATTGATAGACTAATGATAATGTTGTGTACTTCCCAGGCCGGTCAACCTCTGCTGAACTCGATGCTGCCGGCGGGCGTGGTGGTGGGCATGCGCCACCAGGCGCCGTCGCCGCAGCAGCAGAAGAATGTGCCCACCAATCCGCTCAGCCGAGTGGTGATCAACACTCACATGGCGGGCGTAAGGCCGCAGAGTCCATCGGTGAGTATGAAGGATAATGAAGCTTTTTGCTACGGTTGTTGTGGTGGGTTCTTCTCTACTAACCCACAGAGCTCCCAAAAACCCTAACCCAAACACACTCCTCACATACGCGCATGTGCACAGCCCACCATTCACACAAAACACACAGCCATACACCATACACACCATGGTCCAGCAGATGAAAACCGAGTCTCTCTGTCTTCTCTCTCTACTTTTAGATAACTTTAAGCACACTTAATACGGGTCAGACCCCGGCATTGCTGGTCAAGACGGATAACGGATTCCAGCTGTTGCGCGTGGGCACGACGACGGGTCCGCCGACGGTGACACAGACTATAACCAACACCAGCAATAACAGCAACACGACCAGCACCACAAATCATCCCACAACCACACAGATCCGTCTGCAAACTGTGCCGGCTGCAGCTGTAAGTAGATACCAACAACAACAACATCAGCAGCAGCAACAGCAACAACAACAGCAGCAGCAATCGCAACAGCAACAGCAGCAACAAACAACCAGCACTACCGCCAGCACTAGCATTGCACTGCGCAAAACGATTGTCCGTACTTCATCCACAGTCCCATCCAGCAATAATAATAACAATAATAATAGTATTATCAATGCCACAACCACCACCAACACCACCACCACTACCAACAACAACAACAAACCCGCTACTAACCAGCAACAGCAGCAGCAACAGAAGCTCCAACAGCAGCAACACCTCAAGGCCCAGCAGCAACATAAACAGCAGCAGCAACAGGCATCCGCTGCGGCTGCCGCTGCAGCAGCTGCCGCGAATGTGGCAGCCACCATAAAGATCAAGCAAAACGTAAAGAGAAGCCAGCAGGATACTCCTCCTCGATCTGTTTTTTTTTTTTGCTCTTCTCTCCTCTGTTCCTCCTTTGTCTGTTATGCATTTGGATTTGATCTTCTTATTTATACATATAACTACGCCTACGCTTCAGTTCCGTTTTGGTTCGTCGTCACACGCGAACACTTCATTTTGATTTATTCAGAATACTCTCATAATTTTGCATATATATAGTATATATGTAAATGTACTGCATGCTGCGTTGTGTAACCGTCTGTGTAATTTGGATACTCCTTATTTCGATTCGATTTAGTTTTATGCGCTGCCTACGAGTTGCTGTTTCAGGCCAAATGATATAATATAAGGTCTGGCTTTCGGGTTGCCCGGCTGAACCAACGATGTGTGCTGGGCTGTTGTTTTATTCCCGGCAATTCCCTCCTCCAAATCAAAGTTTCTCAACCGAATTTCACTAGAGTATAATGCCTTAAGCCGATGTTTACTAAACTATTTCCCCATTTCATTATAAATAGAATTTGGCGATATCGTACTTAACTACGATAAATTTTTTCGCAAAACTTCATTTCATATCTAAAGTAAACTTTAGTTTTATGTACCATAATAATGGTATATATGTACATCAATGTTTTGTTATGCATTTTTTATTATTCCTTGTTCGGATGAAAATAATTTAGTACCTCAAGAATAATTTTACATTGCACCAGAAGGCATTTTACTGTAACGTCTTCAGTTCATCTCATTATCCATTCTCCAGCCATAGTCCTGCCCCCTGCACACATAATTGGAAACCAGGACCCTTGAACCTGCCCATTCTAAAAAAAAAAAAGAACCATCATCATCTTTATTCTGCTATACAATATTTTAAATAATTATTCTAACGCTTTTTGGTCTTAATTTTGCACTACTATATATATTGTTTACTATTTTATCTCAACAATTTAATAATTAAATGATTACTTTCTGCCGCAGTCAATGACCAACACGACCGCGACCAGCAACATTATTGTCAATTCGGTAGCCAGCACTAGCTATGCGAACTCATCGCAGCCGCCACAGCTGACGCAATTGAATGCGCAGACGCCACACCTGCCGCAGATAACGCAAATTCAAACGATACCGGCCCAGCAGTCCCAGCAGCAGGTGAACAATGTAAGCTCTGCGGGAGCGGTGGCGACGGCAGTAAGCAGCACGACGGCGGCAGCAACGACGACGCAGCAGGGCAATACCAAAGAAAAGTGTCGCAAGTTTCTAGCCAATTTAATCGAATTGTCGACACGGGAACCGAAGCCGGTGGAGAAGAATGTGCGCACCCTCATCCAGGAGCTGGTCAATGCGAACGTGGAGCCGGAGGAGTTTTGCGACCGCCTGGAGCGATTGCTCAACGCCAGTCCGCAGCCGTGCCTGATCGGATTCCTCAAGAAGAGTTTGCCCCTGCTCCGGCAAGCGCTCTACACCAAGGAGCTGGTGATCGAAGGCATCAAACCGCCGCCGCAACATGTTCTCGGACTTGCCGGACTCTCACATCAGCTGCCTGTAAGTCAACGGAATCTTTAAAAACTTGTTGTATAGTTTTATATTAACACTTTCGGTTCTCTACAGAAAATCCAAGCGCAAATCCGTCCGATCGGTCCCAGCCAGACGACGACCATTGGACAGACGCAGGTGCGCATGATAACGCCGAATGCTTTGGGCACACCGCGACCCACAATTGGCCACACGACGATATCGAAGCAGCCGCCTAACATCCGGTTGCCCACGGCACCCCGTCTTGTTAACACGGGAATTCGCACCCAAATACCCTCATTACAGGTGCCCGGACAGGCGGTAAGTTGAGATTATTCTCTCATAATCCAATTAGTCTTTTGAGTGGGTCAAAAAAAACTTCCATCAAAAAAATATATAGCGCAAAACGTTCCTCAATCAGTAAATATACAATCATATTTAATATTAAAACTTGTTTACGGGAAATCCCCACCATATATTAGAGAAATATTCATAATGAATCCATTTAAATTAATGGATTCAGAATGTTCGCTATCTTTTAGATTAATACGTCAGAAGCCAATACATAAAATACAAATCTATCGCGCTCAGAATAACTTCCTATCTGTAGGTCCTTATAAATGTTTTAGCTATCGACAATTTAAGTGGAATAACTGATTTTTAATCCTTTTAACAAAACCTATTTTACAAACATATAACATATTTTCATTTACAGAATATTGTGCAAATTCGTGGACCGCAACATGCCCAACTGCAACGCACGGGATCGGTGCAGATTCGGGCCACCACACGGCCGCCAAACAGTGTGCCCACCGCGAACAAACTCACTGCCGTCAAGGTGGGCCAGACGCAGATCAAAGCGATTACGCCCAGCCTGCACCCGCCCTCGCTGGCCGCCATCTCCGGCGGCCCACCGCCGACGCCCACGCTGTCTGTTTTGTCCACGCTAAACTCCGCCTCGACCACATCGCTGCCGATACCGTCGCTGCCCACGGTCCACCTGCCGCCTGAAGCGTTGCGAGCCCGTGAGCAGATGCAGAATTCCCTGAACCACAACAACAACCATTTCGAGGCGAAGCTAGTGGAGATCAAGGCGCCGTCGCTGCATCCGCCGCACATGGAGCGGATCAACGCGTCGCTTACACCGATTGGAGCCAAGACGATGGCGAGGCCGCCGCCTATGATCAGCAAGACGTTGGGTAAAAAGAAACGCGACGCCATGGAAATGGACGCCAAGTTAAACAGTTCGATGGGAGCGGCATCAGCGGCGGCAAACTCGTTTTTCCAGCAGAGCTCCATGTCCTCGTCGATGTACGGCGACGATGATATCAACGATGTGGCCGCCATGGGTGGCGTAAATCTGGCAGAGGAGTCGCAGAGGATTCTTGGCTGCACGGAAAACATTGGCACGCAGATTCGCTCCTGCAAGGATGAGGTGTTTCTCAATCTGCCCGCCCTGCAAGCACGGATACGAGCCATTACGTCGGAAGCGGGACTGGATGAGCCGTCGCAAGATGTGGCCGTTCTGATATCGCACGCCTGCCAGGAGCGACTGAAGAACATTGTGGAGAAGTTGGCTGTGATAGCGGAGCACCGCATTGATGTCATCAAGGTGGGTTAAATATTTACTAATTAATAAACTAGAAAGTAAACTCGATCAATGAATTCTAACAGTTGGACCCACGCTACGAGGCCGCCAAGGATGTGCGCGGTCAGATCAAGTTCTTGGAAGAGCTGGACAAGGCCGAGCAGAAGCGACACGAGGAGCTGGAGCGTGAGATGCTGCTGCGGGCTGCCAAGTCTCGGTCGAGAGTCGAGGATCCCGAGCAGGCCAAGATGAAGGCGAGGGTAGGAGCTCAATCGCCTCTTCCTGGAGCCATTTGCTTACGTCTTTTTCTCCTTGTCTAGGCTAAGGAGATGCAGCGCGCCGAAATGGAGGAGTTGCGTCAGCGTGATGCGAACCTGACGGCGTTGCAGGCGATCGGACCCCGGAAAAAGTTAAAGCTGGACGGCGAAGCGGTCAGTGCGGGAGTGGTATGTTCAATAAAATTATTAGTAAAGAAAATACTTCAAATATAGCTAGAACACCAATTCAAGAGTGAGTCCTAAATGAATGTGTTTTCTCAAAACAGGGTTCCAGTGGCGGAGGAGTGCTAAGCAGCTCAGGATCTGCGCCGACGACGTTACGCCCGCGCATCAAGCGTGTGAACCTGCGCGACATGCTTTTCTACATGGAGCAGGAGCGCGAGTTCTGTCGCAGCTCCATGTTGTTCAAGACATACCTCAAGTGATCGCTGCTGTTGCCCATCATTCGCACCGTCTTCTCCTCACTGATCCTCCTACTCCGTGGACTGTCGTCATCGTTGTGTTTTCAGCTTTACGATTTCATCCATTTGCAATATAATTTAACCTCCATATTAACTGCGTCGCGTCTCCCCCTGTTGTTGTTTCTTTTTAGTTAGGCGCCCCTATTTAATTTCTATAATTACCATTTACATACTTAAACCCTAAATTCTAATCGTATTTGATTTTAAGCCTAATTTAAAGCTCGTTTATTTTTCCCAATAAATTGTCTGTAAAACTTAAACCAAACCAATCCAAAAACAAAACCAGAGTAACGTAAAGTAAACGAAGAGCATAAAATAATAGAGAGGAATATAAAAGTAAAGAGAACGCGCAGTCAGCGGGCGTTTGATTTGTAACTGTAAAATAATGTTTGCAACAACTGCATTGACGGCCTTATCTAAACGATATAAACATAATTATTAATATTAATTAATTAACTTAGTTTGTTAAACGAAAACGAAGCGTAATTTATAGATTATAAGTGAATAGAAGGCGCGCGCGCGACAAAAAGAGAAATCGAAACCGAATCGCAGATAAGAGGTTTTAAAAACCAATAAATCGGAACAAGTTCAGTAACAGCTAAAAACAAAACACATCAAAAACAGAAGCGAAAAGATATCCATTTAAACCATACATTGAATTAGTTATAGTTGTTTAAACAAAACAATGTAATTTTTAATTACCTATTATGTATAAACGGAAAACCAATCGTTAGGCAAGACCACAACAAACCCAACAAATTGTAAATACATGCTAGGCTACGATTTTCTAATAGATAACTAGGTAAACGCAAACGTAATTAACGAATTCTCGATGGCTAGGAACGGTGGAAATCTTAGCACACCGAAACAAATATGTTTTTATTAGTGGCGCTCGTTCATCCATTAAGAAACACGGTTCACTAGGCTCCCCGAATCCCCAACATCCCCGATCCAACAGGCCTACACACAAAATAGACAAATTTTATACAGTTAGCCAGATAAATCTTGTAAAATACAATCCCAAAAAAAAAAAATTAACAAATTTATTGACAACAATTGATGTAATTCAGTATAACTAAGCAAAAAGGAACAATTCTATAAAATTCTTTGTGTGTACATTAAATTATTATGATATACAAAAAAAAAACAGGCAAACGCAACCGTAAACACAGCGCATAGTTTGGTAGGCATATAACTGAATATATATATATTATTATGTTTTATCATTAAGCAAAAAAAATAAAAGAAAAAAATTCATAAAACTTTTCAACTGAGCACGGAATATTAATAGTGGGGATGATACAGAATTTATTTAAGTGCGCAGTGCTTTATATTACAATATTTTTCTTATACAAATTATTATTTTATGACGGATGGAATATGTAACGGTATCTCAGTTAATTAGCTAGTTAAATCATTAAACATTATGTAGTTGAATTAAATATTTTTATTGATATTTTTATATTCATTTATTATGTTAATTACTCTTACTGAAATTTTGTGTAGCCCCCATAGAATGAAAATCTAACACAAAATAAATAGAACCAAATTTACATTTGGATTCAACCAGAAACATTTAATTGGACCTTTTCAATTTTTTCTTAGATTGGTTTTATAATTTGAGGGAGAACTTGAAGCCAAACACCTATCACTCGAAATAGTTTTCTGCTATATAGGCGTCGTTTCTTTTTGAGCTATAATTCTTCAAGCAAAGGCATTTCATCACTTAGAAGTCTTAAGGGACGGTTATAAGCGTAATGTATAGATTGATAAATTATATAGAATGGTTGATTTAAGCTTTGGCGCCATTATTTTAAAGCGCTTGGCATCCCTCAATCATTTATTTAGTATGACCCGCTTTAAGTAAGTATTTTTCTACAAACTCAACACGTTCATACTAGTGCGAAAAATTATAATGAAAAACTAAAAACAAATGATCAAAACAATTTATTTTTGCTAGGAAAAAAGGCAGTTTTGAATAGAGTAAAAAACATTGCATTTTCAGAAATAAAAAAATGATTATAGCACAATGACTGAGTTCCTTGATGAAAATAATGCCTGTGGCCAGAATTTGCTGAATATAGTTTCGGTGGGTAATTCGATAATAGCAGAAATCCTGCGCCTCAAGGATTATGTTCCCAGTATTTATAGGTAATATAAAGTAAATACATTTAAACGATGATTAATGTATGGAAATATATTTTGCAGATTGGACAACAAGGCAGATAAGGCCAAATATGGGGAGATTATTTTAGATTTTAGCTATTTCAAAGTGGCCGAGGATCACGAGAAAAGGATCGAACAAAGTCCGGTAATGGGAAAAAGATTATATATTTCGGAGTTTTACTAAAAACACATTAATCGTTTACAGGAGTTGACCGAACTTGATGATGAGGCCCGTGCCCAACTTCCGTTAATCACCCGTTTTTATCTGGCCTTCCAAAGCATCCACCACTATGCATCCGACCTCCGGCAGTATATAGAGGAGCTCAACAGTGGCTACTATATACAACAGACCCTGGAGACAGTTCTCCAGGAGGAGGAGGGGCGCCAACTGCTCTGTGAATCTCTCTACCTATTCGGTGTGATTCTACTTCTGCTTGATTTTCACATTCCGGGAGATGTGAGGGAACGCCTGTTGATAGCGTACTATCGCTATAGTGGAGGAGATGCCACCCCCAGTGGAGATGAGAGCAATATTCATGATGTTTGCCTTCTACTTCGATCTACGGGCTATGTCCATCCTTCGGAGGCCGCAAAAGTGATGAGCTTAGGGGGCAAACAGGCAGCTGCTGCTGCTGCCAATCTAGTGGTTCCCAGGTATCCGGAAGCCTACTTCTCTCGCTTCCCCTTCGATGAGAATTTTGTGGATCTTGTGGTGGCCCGACTCCGATGCGATGATATATACAACCAGTTAAGCTTGTACCCACACTCTTCGCACCGATCCACCGCCTTGTCCACTCAGGCTGCCATGTTGTACGTGTGTCTGTATTTCTGCCCGAAAGTTCTCCATTCCCAAGGCTCTCAGATGCGTGAGATTGTGGATAAGTTCTTCTGCGACAACTGGATTGTATCCTTGTACATGGGCATCACTGTTAATCTTGTGGACGCCTGGTTGGATTTCAAAGCCGCTCGCTCTGCTATCGAAAATGTGATAAGTCCGGCTGGGATAAAAACTCTCTGCCAACAGCAAAAGGAGCAATTGGGCAAGATACTGCAAAAGACCCAGGAGATTGTTCGGGAGGGAGTCCTAAATGATGACTTCGTTTTGGAGCACGCCAACAAGATCATCCTGATGATGAGGCAGTCGAATGTCCTGCTCCGCTGGTTTTGCCTACACACCTCGACGGAAGTTTTCGTATTTGCATACACCGCCACTCTACCAGCGCAAGTGCAACAAATGGTGCTCCAGGAACTGCAATTTGATCGGAATATGCTGTATAATTTGTTGCTGAACTGCAGCCAAATGGAACTGAGTGTCAGGGAGTTCCTGACGGAAATTCAGCAATCCAAAGAGGATCGCTGGACGAAAAGCAGGGAGGAGGCCATGCAAAGGTTAAAGGAGTTGAGTGAAGCCTTTGCGGGCTCTAGACCTTTGACCAAAATCGAGCAAAATCCTCAGTTGCAGCAGTGGTTTGGGGAAGTGGCCGGACGACTTCAGAAACTGGAGTTAAGCAGGCCACAGAAATCGGGAAGGTTGATTATTCAAGTGATGCAAGCACTGGACGAAGTTCAGGAATATCACAATCTCCATTCCAATATGCTTGTAAAGCAACAGTTGCAGGAAACGCGGGACATGCTCAATCGGATGACGCAGGTAAGCAAAGTGTATTACAATGTATTACCACTTAATTGATATTCTTAATTTCTTAGCTAATAAACCTGAAAGAAGACATCGAGATCCACATCCAGATGATCACCGATTTCAGCTACGCCTGGCATCTTCTGCAGCGCGACTTTACGCCTCTCATGCAGGAGCACATCAAGCGACAGCCGCAGGCGGTGATTGGAATCAGGGCAGTGTTCCTTAAATTGGCCAGCACCCTAGAGGTGCCGCTGATGAGGATCAATCAGGCTAGGAGCGAGGATCTGGCCTCCGTGTCAAACTACTACAGCACGGAGCTAGCTAATTTCTTGCGTCGTGTTCTACAAATTGTTCCAGAGACCATGTTCAGCATTCTGGCCAGGATTATCCATCTGCTGACAAACGTGATCAAGGAGTTCCCCACACGAGTAGAGAAGGAACGTCTCAAGGATTATGCACAGTTTGAAGAGCGCGCCAAAGTGGCTCAGCTAACTAACTCGATTGCCGTTTTCACCAAAGGAATCCTCATGATGAAAACGACTCTGGTGGGAGTAATCGAACTTGATCCCAAGCAATTATTGGAGGATGGCATACGAAAGGAGTTGGTTAATCATCTGGCCAATGCCTACAATCTTGGACTGATATTTACGCCAGAAAAGGGAAAAACACCTGTGCAGCTTCTTCAACAGAGACTTCAAGCTCTGGCCAAGACGATAGAAGGATATCGCAGATCCTTTGAATATATAGAAGACTATTTGAGAGTCCAGGGACTTCGCATCCTGCTGGAGGAATCACAGCGTATCATCAATTATAATGTTGAGAAGGAGTGCAACGCCTTTCTGCGCAACAAGGTGCAGGAATTTCAATCCGAGCATCAAAGCCAAATCATTCCCATTCCCAACTTCCCACCTGTTGTGGGTGATTCTTCCAATAACTTTATTGGTCGTCTAGCACATGAAATCTTGCGCTGCACAGATCCCAAAAACACGATATTCTTGGACTTGAAGAGTACATGGTATGAAAAGAAAGCTCCACACCAGGAAGTCCTAGCCGGCTCGGCATTTTTTGGGATGCTACGGGAAGCTTTGGCTCCGGCAGGAATGGTAGGACTGGAGCGCCTATACGCGCATATGTTAGCAGATGAGTTGAAGCGCAACCTGGAGAGGCTACAGCGGAACCTCATTTCGGATCGCATGTGGGTTGATGCCTTGGCAAGCTTGACCCGGGAGCTCGAGGCACGGGACTTTCCATCTCCCGAAGTGGCAAAGCAGCCTTTAAAGTATTACCAAGCATACACGCAAAGGTGGCTTAAGGTTTGGCCAACGCTCTTAGATTGGGTCCTATCCATCGGACAGAAGCAACTGCTGCGTCGGGAAATTGCTGGAGAATTAAGCTTCAGCAGCAAATGTGATGCTAAGCTGTTAGAGAACACAGCCGATACGCTAAACAAGTGAGTAAAATTAAAATATCACTTTTTTTTAAATACAACTCTATATAAAAATCCTCAACCAGGGCTCTTTTGTTGGAACTTTCCCTAAGCAAGGATCTCTGTGATGAGCAGGGCGTTCGTATGCTCACCGAGCTGCAGGAAACCCTTCTTTATACAGGAAATTTTGAACCGCTGGAACAGGTCTTTCTCACGACGAAGAACACACACAACATGTCGCTCTTTCTGTTTTTGTTCACCATTGCCCATTTGGGTCGGCTGCAGCATTCTGCGAACACCGATTGTCTATTGCCAAAGTCAGCTAAAGATTCCATTGATAATGTGCCTTTCATTGTGGGTCTTCTAACGATCCTGCAACAGTTCCACAGGAACGTCAAGATGTTGTACATATCCTACATGAGTCAGTATGTGGTGACGGTCTCGGAGGCCCAATTATTGTGAGTATAATTCACTTTACATTTAATGAATTTAAATTTGAACACTTCTTTTTTTATATGCAGGGACAAGGAAGTCCTTGGATCAGAAGTGGTCACTGCCCTTCACTTCCTTCTAGCTTTTATTCGCATTGCTCGTTTGCCACTGAGAGTGCTGGAACAGCGTATACCCAACATGATACTAAGCGAGTATGAGTACCTATCAACGCCCTTAAAATAGGATATAAATCAACGTTTGGGCTACACAAACTTTAATAAATCCGAAAACGTAACAAGGAAATGCCTCGCTGAGGTACAAGTGGAGATTGTAGTTGGATGGGTTGGTAATCTCATTGATTCTTTTCAATAAGGAACTCTTTACGTGATGACAGTGGGAGCATTGCGTCCGGTGAACTTGGGCAGCTGCGAGATCTCCAAAGCAATGTCGATCAAAGGCTTCAGCATTACGCTGGCCTGACCCAGAACGTTCTCCTTCTCATAGGAATCGATGTACAAGCTGCAAGAAAATCAATTAAAAATTAGTTCAGTTGATTTTCTGGTTTTCCACATCATAACTCACCGCACGGTGGCTCCAGAGCTGCCAGTTCCACTGAGACGCATGACAATGCGACTGCCATCCTCGAAGACGATGCGCAGACCCTGTTTCGTGGCCACCGATTTGTCCACGGGATCTGTGTAGCTGAAGTTGTCCGCTTCCTTGACCTTATAGGTCTTTCCGCCGCTGGAGTAGCTCTTACCGACAAACTCGGGGGCAGTGATGGCCTTCTCCATGGTGGACATCATATCGTTGCAAGGATCCGAGGCGCACTCCTCGTAATCGTAGCGTGTAAAGTAATTGCGACCGTACACCGACCAGTGCTGTTTCAGGATGTCCTCGATACCCTTGCCAGTGTGCTGCATCACGGAGATCCAGGCAAGAACCGCCCAGATGCCATCCTTTTCACGGATGTGATTGGAGCCGGTGCCGAAGCTCTCCTCTCCGCAGAGGCACAACCTTCCAGCGTCCATGAGGTTACCGAAGTACTTCCATCCTGTGGGCACTTCGAACACTTCCTTGCCCAACTTCCTGCCCACCAAGTCCACAGCGGAAGCAGTGGGCATGCTGCGAGCGAATCCCTGAACACCGTTCTTCTGGAAGTACGGGATGGCTTCGAGGTAGTGGGCAATCACCGCCAGGGAATCGCTGGGTGTTACGAAGAACGCCTTGTTGCCGATAATCATGTTACGATCACCATCTCCATCGAAGGCGGCTCCGATGTCGTAGTCTCCCTGGGCAACGGTGTCCACCAGATCCTTGGCATAGGTCAGATTCGGGTCAGGATGGAGACCACCAAAGTCCGGCAGTGGAGTAGTGTGTACCACCGAGGATTCACTGGCACCCAGGCGGTTCAGAAAGATCTCGCGCACATAGGAGCCAGTGACTCCATTCAGCGCATCGATGCGCATCTTCAGGGGCTTTCCAGTGGCCTTTCCGCTAACGAAATCCTTCAGCTTGGCAAAGTCAAAAATCTCCTCCATGTGGCGCACATAGTTGGCCACCGAATCGATCACCTCCACGGTGAAGGGTTTTCCAGCAATGTCGAAAGAAGTCACGCCCACTTTAGAGATGTCGATCTGCAGGTTGCGGACCAGCTTGTACTCCTTGATCTCTGTGGTGATCTTGTAGATGTGGTTGGTGAACGCATCGGGAGCAGGACCTCCGTTCTCGCAGTTGAATTTGATACCGAAATCGTTTTCGGGGCCACCAGGATTGTGCGAAGCGGTTAAAACGATTCCACCTATTAAAGAGTTTACAATTTTGAGAAAATAAGAAAATAAGGCAATATAATTAATAAGTTAATCCTAAAAAATTTAAGTTGATGAGCAATTTATATATTTATTAAATCCCAACCTTATGTCCAACATTAAATGTCTGTGCCCAGAGAGTTGGCTGATATTTAAAAAAGCTATAAATATGACCCTCAAGATTCCTTGATGAAATAGTTTCGCCAATTATGAAATAGCAAATAGTAAAACCACTTCGCGTAATTGTTTACGATTTAAAATTGATAAATGTTTTACAGTATCTTAAGACAACATTCTGCCTGTGTTAATACCCTTGGCTTTACCGATTCAAACCCGGTTGCCCGAACAATGAAGTCTCTGTTAACCGATTGAATCTATAGTTATTGTTCGACCCCAGGGACCTCTGTCACTTAACAGCTCGCACCCCGTTGATTGTGTAAAGATGCTTCTTATCAATTAAAATCTTTACGAGCACAGAGAAGACTCCCTAGCTGGAAACTTACCCAAGGCCTTGTTTTGACGGATAAGGCTGGAAACGGCAGGGGTGGACAGGATGCCATTCTGGCCCACCAGCAGTTTGGAAACTCCATTTGCTGCCGATAACCGAACAATGAGTTCGGCAGCTTCCTTGCAGTAGAAACGTCCATCGCCACCTACAACTAAAGTGGAACCCACCAGAGCAGCGCCATTGGCCTCCAAAATAGCTTGGACAAAGTTTTCCGTGTAATTCGGTTGGGTAAAAACTTTGACCTACCATTGGAAAAACATTTAACAATTTATAAGATGAATTTTAGGGTTTGAGACTTATTTGCTCGGATCCCACCTTTTTGCGCAATCCACTGGTTCCTGGCTTTTGACCCTCGTAGGGCTTTGTTGCAACAATTTCCACAGTTAAAGACATGTCACTGGAGTTTTCCCGCTGCTGGCTGAATTCCAACTGGACGAATGAACCGCGTTTGCGTGCGATGAAAATTGAGTGTCAAACACAGCACAGCGAAATTCGCCTCCCACTGATAAGCGAAAGCGGTCCGGCCATAACGATCAAGATAAGCGCTATCATCGATGCGTGCTGCCTGTCAGTAGTACTCTGAAGTTGGGGGTGTGTCTTTGCAAATCGTAACTACACATAACTTCATTAAGCTTTTGATTTAACTTTTAAATATTTCTATCTTCATCATGATGTACAGAAATTTATTTTGCTGATTTGGCGAACTCATATGCTGAAAAGCTTACTGTAGGGTGCAATGTCATTCAAGGGCATTTTCAGATACCGGCAAACAGCTGTTTTTAGCTTAATGTATGTCAAATATACAGCCAGAGTCAAATAAAATCCATATATTTTAATCAGGTGTTATCCTAAAAGTTAACTAAAGTCATAAAATTATAAGAAACAGTTTTGTTTACTTTGTTAAAGCAATTGAACAGTTTTTTAAACAACAGCTGCTTTATGTTAACAGCGCTTTAACATGGTTTATGTGGTAGGGTTGTTTATGGTTCAACTGTTTAATAGGGGTTCTTTTGCGAGTATATCGAATATAACAAACAATAATTGTAACATTTTAATTAATTTTTCTAGATATATATGTTGAAACTGCAACTACAAAAAAAAAAAATGATTACGTTAGAGTTTGAATATTATTCTACTTAGTTACAAGAAAGTAAGGCTATTTATGTTAACTGTTTAATGTTTTAGTTGTAAAAACAATTAATTTAAAAGTTATCAAATGCAAAAGTAACGAATAAAATACCGAAATAATACATTACACTGGTAATAAAACAAAATACCGTCTCAACCCATCTGATATATCGATAATTTGAACCACCCCTGGCAACCCTGACGTACACGAAGTTTGACAGCGAATCCATTCCACGTCACGAACCAACGAGAAAGCGGCCGCCTGCTACGACTGCTGTTTAGTTGCACTTAAATACTCGAAAAAGAAAAACCCAACGTCCAAGTAAGTAGTTAAACGATGAATTAAAAAGTATAAGTGCAATGTGCAGTGAGTTAATGAGGAGCGCCTATGCTATAAATTAAATCGAAAAGCATCGGAAAACTCGGGCCCTTTGAGGCTTGCTGTCTTGAACGACCCTTCCACGTCAACAAAAAAGTGAAACGTGAAAATATGATTTATAATTGCAGAATGTTCAAGCACCTGCTGACCCTATTCGCTTTGTGCGCGGTATTTAGCACCTGCCTGTCGGAGGACGAGACCCGTGCCCGTCTCCTGGTCTCCAAGCAGATCTTGAACAAATACCTGGTGGAGAAGAGCGACCTGTTGGTGCGCTACACCATCTTCAACGTGGGCAGTGGTGCCGCCACCAAGGTGCGATTGGTTGACTCCGGCTTCCATCCGGAGGCCTTCGATGTTGTGGGAGGACAGCCCACCGCCGTCGTCGACAGGATCGCTCCCCAGACTAACTTCACCCATGTCCTGGTGGTGAGGCCCAAGGCCTTCGGCTACTTCAACTTCACTGCTGCTGAGGTGTCCTACAAAGCTGTCGAGGAATCGGAAACGGTAAGTTTTAGCTGGATAGACCCCCAAAGAAATGTCTTTCCTTAAGAAATTATCTGATCTTGATAAAAACAGAATCTCTTACAAGGTCCAAGTAAAATCAGAATGCATAAGTAGGGTAATAGGTTTGCTATAAACATCAACAAAATCTATGGTGATCTTTAAGATTTCCAAAAGATTACTATTTATAAATCTCTTTATGCATAAATCAATATGTGCCCACCGTTTTTGTGTCGATTTTTTAGGAACAAAAAGTATTCGAGAATCCAGGTATCAATTTGATTATTTATATTCGAAATACCTTTGGTAGTTGTTATGATAAAATAATTTCTGTTCAACAAATTAAGTTATATCTTTGTAACAGGCTATGGTATACAAAATTATTAGACTCATAAATATTTATTTTTATTGCAGCTCCAACTGGCAGTCAGCTCTGAGCCCGGTGAGGGTGGCATTGTCAACTTGAACGAGTACAACAAGCGCTTCTCCTCCCACTTCTTCGACTGGGTGGCCTTCGCCGTCATGACCCTGCCTTCTCTGGCCATTCCTCTGGGTCTGTGGCACCAGTCTAAGAGCAAATACGAGCGCTCCGGCAAGAACAAGAAGCACTAAGATGAGCGTCGGACGGTTACCTAACCATCAAGAGATTTATTTACGAACACCCATTATAAATTTCCGTAAATTTTGTTGCTTTAGTTTTCAATTGATTCCATGAGTTGTTCATCCATTAAACCCACACACCTAGTTTACTCCAGTCTGGAACTGTCGTCTGGAGACGGGCGTTAAATCGTTTTAGATTTGATACGAGGACGCATCGAGTAAAGAAAATTAGCAAGTCCACCAAGGGTTAAGCTTTGACTGCTTTTCTAAATAAATTAAAACAAATGTAAACTGGAAAACTACTTACTGGTTACGGATTTTGGGCCATGTGATGAATAACGTACGTTCAAATTGAGACGAACCTTGTTTTTAAGCTTTTGAGATGGTGTCTACTTTTTAGAAAGTAGTATACAAAAGAAGGATAATACAACAGTTCTTATTGAATCAAATTTATATTAACGTTACTTAATGGCTAAAGATTTTAACAAGTTTAGGATAACAAATACTTCCGGCCAAAGATCTCGGATTTCTTTTCGAACATCGGGGATTTGATGGGCGTGTTAATCCGGTAAAAAGCATTCATAGAGTGTTTAATATACGTGTCATACATCTCGTTGAAGAAGTTTTTGATGCCCTCGTCGTTTTTATTGTCGTGAACGATGATAAATCTAATTTGGCTGGCGGTAATGAAGGCGGAAACGAACCACTGGTTAAATCTATCAATAGATTTCAGTTGCATATTTGCCGTTTTCCATTTGTGCTCATCCACCAAGTCCAAGGCGGCATGGGCAATAAACTGGCTTAAGTGTCTGTGGTCCTCTTTCTGTGGTTGAGAAAGGTTTCAGCTATTTCTTCAGTGCTTGGTAGTTTTACGTACCCTAAGTTCCTTATTGACAGTGCTGAATTCCTTTTCGTAGATAGGATTATCATTGTGGCCCACAATAACAAAGTAATAGGTGGACATTTTTATGAAGACCAAAACAGTATGATTAGTAGTGTGACCAAAAAAGAAAAAGTAAACTAAACAAAATACCAAGCAAGGTTTAAAAAAATACCAATGCACATCCATGTCAATGTTTATTTAATTTAATTTATTTAATGTTTGGTATAAAATATTTAATTCTGAATTATTTGTACTATGAAAAAAATATGTAATTTTAATAAGATTTTTGCATTTCTTTTATACTTGGCATTCCCAAAAAAACTACCACCTCCATACCGGGAAGTGTTGGAAAATACAACCACCTCTTAAAATTTGACAGCACTGTTGATTCGCGCCTTTTTTCCCCAGCACATTTTGTGACCAGCTAAATGTATTTATTTTGCTCGGATAAAATGATATTATACGCCTGAATTGGAAGCTGAAGAGTAGTTACCCATTGGGGCTTTAGTTCCGTTAGTCAGAGGAGCGTGACCAACGCGGCGAAAGTGCGATCGTGTGTGTGCGTGTGCGGGAGTGTAACAAAAACCACAAACGAAAAATCGCTTGGAAGGTACATAGATCTCATTATATATTGTATTGTTGTTTTTTGCTTTTGCCCCCGATCTTTTGTTGCGATCTTATAAGTTTGGCTTTCATATAATCTGTAGATACAATATCGGTTAAGTACTTAGATCTTACAAAGTAAAACTCCACCATACACACACACGCACACACTAAGCAAAATGTATTAAACAATAAAAAAAAGAACTCGCAAGAAGGGGCCCAAGAAAATGACCGATGTAAATTGTCTTACAAGTGAGCACATTGCAACAACAACTGCCAGTCCCCCAGGAACTCCCACCAAAAATGCTGGCAAGGATCTTGTGGAGCCCACATCACCATTTGTTTTGAGAGCACCGCCTAGCGCCAAATCCAAACTGATCCTCCAGAACATGGAGGAGGTGCTTCACTCGGTGAAGCAGAAGCACCGAGAGAAGCACAAGCGGAAGAGGGAGGAAAAAAGAAGAGCAGCTCTACTTGAAGATCAAAAGAAATCCTCCCAGGATTCTCCCAAGCCGGATAAAGAAAAACCACAGCCGCTGCGGGAGAAATCCTGTCAAGAAAATGGTCTCAAGAATGGCCGAAGGCGTTCCAGTCCCCTGAAAAGCAGCACTCCGGTGGCCGACAACCAGAGCATCATGAAGCACTTTTCCAAAACAGGCAAGCCAGAGGTTCTGGCTGCTTCCCCGCTGAATACCTCCAAACCCAAGCCAGCCACCAATGTTTTCGAGTTCATGATGAATGCCCGGAATCGCTCTATAGGGGTTAACGAAGGCGGCACGGAATCTCCCGGAGACCAAGAAGTCGGTAGTGAAGCCGCCACACCGACGACCAAGCGTAAACTGCTCCTTCAGGAATGGAACGAACGCAAAGGAGGAGCCAAGAGACGGCTGGCAGAAGAGGCCCGCGGGGAGTTTATCGAACAGCAGATGGAGCAACGGGCTAAGAGGTGAGATACAAAATTATTATTAAAACCGATTAAGACAAATACTAATTATTAATTTTCTAGGTTAAGAAAAATGCTGACCAAGACTGAACAGACGGCTCCATCATCGGCGCCCACAGAGCCCACTGCCAAGCGCCCTCGAGGCAGGCCGCGATCCCGACGCCTCAGTTCCGTAGATGCGCCGGCTCTGGTCATGGATGCCAAACCTCAAGATCCAGAAACAGAAGAGTTCCTCTCAAAGCTGTCGTCGCCCACAAAGAAGCGAGACAGTTTGCTTGGGTACTTCGCCAAGGTGGAATCGCCTAAGGAGGTGGCCGAAAAACTTACCATTGCGATAGAAACTCCTCCCATGGAGACACCCAAACGAAGAACGCAGCGTAGGAGGAGCCAGCAGGAAACTCCCATCATAGAAGCCGAAGCTACACCTTCGTCAAGACCAAGACGTTCGTGTGCTGGGAAAGCGCGCTATGATTACGACCTCGAAACGAGTCCTGCAAAGCAACAAAAGGCCAAGGTACCAAAGGCAGAAGAATCCATAGAGGTTATTGATCTGGACAGCAGTAATCCAGCTGCCACGCCAAAGAAACTAGCGCCTCTGTTTGTACGCCAATTGCCAAAGCCCAGTCCAGATCCTTCGGTTTTAAAGGCTCGCCAGGCTTTTCTGCAATCCGGAGTTCCAGATAAAATTCGCCAGGAGCAAAACCGTCAAAAGACCTACGAGCTGATGTACGAGGAGAGCTATGAGGTGTTTCCCAGATTGGCACATATAGGTTGCGAAAACTTTGTTTCGACAAATCGTCCTCTTGAGTTGCCGTTTGCATTGAGGGCAGAAGAGGAGTTCTTAGACGTTACTACAGCTATTCCCTCCAACAAACGACGTTCTAGAACGAGTAGCATTACAAGCATCCTTTCCGCCGACTTTACATCAAGTAAAAGTGGTAACAAATTCAACTACGCTACCTTACCGCAGTTGGAGAACAAACGAGGCTTTGTGAAGCTCTGGAAGAACGACTTCGATCGCTTTCCCACCTTTAAGTGCTATAACCAAATGAGGGAGAAGTATCGTCACTTCAGCGCCATCGACAGTGCGCAGGATACGCAACAAATGGGCGAGTCCTTGGTGGTTACACGACGCACTCGAAGATCTATGGAACAACATATGGCTCAGAGTGATGAGGAGGCGAAGCCGCCACCGTCGGCTCCCAACGGGGAGTTGCTCTTCACCGAAAAGTACAAACCGCTGCTGTTCGAACAGGTTTTAGTTAACCTAACGCCGGTGCAGGAGCTTCGGGAATTCCTGTCCAGTTGGAGCAGCAATGGAGGCAGCAATCGCAACTCACAGGGCATGGATGACACCTTCGATATGAGCAATGATTCGGCTTCTATGGGGTCGAGTAGCAACACAATGGTGCTGGTGGGACCTTCATCCAGCGGGAAAACCAATGCAGTTTTTACTCTAGCGAACGACATGAACTTCAATGTCTTGGAGATAAACGCAGGAATGAAGCGTACGGGCAAGAAGTTGATTCAGGAACTTCAAGAGGCCACGCAGTCGCATCAAATAAGGAAAGACAGTAAAACGGGCGGTGGATCCTCACAGCAGTTGCTCCAAAAGTTGCAAAAGAGTGGCCTAAAGGCGAAAGCAGCTGCTGTGGAACCTCCATCAGAAGTGAGGAAATCCCTTATCCTTATAGAAGATGCCGACATCCTGTTTGATAATATGGATGCTGGATTTACGGATGCCATTTACACCTTGGCCGCCAGTTCAAAGAGGCCCGTGATTGTGGTGGCTACGGATCCCAACTGTGCACATCTTCAGCGGCTTATGCAGCAGAACGTAATCCATTTTCAGGCCCCAAACGCTTTGAACATCTCTCGATTCCTAGCAGTTTTGTCGCTAATGGAAAATTGCCCCATCGAACTGGATGAACTGATATCCCTGTATCTGTACAATCATCAGAATCTGCGCAAGACGTTGATGGAACTGCAGTTTTACATTCAAAGTGGCGGAGATTCAAGCAGCGGTAGATCGGTTGGCGTTAAATCGCCCACTAAATCCTCAAATAGTCGGCTGGCAACCGTAGATGGCAGTCGCATCCATCAGCGATTCTTTGAGTTCTTCACATCGCCGCAAAATATCCACTATCGAATACCCTTTCCCGTGGACTTTAGGCTACTGCGTTTAAATCTACCCGAGCTCATATCTAGTTCCCCGGTGCTGAAGGAGCAGCAGCTTTCAGGTGGCGGAAGTAGAGGCAATGCCAAGCGAAAGTCCCGATCTCCAAAGAAAGCCTGGCTGAGCAGCGCCACTGGGCAGAAGAGCGACAGCCAAAACTCCCCCCTCGCATCGCTGGCCTCCTTTTACGACCACATTTCGCTGGCTGCTCTAATGGACTCCGACTGCAGTGATCGCTTGCAGTGCCACCTATCCGAGGACATCGCGCACCTGCTGGTGGAGCAGGCTCTCCAAACTGGACTCGCGGCCAAGGAGTGTCCCTACAATCTATTCGACAAGCCAGATCAAAGGTAAAGTACATAGAAAACATTTAAAGATATGAAGTATCCATTTTATAAATTTATTTTAATGTTTTTTCTTAATTGGTTTAAAGGTCAGCTTATGTAAAACTTATAATTGCACTTAATGTACTTGCAATCTTTTGTTTGATTATTTTTTTTAAAGAATGAATCGGCATGTTTGAAATGCTTGGTCATTGGGCAGACAAATAAGTAATCGATGGGACAAGGAAATCGTTGTTTTTATCGTCTAGCATTATAACAGCCACTCAGAAGATAAGTTTAGCATAGTTTAGTTTAATAGCCATGTCATTAAAATGACCGATAGTAGAGCTGTCCTAAAACCCCAATCGTTCAAAAAGCTAGTCGCTAAATAGATTAGAAATCAGATAGCGTTTTATTTTATTTAAATTAAAAAAGCATGTGACCGTTAGAGTTATACACTGACTTTCACTGGTTTATTTTAACTTGTTTTATTAAGTGATTTTTATAAGAACTAGATCGTTTTTATTTCTAAATATTATCAATAATTTAACAATTTTCTCAACATTTTCCAGGGTAACCATTTGCGGATACCTGGGCAACGGAGTTATGCGTTCGGAATCTGCCAAAGCACTGGACTTTGAGCCCACCCTGCGCTCCATTTGCCGGAGTGAAAAGGAGCGGGCAGGGCAGGAGCGGAAGTCAAGTAGATTCTATCACTATCTGCGCAACCACACGGTGAACGTGACCAGTTTCACGACGGAGTACTTCGACGCCGCCTGCAGTACGTTCCAAACGACCACCAGCAAACCAGACGATCCGCCGGCGGAAGCCGAGCCAAAGGATTAGCTGTCGGTCGGACTTAGTTTAATTTTGTTCATTTGGTGGAGCAGCTCCACCGGATTTAATTGCAATTTAATTACAGCTCGAGGTAAGCAGAGTTGATCTTTATAGGATAGTTTTGTGGGCACAATGACGTTGCGTAGATATAATTAGATGAACCTAAACCTAGTTACAAGTTAATTACGTTAAATTAAATACGACCTCAGCCTATGTTAATAAATCAATTAAATGACATGTAAAACTAAATGACTAGCAGCAGCAGAAACCGGAAGAGCTCTTCTTCGACGGTTCCGGATGTTCTGTTATTGTGTTCTCCACTGGTTTCGTTGCTCCAATGGACGTGGGCTGGGTTTGAATGGGCGTCGCCGAGTTTATTTCACCGATTTTGTAATTCTTAAGATCCTTTTCGGCATCCGATGAGTGGCCAGCTTGTTTGAAGGCCTTGGTGGCATCCTTGCCGGCGTATTCGAGGAGTGCTTCACTGCCGCCAGGATGTTCGCTGAGGAACTTGGTCACATCGTAGACGTTTCCCTTGATGATCAGCCAGCAGGGTTTGCCATTCTTGCCATTATTTTGCGCCACCTCCGAAAGTTCGTACAACTGCGACATTATTGGGACTGATTACTTAATTGCTTTCCGGTGTAGACGAATGTTATTTTATGGCTGCTGTTCGATAACTCTTGTGCTCTTGATTTGCTAATTTTAGGAGCTGTTAACCATTGGACGGACTGGCAAACACTGGACGCGTGCCGATGGCCAACGCTTGTTTAAGTTTAACACTTATCAATATGGCAAAATATCGCCTAGATCGCTTGTACTTGCCCTTGTGTTTTCCCGCTTTTCCACGTATCGCTCAATTGCTATTTGCTGTTTTACTTCCACAATCTGTCTGACTTTTGATAAGAAATACGTGAGTATTTTAGAGACTTTCAAAGCGACCTACTAAAGTAACTGGTGTCCAATAATTTTTCGGGGATTTGTGCAACTTATTCATGCATATTGATTGAGCAGGCTGGCATGGAGTGGTTTCTATCTTTAGCGAAATCAAAAAAAGTTATGTGATTCACACTAGAACATGGGTGTGGACATTTTCATTGAAACCCGAGTAGGTGATAAACCCATGGTAGGATTTTTTTTCGAGTTACTCTCGACCATTAGACGTTCTTATCAAGTCAAAATTCCCCGTTGGTAATAGAAACAATGTTTAATACTTTTTGGCTTTCAAAGTTATATTCTATATATTTTGGAAATATATTTTAAATTTGCTTTCATTTTTGTTTTCGGTTTTATTGGTTTTTGTTTTGTTTTTTTTTTTTTTTTTATATGAGACAACAACAATAATTGGTATTCATTTAATATATATGTATTTAGATATATATCGATTTTTATATAGATTTATGTATCTTTGACGTTTTGCTTAATGCGCTTTAAAAATTTCGCTAGTGTTGGGTGCAACTTTTTCTGCGGGGATCGAAACTCAAATTCGATTTGTTGGGGAATTGGGGGTTTTTTGATTTTGGATTGGTAGGGATCTGTTGGGATTAGGTGTGTTTACTTTAACATAATGCTCCTCAGCGCATTGTCCTGCATTCGGTGTATTTACAAATGAATCTCTTTGCTTTCCTTGTAATTTACTTTATTTATTTATTTTTTTGTTATAAATATCAGTCGACGGTTTTGCATTTTCGAAACGCAGCTTGTGTGCGTTTTCATTTGTATTCTCATCTAAATTTACAGATACCATATTGTAATATATCGTATATATAAAGTGTAAAATTAATTACTTGTCAATGATTGTTGATTTGTTGTTTAATAAATCGATCTGCTTGAATTTAAAAATGTTAATTCAATCAATTGTTTTACTATAATTAAATCGATTTCTTTTCATTTGATTTACTTAGTTTCCGTTTAGTTTTTGCTAAACATAATTCGTAGACTTGATCTTCGTTTAGAATTTAATTGTTTAATTTAAAAAACAGTTTTGGAGGTAGTTGAAATTAGGCCTGTTTACGTAAATTATATTTATGTATGTATATAAATATTTGTATAAATGTGTATATGTGTAGCCGATATAACGATCGAACGAACGTTACCGCTTCGATATTTTAGCTGGACTTAATTTGTTTATACCTAATTAATTAATCAATTAATTTCTACATGTTAAATTTAGTTATTCATTGTCTCCGGTTTTTCTTCGGTCTCTTATACTTCGGGCTATTTCCGTTTGCTTTACTTTAAGTATTCCTTGATCCATAGACATCGAACTATATCGTTATGTATTTAAAAAGTAGGCTTGTAGGACTTGTTGGCGTAGTAAAGTGTTTTCCATTATTTTGCTTTGTTATCATATTTTCCTAGTTTCTTGCTTCGATTTTTTTTCTAAACTGTTTGGTTAAATGTGATTTAAATTTGATTTAATGGATCGTAAGTTTTTGAAACCATTTTTGTTTTCTCCTCTTTAATAATTTAAATTTATATTGTTTGGGCAAATATACTTTGGGTTTCGGATATCTGGAAAAGACACTTAAGAATTTAATAAATATATTTGGAAAACGAGAATTTTCAAAATTATAGCTGGTGAGATCTAATTATAATTAAAATTACCAAAATGTTCTAAATTCTTAATTGTGCTTATAACTTACATTGCAGTGGGATTATTTTTTAATTCTTTTATTATTCTAAACTTAACACGCAAAAAAAGGTGCTATTTTCTACTTAAAAGACCGCCAAGATCGTTCAGTGATGCCAAACTTTCCAATGATCGACCAGAGTGACAGTCCCAAGAAAACGTTTTGCCAGAGTTGCCAGACTGCATTTGCTGGTCGATAAAGTTTAAATTATCGGTCTTCTGATTTTTTAAATGTAAAATTCAAATAAATCCCGCTGGAAAACCGCAATGAGAATAAGCTTCAGCCAAATAAAAATGAAAACAATAATTTCTCTACAATTTGGTTTACATAGATTTCATTTCATTTTTTTTTTTTTTTTTTACATTGTAATTCCGTTAGCAAATATACAAATACAAATTTCAATTGAACTAAAAATTGTTTGTGTGTGTTTTTCGTGTGTTCCAGCACATGGGCCATGCGTACAATAATAATAGGGGATATGGGATATGGATAAGGGTAGGCATAGGGATAGATTATAGTTAAGAGTTGGTTGGCTTTGATTTAAAACTAGAGTTATTCAAACTAAAGTGTATACAATATTCATTCATAAAATTACAATTACATATTCACTTATGATTTGTTATTTACTTTCCTTCATCAAGTTTTGTGGTATTGTGTCTGTCTCTTTCAAGTTTGTTGCTTTCTTCGTTTTCACAAAAAAAAAATTCACGTTTCGTTACGTTAAGCAAGCGACGAATGGAAATGATGTTACAGAACTAAAAAAAAACCTATGGTCTGTGGTGAGTGCTTAAAAGGCGGCAGCGCAGCTATGTCTTCTCCATTTCTCATTCTCTAACTTTCCTTCTCTTGTTACTCAAATTTACAAATTAAATTCTGACTAATAAACAGTCTTTTCGTACCAGCGCAAAAGTTGGCGACAGACCTACATAAAATAAATCTGTTAAACTTTAACATAATAGATAAACATAGGCTAACATAAAAAAAATATATGTGTATATATATGTAGATATACATGTATTGGAGGTGCTGCACAAAACTCTGGAGATTAAATAACAAATATCTTTTTCAAATGTGCACCTCTCACAAAATAGTAATAGATCAAATATTTAAAAACAAAATATTTCGAAAAATTACCAGCAAAAGTTGTTGTTATTATCCTTAGAGCAGAGCTCGTTGGCTCCTAAAGCTTAGCTTATGTTCTAAAATCTCCAGTGGTTTCTGCACCAACCGCCGATATCTGTAGTTATGTAGTTAAACTTAACACGAGCTCAGTTATGAGTTGGCCGCACAGTGGCTGCAATTCCGGCTATTGCAGCTGCAGTGGTAGCTCATCATGCTAGAGTTGGAATTATTGCGGCTCATCGTTGTCAGCGGGAGATCCCCCGTCGCTCCGGCTCCGGCGGCAAAGGAAGACTGAGTGTTGGCTGTTGCTGTTGATGTTGTTGTTGTTGCAGCTGTCTCGTTGGCGGGTAGACTGGCGGTACTGCTGCTGCTGCTGCTCCTCAGTGGCTGCAGGCCAGCTCCAATTGGCACGGAGACGGACAGCGGCGGTGTGGGTATCCGTTCGGGGCTGCAATTGCCGCTCGTTCCGGTTCCCAGGCTGGTCAGCAGTTGCGTGCTCGGGCCCAATCCCGCGTAGATATGCGTCCCGCTGGGATTTGTCCCATAACCGCAGGCCGTGCTCTTCAGCATCGATGCATTGGACACTGGCAGCGTGGGCAGAGGCGCGGCAGCCAGCGAGGAGGCCGACGACGAGGTGGACACACAGGCGGAGGAGGCTAGCGAGGAGGCGGACGACGACATGGAGACGGAGGATGGAGGCGAAGGCGACGCCACCGACGACATCGTACAGCTCGGCGGCGACTTGGGCGAACTGATGCGCGAGAAGAACTTGGTTATGGCATTCGGCTTCGATTTGCTGGACGATGAGGAGGCGGACACTGACACGCCACCGGGCGTGTACGTTGAGGAGGCGGCCTGGAGCGTGGTGAGACGGTAGCTGGAGCTGGAGACGCCGCAGCCGCCCGCCGAGATCTGCTCGGGCACATCCCGCACCGTCTTGTTGGGCGGCGGTTTCGTGTACGACCTTGTGATCTCCGATTGCTGTTGCCGAAAGTAAAGTGGAGTCATTAGTAAATGCAATGGATTGCTATATTCAAAGGGAAACCCACCTGGTAGCTGCTCCTGATTTGCAGGTGCCGATCCTGTCCGTACTCGCTGTCCGGCAGTGGTACGTGATGTGGACAACGGGGCGTCTGCTGCTGCTGCAGCTGGTACTGGTAATGTTGGTGGTGATCGTTGCTGTGGCTCTGCAGCGAGCTGCACGTGGATCCGGAGGAGGTGTTGCCGCAGTCGCCCTTGTAGCAACCACTCCCGCTGCCGGTGTTTCCGTACTTGAGGGTTGTCGCTTCGATGCCGCCTCGCGCCACATTACTGCTAATACTATTGTTGTTGTTGCTGCTGCTGCTACTGTTACTCAACGGTTGGCGGTCACCGCCTGCTCCTCCTCCTCCTCCGCCGGAGTTGTGCGTGCTTGGAGTTGTCATGCGTTGTTGCTGGTGGTGGGAATGTTGTTGCTTGTTGCTGCTACTGCTGGTGCTGCTGCTGATGCTGCTGTGATGAAGAAGGTGTTGCTGCTGATGCTGCTGATTGTTGCCGGCGCCACGAATCACAGTTTCGCCACGCACAGCCAGTAGCTCACGTGCCTGGAGCGCATCAACGCGCATTCTACATCTAAATTGATCCCTGAAATTAAGGAAAAATAGTTAAATATCAAGTGGTTTTAAGTTCTTAAATGAGTAACCCTTACCTATCATCGGGTGGTGTGCTCAAAGATGTGCGGGTCGGAACGCCGAGCCGCTCCATTCCCGCGCAGCCGGCCGTCTGTACCGATAGCATCTGTAAGAAAAGAAAAATAGAGGTCAGTAAAAAGTTTTATTTGAAGGCTTAGCATTTTAACCTAAACAACACCTAGTACTCGACTCCATAATCCTCGCCCTGCTCATCCTGACAGCTCGCCACCTCCCTTAAAGTCTGAAAGTGCTCCAACATGAGCCATCTTTTGGCCACCCGACGAATGCATAAGTCACTTTCGTCATCGTATTGGCGACCCTCATAAAACTCAATACGTATTTCCATTTCCTTAAAGCTATTCGGTTTCAAGGGCTTGAATTTCAGGTTACCCGTGTAGTGAAGGTTACTGCGCATTACAAATGGTTGTTCTACAAAGAGCACGGTTTGCAACCAAAGCGATTTAAATGGCGACCTCAAGCACGGATTACAGCTCATCTTGAGGGGAATATGCGAGCCACTGAACTCCACATCGAAATAGAGAAGAAAGCACTCGAGGTAACCCTCTTTTTTAACTTTTAAACGTACAGTTCGATCTACAAAGAGATCTTCTTTCTTGGCTTTTTTCAAATCAATCTTTAAAACGCAATGAGCCAGGGTCAACAGCTTTTCTCCGGATGTTCTGGCATAACGAGGTTCGGCCAGGGAATATCGACGCATGGCATTCATATTGAATCCATAGACACTCCGCCACCAATTACAGCGATCGTTCTTTAGCGCGTGTTCCTCGGATGCGAGAAGATATAGCGAACCCAGATCGGGTAGGATAAAGCCGCCCTTTTTCAACCAGCGATTACGAGCTTCGATGACCTCCAGTATCTCCGATTCGTAGAGCAAACAATGACCCATCCAGTTGCACACAATGCCATCAACTTTCTCCGGTAATTTTAAATCCTTCATATGACCATTTAACACCTTAATGATGGATTCATAGCGATTTTGGCGCACTACCAATTCCGTATAGCCGGTGACCTTGGAGTAATCCACGGCGTAAACCCTTTTCGCGCCCATTTGAGCTGCCATCAGGGCCAATGTTCCGGGTCCACAGCAGAGAACCAGGATAATGCGGTTCTTGAAAAGGTGTCGATTCTGAGTGATGGCCGTGTGAAAGTATTGCATGTGCTCTTGACCCTTTTGCCGGGTTCGCATATTTTCCAGATGAGCTCCGTGATCATGTCGAAAATCCGCTGAAGTCATGCGATCAACTTCTTTCAGTTCCTGCGGCACATTTCTCGGTGGGGTTGGAACCCGTGGACTTACTCGCACCTTGGAACGACCATAAAAGGCATCCTTGAGATTGAGTCTCCTCAGTAATTTTATCTTGGTATCGATGGGTGTTTTAGTTTCAGTGGGTTTTTGAGTCTGGCTTGCAATATTGAGATCCTGCTTTAGATTCTTCACTGTTTTTGTGCACCCATTAATGTTTCCATTATGAAGCACTGGATTTTCCAGATTTTGTGGACTTATTGGAAGCTTATCACAACAGACGCCACGACCACGAGATCCACAACTGTTAAGAGAATAATTCCATACTGTCGGGTTCATCTTCCGGTCATGCTTTTCCAGAAGTCGTTTCTGATCCAGCTGATTATGGAAATCGGCGAGACTTAGTTTTATGGGTTTTTTGAGCGTTTTTTTATTCTTCTTTGGCGTCATTGCGGTAAAATTCCTTTTAATTAAACGCCAAAATGTTCTCAAGAGAAAGAACACAAAAAGAAATATGTAGGAGGGAGACGCAGAGAGTGAAAGAACCACTTTTGAGTGGAGATGATAATTAAAGGAAGGTGGCGCAGAAGAAAATATTTTTGACGTCAGTTATCGAGAACTTTATTTGTCCCACAACAATTAATGTTTAATTTGTCCTAATACACATGTATGTTTATGTGTAAAATGGAATCTGAGTATTAATTTATCTTCGAAGATACTCTATTTTCTACTGGATAAATATCCAAAGACTTTTTGTGGTCACCTTTTGTTTGTGAACCATGGCGATACATTGATAATAATGATGTGACCAGCTTCATATAATCATATTGTACTTGCACATGATTGCGCGATATTCAAATGAAAAGGCTTAAATTATTTCAAAGTGCACAACTCTTTTAAGTTTTCAGTAATAATTTTAAATCTTCTATCTATACGATTCCTACAACCCTAGTATTCTCTACGCAGGCGATTCGCATAACTCAACATGTTCCACATTCCGTTGGCCACCTTTTTCTCGCCTTTTTGTATTTCAGTTTTTTTTGTGTCTTTAACCCCCAAATGCCCCACCACACCACCTGGCGATTGATGTGTGCAAGCGAGCATGAAAGAAATGACAAATCTCTGCACGAACAACAACAAATAATAGAGCACGAATATTTTCGGCGACGTCGGCGACCACGGACTTTGTAAATTATACAAATATGCAAATGCAATTTTGTAAATTAAAAACTCGTGAAACTATGTGGTCAGAGTTCTGTGACTGTGTGTCTGTGGGTAAGCATGTTTCTTATAATTTGATTGTACAAACCAATTAATTTTACTTAAATTTTTTTTATAAAATTGTACATCATTTTAATTTGTGTCTTCTGTTTTACTTTATTCTGCAACTAAATTGAATCGTTCTTAGTAAAGTGGCAGTGTTAAAAAAGGTCATCAAGTAAAGGATTCCGTTATATTTAAAAACATGTTATTTTGGTTACAAACCCCGTAAAAACATCTTTAACCTATTTACGCTTACAAAAATTTAGATTTTGGTTCAGCAGGTATCACCTCATATCATCTAAAAACAAAAAAACTGAATTTCACAATGATATCTGAACTCTAAAGCTCCTTATATAAAAATCCTGATTTAGCAGATGCGTAGTTTGCATTCTGGACGTTAGACGGTTATGGCCTTTTGTGCAGTCTTTTGCTTCTTTTTGGGTAATCCGAGGCATCAGAAAATATCGCATCACATTGTCTGGGGCGTCTCCGCTGGCAAACACAGACCCCCCAACGTCCCGCTCCCATGGCAAAAAATTAGGTTAAAATGTTTACTCGAGCATTGCAGACGGGATTGGCAATAACCTCATTTTCCGTTTGTGCACTTGTGTGCGTGTATGTGTGTGTGTGTTTGTGTGGGCCAGACTCTGACGTAAGAGAAATGTCTGCCTTTGTTTTTGTTTTTGTTGGCCTAAGCCCAGCCATAAGTTAACATGCTTTTCCCGACTGCTCTGCATCTGTCGCTTTTTGTTGTTTATCTTTTTGGTGCTTTTTTTGCGAATAAAGTGACATAATATTGAGGGTAAACCCTTGTTTTTGTTCTTGCCCGCTTCTGTTTGCTTTTGGCCTTGTTTGAATCCTTGAAAGTTTCCGACTTTCTCTGTGTTTGTTTAGGCCGCCCGAAAATTTCCAACTATTCGAAGAATAAATTGAGCTACTGAAACAAATGTCTACCCTTTTTAAATTTTGTATAACCAAAGCTTAAACTTTTCTCTGAAAATTTGATGTAAAAATCAAATAAAAATTTGTAATAAATTATTCATCGTTTAAATAATTAAGTTATGTATAATACCGGATTGTTCGCATTTAGATATAGTAATAATTTTTCTAGGCCGCCAAAAATTCCGAAACAGGAACAGCTATGTGTGTGTGTGTGCGTGCGCGTTTCGGCTTTTTCTCTCTCGCTCTGCATGTAATTGTAATTAATTTATGCACGTCTGCGTCTGGTGCGTGCGTCTGGCATAGATAACGGTTTTAATGAAAGCCCGCTCCGCTCTCACACATCCACACCAACATCCTAATGCTACTAATGTTAACGCCTACAGAAAGTGTGCCTGTGTTTGCCTGTATGTGCAAAAATTCACACACTTCAACACACGCACACATGCGAGTGTACATTTAATAATCAATTTGAATTATTCATTGGCTAACGGCGGCAAATAAAATTCGATTAAAACACAACGCCGCTGCCGACGTCGCTGCTTCTGGTAAACGCCTTGGGTTATTAGCGGCAATTGTGTTTCGCATTTCCCGCCGCCGCCGCCACCGCAGCCGCCCAACAATCCCGCCCACGCACTTGTCTCTCCACCGCTTCCATATCCATTTCCATTTTAATATTTCCATCCGTATCTTGGGCTCTTAAATGGCTTTTTACCCGTGGATAAGGTGGGGAGCGGATCGGAGTGGCTGAGCAATGTTGAAAAAACATTCATTTATTATGTTCTCACCACAGTGAGCACTCGCATAGCCATCTATTTTTGGCTTTTATTATCAAAGCTCCAAAAAGCCTTTCTTGGTTATCATAATCTCTTCATAAACGCCCTCCAATTTTAGATTTTTATCACAAACACTTCAGCGGGACTTTGAAACTTGGTCAGAGATGTCACAATTTTACTATCTAATCATTTAAAATGTCTAAAAATTTATTTGCATTTGACAAAAAAATTTGCAATAATCATTGTTTAACAAGAAACAAACAATTAAATAAAATTTTATTTTAAAATTAAATATTTCATTGCCTACTTTGAGGTGAAACAAAGTTTTGACTAAAAAAAATTATAACTTGAGTTTCTTTATTAATATAAAGTCGTAATAAAAATCTTTAACTCATGTATTTCTATTAAATGCTGACATGCTTATTTTCTTTCTTTTTACTGTATCCCCATTGTATCTGATGTGTTTCATTCATAATGTTTATTTGGCGTGGGCAAATTAAAAGCGAAGAAAAAATATGAAACAAGATTCTAGATGCGAAGAAAAATGAGCAAATGCGCACTGGAAGATGTCAGCAAAGCGAGTAACAATTTGTCAAAGTTGCCGACTTTAATCTTTTGTAATGGGCGTCACACGGATCGGCACTCGCCCAACCCCTCGTTATGGGAAATCTTAAAACCACAATCTGAAAAGCCGCCTTAACAACTTTGGCCCAATGAGGCCATGACGAGAATCCACAAAATACACACGTGTGTGGGTGACTTTTTTTTCGAGTTTTATTGTTTTTTTTTTTGTGTTTTAAAGTGTGTCTTTTTCTGTCGTTGAAGTAAATCCCATGGCCTCAAGGTTAAAGCCGGCGTCTAGTGCAAATTCAATAAGCAAATGCGCAGATAAATAAAATATATAGACAAATGGAAAGCATTTAAAGTCGGGCAAATACGGCGAGCGCAAAGCGCTGATGGAGAAATTGAATTTGTCTTGTCCATTATAATAAAGACGTACACAAGTGCCAGACGCCAAATGGAGATTCCCCGCCTTTAAAAAGGACGTGCTGTGCATTCAACAAACATTGCATAACACTTGGAGTACACACGAAAAAACATTTGCGAACTGGAGGAGGAAGTAGAGGCAAAGAGGCAGTAGAGGCAGTCGTAAAGGGAATAAATCGGTGTAGGCGCAGTTACATAAGACTTTTTGCGTAGGCGGCGACGAAAGCAATTTAAGCATGTCTGCCACTCTGCTGCCGCCCACTTTTACCAACCGCCCGCCCGCCCCACCGACCGACTCCCCCTTTTCAAGGACTTTTACTGCACTGGCAGTGTGAGCGATGAGTTGGCTCTCGCTCACATTTAACCCCCCGTTGCCCCAAACTTTCTGTCTGCCAGTGTCTCTCCGTTTCGCCAAAAGGGAATGCATAGGATATTGGCAAGTGCGAAGGAAAAGGGCAAAAGGCAGTGCAGAAAAAAGAAGAAAAAGATGAAAAAGGAAACTTTCGACACGTGTCTCCCTGTTGGCTTGTTTTTATGGCTGCACTGAGAGAAAAACTAATATCTGTTCGAATTGGGTCAATGGTGTAATTAGTGAGCATGTGCAACATAAGAAGTCCCAGCACGTAGCATCAATAAAAATATTTCCACAACTTTCTTGCGTCTTTATCGTTATTATACTGTTGTTATATTATTTAATTTCGGTTTTAAATAATATTTAATATTCAAAAGCAGACAGTTTTTGCGATTTAATGTTGCAATGAAACCTAAAAGTATGCAATATTATGCAATAAAGATATTGTTGAATATCTTTGCCTTTTCTTTTGTTTTCTCTTAACGGGGTTTTCTATATTCTATATATACATTTGTATTCCTTTTCTGTATATTCCTATTATTGCTAAATTATTTTGACAAGTGCATTTTAGAAACAGACATACCACCCACTTTGTCGCCCATCGGCAGTTGCAAAACTTTTTCTTTTCTTTTTCTTTCCCGTATTTTCTTGTTCTTGTTGTTGTTTTTTCTATTTTTTTTTTATGTTCCGGCGAAGGGTACTAAGTACTTACGGGTACAGAATGTTCCGGCTCGGTTGGCAAAAGTGTTGTTGTTTCTGTTGCGGCGGCTGTCGATACTGTTGCTGTTGCAGTTGTTGTTGCTGCTGCTGCTGCTGCTGAGGCGGCGGCTATAGCTGTCTGATCCGCTGCTGTGGAGCCCGATGTTGATGGTGGGGTTGCTAGTGGCAGGGCCAGAGCCGAGTTGGTTTCCAGTCCAAGCCCGATCCCGATGCCGATGCCAATCCCAATCCCAGATGACAGCACCGCGTTGTTGTTGCCGCGCCGTCGTTGCGACGAGCGACGCTTGTGCCGTATCCTTCGCGTTGCTGCCGCTTCCGATGTTGCTGCTGCCGCCGATGTTGCTGTTGCTGCTGCTGCCACGGCTGATGTTGCTGCTACTGCTGTTGTTGCTGCTGTCGCTGTTGCGTTGGCAGAGCGGCGCAGGGCAATCGCGGCCACCAACACACTGCCGCAGGCCAGGCACACGGATAAACTAATGGCGATTAGCAACAAGCGACCTAAAACGATTCCAAAGCGGAAAATAAATATTAGTTGTGGGCCTCTTATTTGCATTTATCGGTTTTAGGCGCAAAAAAGTAATTGTCTACCGTGAATATTTAATGTAAGTTATTTATTATATAAAGTTATTTTATAGAAAGGTACTTATAAATTTCTTTCCAACGAAAATGATTTAAATAAATCTATAACTTATACATTGTTAATACTTATTTAATGATTAATATTTTATTTATACGCAAACCTGTTGAAAAGTTAAAAAATCTTATCTTATCCTAATACACCGGAAACACCTTTAATTGCACTTCCTTCCAAATTCCTATAACATTCGACCTACCACTTGTAACTCAAATATTTCTCCTTAATTTCGGCTTATTTGTTTTCCAATTGAAGTAAGTTATTCCCACTCACGGACGGTTTTAATTACTATAAATAAACGAAACAAAACGAATGCGGCCCACAGAACCGACCAAATAACAATGAAAGAGCAACAAAATGTAAAAAAAAAGAGCAAAGCCCGTGCAACGGTCGCTGGTTGTATTTCGTAGATACCCGCACGTATTTGTATCCGTATCTACAAGGTGCGCGGCGTTTCGTTCTCGGGCTCTCTCGACGATTTCGCCCTGTAGAAAGACCCCGTGCACTGTCTACGTCTACGGACGGATAGGCGACGGTCGACGTTCGACGGTATATATGCCTACATACCATATATACGGGCGTCTGCGTCTAGACTAGATAGCAGACGACTTAAGTGATACAAGCACACATGCGCAATCGGCGCGCAGTTGGTGCGAGCGAGATAGCAAATGTAGGCGGACAGCGGTTCGATAAAAAAAAACCCCATTGAAGGAATTGATTGACAGATGAAGTACCCTGTAAATGGGGAAAGTAGGTGAGGGATTTTTTGTAGCCTTGCTTTTTTAATTCCGAAGACAATATTATTTTGGATTTTTTTGTTTGAAGGAAAGATGATGGGTTGGTTGGGTGATCACAAAGATCACAAGATCACAAAACTATAAACTTTATAATAAGCTTACAGTTAAGCCCAGCAATGTAAATATTATTAACAATTTTGGTTGTAAATTATTTATTTTACGTAAAAAGCTGTATATTTTTAAAAACATTTTCTTTTATAGGAGTTTTTAAAGAATCATTTTAATAATAAAAAGCAACAATTTTGCACCTTATTTTTGGAACTTTTAATAGTATATTTATTTAAACTCTTTTGAGCAACTAAAATTTTGATTAAAATTACACAAAAATGTTCCACTGTGCCAATCCAAAAAGGCCTAATCTCACTTCCAGACTCGTTTACCAAAAGTGACAATCATATTTACACCTTAAACTTACAGCCTTTGTAATGCGAGTTCTATTTTGGTAACTTTACACGCTTTCACCAAAGAATCCAATCAACCTAGGTCTATTTTTAAATCGACATTGTAAAGCCAAAACGCTTTGATTAGTAATGGGTATTATATAGACGATGTGGCCGGGCCAGACTCAGCTGATAGAATGGCAGACAGACGGAGGCCACCCGTCGCGGTCGCAGACCCTGTAACAGAGCAAACTCACGGATACAGATAGCCGCCGACTGAGATACAGATACACAGATACAGATACACGCGAAAAGCTTGCGCAACAAGATTTTACAACTACATATAGTGAATATATCATGACGCTCCGTCTGATATACGGTTACAAAAAAAAAAAAAAAAACAAATAGCGACCCGCAGCGCAATTTCATCAAGGCAAAAATGACGCAGCTATGTAAACGTTGCTATCTCTATCTATCTATCTCTATCTCTATCGCACTCACCCACCGACGATCGGTGAATGAAAACATAAATATTTGGAATTTTCATTAATTTATGATTTCTGATGAAGAGAAAACATTCGCATATATTAAACGCGAAAACAATCAGAAGTCAGCCAGTGAGACAGACGTGAACGAATTATCCAACAAATGCCCAGACAGGAGTTAATCAACTGAAATTAAAATGTACGTAAAATGTATGTAAAATGTACGTATGTATGTATGTACGTAGTAAAAAGAAACAAACAACGGCAACCAATTAAAATATGTCAACAATTTCTATGACTCTTTCTCCGTCTGACTTCCACAACCCAACCGAGACAGCACAAATAAATAACAAAAAAATAAAAAAGGGGGGAAAAAAAAAGAAAACTAATATTAAAAAGGTGCAACAACAACAACAACAAGTGGCACTTTAGACTTTTGCGCATTCCCAGCCAGTGTCACTCGGATTTAACCGTCTCAGGTGACTCAACCTGGCTGGCTGGCTGGCTTTCAGGCTGGCTGTCATTCGCTTTCGGTCTGCCTTTTATGGCCTTTGTTTTCAGATAATTATTTTTGCCTGCTCAGCTACCCTGTACCGCGAATCGAGGAGCGTGAAAAGCTGATGTTTACAGTCGTGGCGCGGTTACCAAGTGTTTAGATAATTGAAAGCCAAAAACTGTCTCCAAGGTCAAAGATTAGATTTAACTATTATTCAAATTAATTATTTAGTCGCAGGTTTTAAATTGCTTTTGTGTCTTATCAATCAAATTATGATTTAGCAACATATATTAAATATTTATATTTAATGACTCAATCTTTCAAGATGATTTAGTGTACATTTCCCGTTTATTTTTAGTGTAACTATATTTTAATCGTGACAAATGCAAAAAATAACCATAGATAACAATATTTAAACACTTAACGAGCCATAGGAAGTTTCCGTTTATAGTTAAATTTTACTATACCATTCGAATCGTAAAAGTTAAACTATTTTACAAACTAGTTGGAGGAATTAAAGCCGGTTTCGTTTGACTTAGAGGGTACATGATCGCTTAATCACTCCCCAGTTGGATCGTTATTTTGTATTTTTTAATTGTGCCGCTCGTTTGAGCTTGTTGCAATTATTTTTATCGCAGGTGAAATGATTGAGCACGTCTGGGGACTTCGTTTTCGTCTGGAGCCGACGAATATATATATATATATGCATATATACGTATAAGTAAGTAAGTACACATAAAGCCAGGTACATGTGCAGCTAGACAAATCACCTGATACCCTATAAAAAAAAAAAAAAACAAAACCGGGTGGCGAAAGAGAAAGGAATACCTGGCAACAGTTCAACTGTCCGCCAGGTTTCACTGTTGTTTGATTGAACCTCTGACGCACGTGTGCCATCAGAGCCAGCCAACTATTGGAAAAAAGTGCTAAAATAATTGAGCGAATATACACAGATTCAATATTTGAATTGATCACACCAGACCGCAGATCTTCGATCTCGAATCTCGGTTCCCAAAATACTGAGCAGCAGATCTCGCACCCGGCCAAACCACATCAAATCGGGGACCAGACCAGACCCGACCAGACAGATCAGACAGTTGGCTAACACTTTCAGAGATCCATACCGAGTAGCCGCGACCAAACGGCTTTCATGGCTATTTTTATAGTTTTTATAGTGGAACGGACATTGAACGGACAGTGGGGGCAGCAGCAGCACACAGCTTACAAAATCGTGGGGGAACTTGTTTCGATCTCTCCCCATCATCCGTTCGACCGACCACCAGGTTCCTTGACCGACAGAGATAATGCCACACTATATACTCATAATAATCTCAGTTATTTTCTGTTATTTTTGGTTGCTTTTAGTGACAATTGCACTTGATTGAGAGTGCCGCAAAGGAAGATCACTTTCGATCAACTTTCCTTCTTGCTCTGCTGGCGCTCCACACACAACAAAAAAGTTATTAATTCAATGATTATGATCACCGCGCTAATGACAGTCAAGTGCAGCACTTGGTACCACCCCCCCCCAAAAAAAAATAAATATAATAAAACGTTTGAAGGCAATGCCATTGACACCTTGATTGGATGTCAAGGTTGTGCGATCCTCGGAATCGTCGCATTCACGGCAATGGGTACATAAACTAACTAAAGCCATTATACATATCAACGCAGCTTTAACAATCATAATACATTGAGGTGACATTGAACTTGAAAAATCCAGTTGAGTTTTTTGTGTGTGCCATCATTGTTTGAAGTTTAGATTTTCTCGGCATTTTGTGTGTTATTTTTTGATGCAATTTAAGTGCGATATATAGCGCTGGATTAAAAGGGATTTCTACAGCGAGTGTTTCTTAGCAAACAATTTGTGAAGATTTATTATAGTTCCTCTAAACTCGAAAGTTTATCCAACAAAATAAACACGAACCCCAAAAGTAATTACAATAAATAACGATCAAATGGAAAATTTTGAAATGTCTGTACATATTTTGTTTTGTGAATGGAAACGTAAAATCAGAACTAATCAGAGATTTTAAAACTTGTTTTTAGACATATCTAAATGTAAACAAGAGCATTACCATAAATTATTGGGTTGACACTGAACTTGAGTAAATAAATTAATTAAATAATGTGTGGATTGCAGTTTAGCTTTTATTCGGTGTTGCAAACTATATTTTATTTATCTATTTCATTTAGCCTTGGTAGAAAAGGGATTTTTACAGCCAATATAGGAAGTATAGCCAGCAGCATCATCAGCTGACGTCAGCTTCGTCTGCAATCGGGTTTCTATTTATTTTTATTTTTGCTG